TACATCTTTTTCTTACTTCCTCCCTCAAGTTCACTGACATGGTCGGCTGGACCGTGACCAACATGAAGTCACCACTGATCTTAAGCGTCGGCAGCCTGGTCAATGTCTTCGTCGGCGACGTGGGTACGGGCACAGACCCAAACCAGGCTATATACTGGGAGGCACCGGCCAGTTACCTGGGCAACAAGGTCAGTTCAATTGTCTTGAAGTTCCTCAACAAATCCAATCTCACAATGATCATGTTATGACAAAGTTTTGTTCCCTGTAAAACATGATCTCTTCCTTCGAATTTCTGCGCTTTGAAATTGAGCCACTAAGCATAGAAATATATGCTCAGCAAAAACAGCTTATCGGCCAAAATTGCTTGCGAGTGGTTCCCAGCAGATTGTTACTAAGAACATGAATTTGCTATTAGCGATGTAAACTGCCGAGTATCTGCATGCTATGTAGTCTATGGAACACCCAACGCATAGACAAGGGTCTATATTTGAGCAGTTGTGGCGACTAAATATGCAGAACGAGTCTACGTCTTAGCCTCAAATTTCTGACCATTCAGCGGGCGCCTTCTATCGGGCCTTTCGTAACGCGCTGTTGTATTACAAACAAATGACATCCAAATTGACCAATCCACAACTTAGTCAGCATTTCTGTTCAAAATAATGTCACAGTCTATTGCTGGTGCATGGGGTTGCGTAAAAGTTACATGCTATGATATTATCAGAGGTTCTACATAGTGGCTTTGCCCACGTGAATGTCATGATCCTCAGACTCCATGTACAGGCCCATATCAGACTCCATGTACAGACCCCGAACCGTGTGTTTCTTCGGTTCATCGGATAACCAATCCAACTGGAAAGTATGGTCTCAATACAGCATCGAGTTTCATTGATTCTGTATTTTCTCCTCAGTTTATGGAATTTCTTAACTTCCTCCTATACATAGTTGACTTCCTACGGCGGCAAGCTCGAGTTTACCGTCTCAAGCAACGTCATCCCGGAGAGAGGCGATTCAACCTCCACCCCGCTGATCAGGCCTGATGTCATGATCACAGTAAGATGCTCTAAAAAGTTTTTAAAAAATCCTGAGTATATTAAAAAGAGCTAGGACATAAAGATATTGTGTATTTTTTTTAAATTCGTGCCACATAATATTGAAATACGTTTTTCTTTCTGGCTATAAATGCAACAGCGCCTCATTGTGTTGGAAAATAACAATTCTTAACCATAACAGTTCTGAATACTCTAATATAATTTTTTTCACACACTAAGAAGAAGGGTTAATAGTGTGAAGTTAAACAAGGTGTTAATCAATTTCTTTTTAATTCTGAGGCATAAACGCCTGTACACAATGTTACCAAAATGGAACTCATTAGAACCATCTCTACTGATGTTGTCGTTTGTCTTTGTTACCAGGGTAACAACATCGCCATCACGTACACCAACAGGGAGCAGCCGCAGAATGGCCGGCCTCTGGACATGTCTCTCAAACTTCTGGAGGTTAGCCACTTTCGTTGGAGCTTACTTAGCCATGACATTTACTAAGAACACAAATATATTGGTGCACCACGCACAAGTTCCCCCTGGATGGAAGAAAGGAAGAGTTCAAGGAAGACCACTGGGGGAGACATACAAATGCATGCAAAGTTACTCATGCAAAGATGTTATGGTTGTGTGCACATTGAGAATAAAATTTTAGAGGAAGTTGAACGGAGCACGGAACAATAAAAGAAACTGCCAGTTGTAGAGAAGACAATTTGATGCATACTTCATGCCATACGCGCCTGAACCAGCAGTGCACACTTGAATGAACACGAGAACAGGGTTCCGAATGAATGACATGGAAGTTGTCATTCCACTTATTGGGGAGTAGATGAAGAACGTCAAGACTTATATTAGGCTCCTACCCAAACTGGCGCTATTTTGTGTATAAAAATGATGAAAGCATTCATTCAGTTCAGGAGCAGAAACGATACGACCATACAAGTGTGCGTGGTTATATAGTGGGATTGTCAGCTTTGTCTTTACCAGTTTGTAAAGCTGTTCCGGGACTTCCATAAATTTCGTATTAATTCAATTAATTGTCCCTTTTTTTCCATTCGGCGTTTTGTTCGGCTGCTGCCATTTTAAATGGTGGCCCAGCTGCACTCCACATGCATTCGGGCGTTCATAATCGGCCCTATGAGAACGCTGTTTGCGGGTAACTCGAGAACGGAGTTACGATAAGACATTTCTGTCCTGTCCACTGCGCTCTCGAAAGTGGGACAAAAGTGCCCTGTCTCTTTCTGTTGACGGAACCGATTATTGTACAAAAAGAAATTAAATGTTTTTTTTTTCCTTGGCCACAACGCTGTAGATAAAAAAAGGTAAAGGGGACGAACCTGTGTTCACAGGAACGGAGTGCCCATCTCTCTTTCATTAGCGATTGGGCCAGACTCAATATGCTGCGGGGGGGGGGGATCGCCACACCTCCTCCACAGCGAGTCTGTTACCTTCCCAGCATTTCATAATGCCGGTACCACTTGAACACCTGGGTTGAGAGGAGTAATTGAGGTAAAGTGCCTTACTTAAGGGCACAACACGCATGTCCACGATGGGGCTCGAACCCACAACCTCACGATCATGAATCCTGTGCTCCACCGCTAGACCACACGTGCCCATGTGCTGTAGACAAGACTACATGGTCTGGTAGGTGTTTGAGTAATTACATGAGTTTTGAGTACTGAGTATTTTTGTTTTGTTGCTGTGATAGGATAACTTCAAGTACAGCTTCTCGACGCGGACGGTGACCCATGAGGATATGATGACGGTGCTAGCCAGCATCACGTCCATCCAGATCAGGGCACAGTATTACAACAAGATCCTTGATGCAAGGTGTGTACCAATTGCATTGGTTCAGAAATGAGAAAATAGTCTTCAGAGAACCCATATGTCAACATCAACATTTGAATACTCATTTTTTTCCTAGAAAAAAATATGCAACTATAAAAATGTGATAACCTTTCAAAGAGAGCTAGATTCCACTCTCCTGGAGGCCTCCTTGTTTGTTTTTCAGTAAAACTTCAGGGTGTTTTTTTTTTCTATTAACTTCCAAGTTTTCCCTTCACTGATGTAGTTCTGAGGAGCATTGCATTTTTTTTACTCGTATGTTTACAACTGTTTTTGGATCGGATTTGACATTATATTCTCTTTTATTAAAAAAAAAAATACCCCCACAAAATCAATACAAAGATTAAAGAGGAAAAACTAGTAAGATAGCCTGTATAACTACATAATCCATTTCTAACCTCAGGTTGATACAGTTAACGTTGTCTTTTGCAAGTAAACAACTAAGCAACAAAAACCCTCAGATAACTAGAAATGTGTCTTTGACATGATGAACACCTGGTGACGTCACTTCAAAGTTCATCTATAACACATTCCGGTTAACATACATATCAAGCAACAACCAAAAATAGACAAATAGTTCTTTAGATATAGGCCTCAGAAAGATGTACCTTTAATGTGACGTCGCATCACAATGTGATGACGACATGACTTCAAATTTCATCGATAACACATTTGCCGTGCATGTCAAGTGAATATGTTAACATTCACATGTAGATAAAAGTATTAAGAAATGACCCTTTATGTGATGTCATATGACCGTGATGAAGTCACCATGAAATCACTTCAATTTGTATCTGTAAGACGTCCTGGTGTCAGCACCAATTGCAACTTACCAATTTACAACCAAATCCGACATAGTTATGTAGACCTGAGATTAATGCCCCTTTCATGTGACGTCACATGACATGTGATGACGTCGTAATGACACCACTTCTATTTTCATGTGTAACACGTCCCTGTCTATGTGCATACCAAGTTTCAACCAATAATATGTCTTCACGTGACACACGACGACGTCATTGTGACAAAAATCATCGGGGACCATCTTCGGCTGGCAGTCAAAGTGCCTGCTAAAGTCTTAATTCAGTCAGACATCGTTTGAAGAAAAACATGTACAAAACCTATGGAGAAAAAGTGCACTTTTAATGTGATGTAACTCAATTGACACATGATGACGTCATGACGGCGAACATCTTCTAAGACCATATGTTGGTTGTGATCTATAAGTGCCAAGTCTTAAGTCCATCGAATTTACGAAAGTGCCAAAGTGTACTGGTGAAAGAAAAACATATACAAACGCTATGGAGACAGTCTGAAACAGGAGGGATACAATTTTACCAAAAAAAAGAAAACAATAGCTGTTTCGGCGTTGCCGAAAAGCTAAAACAAAAAAAACAAAAACAAAATCAGAAAAAAAATCAAAGGCTTTTTCGCTTTTAAGTTGAAAAGCAAGAACAACAAAATCTTAACGTAAACGAGAGATGTTTTGGCTAAGCAGCTGGAAAAAGCTCAGAAAAAAAATCTTTACGAAAACAAGAGCTGCTTGGGTGTTTACCAAAACACCTTATTACTTACAAAAATACACTGAAAATAGACAATCAATAGTAATATTTGTATGCTGTGATATTTACACGTCTTGGATATTGTTGACTTCTATTTGTGTCCTCAGCCTTAGCGATGTCTCATTGGACGTCACCAGGAGAGATGGAACCGGCTCCCCAGCCTACGAGGTGGAACGATGCCGTTGCCCTACTGGTTACACCGGTCTGTCGTGCGAGGTATATTCAACCTTTCTCTATTGCCCCCTTTGTGGTTTGCTTATATTTCGTATCACGGTAAACATATTGGTGCTCAGAAAAAAATTGTACAGCACTTTTAATCACACAAATGTTGGGATTTTCAAAACTCTGGGTCCATATAGTAGAAGGGGCACTCCAAAACCGGCAGGGGGATTTTGGAGGATTGAGGAGTTAAAGCTTGCCTTATGTTGAGGCTACGTACGAATTGATTTTGTCAAATTAAATGTTTGTTTCTTAATAGTGGCTGCAATCTGCATTACCCAGCTGCGTCTTCAACAGTGGAGACATTGACGAGGTGATAGTGAACGGACACCCCATGAGCCTCTGGAACTTTGCCGATGCCATCAATGCCTACGACGGAATCTCAAGGTAAGGACAAATGTATGGGAACATTAAGGAAAAAAACAGGAATATTTTAAATGAGCTTCTAGAAAAATGACTGGACAATTTTGAAACGGTCACTGGTTTTCGGATGAATCATAGAGAACCATGGAAAACTAAACTTGGAAGAACGGGAAGGATTTTGAAAAGTTCAGGAAAGGTAAATGTTACTCGAAGAGACTCGGAGAATGTTAAAAAATGGACACGGGTATGCATGTCGGAAGGTCCGGGAAAAGTAATAGAAGCTTCTAAGGGAAGTCAGTTTATGAAATAATTATTTCGAAAATTGTCATCAAGCAAAACAAAGTGTACAAAAGAAAATAGAAAATTACTTTAAAAATAAGATGCTTGAGACTTTTGTGAGAAAATTGAATTTGAAAAGTGACATGGGAAAAATGCCTTGTTCAGAGACTTTTTGGAAAACAAATTTGCAAAATATTTCTAGTCCTTGGTCAGAAGTAAAAAGATCCGTAATTTAATAAATTAGAAAATGGCATTTTACACATTTTAAAAATAATAATATTTTCCACTAATTCCCCTACTTTTGCGGCTTTCAATCAAGGAGTGACACCATCAGTGTTCCGGTGGATCCTGACACGGACGGAGTCCTGTTTGACGGGAGCGGCTACATCGCACTAGAAAAAGAAGCCTTCAATGCCCGCTTTACCTCCATGAACATTGCCTTCAAGACTCACGCTGCCAACGGCCTGCTGTTCTTTATTGGTGACCAGGTGATTTTTTTTGTATATCTTTTCTTGTTTAATGTGATCTGTTTTTCTCTGTGGAAAATTTTCAGACTTGATACAGGATTTAATATCAGTTTATTTCGACTCCATTGTTAAAATTAACACCACAAAAATAAAAAAGGTAAAAACATGAGTTGCCTGTTCCATTAATTCGTGATTTATTATTTGACACACCACAACCCAAGTGGCAGTCTAATTATTACCCGTTCTTCACGCAGCCCATCTCCAGTAGAACGTCCGATATATCTAAGCATGCGTGACGTCATTTAATTCCGAAATCAGGACTAAGATTGTGATTGGTCTATTTCGGTGCCACATTTTTGTAATACAACAACCTGTACAAAAATGCTAGTCATCGTGGGCGTGATGTTTACGCACGTGTTGAGAGGTCACATTACGTGCATATAGAAGGCGCCTGCTGATTGGCCAGTCTCTCGAGGTCATACGCAGTCTACTTGCTTAATTACTAGCCGAATCTGTTTACATATCATGCACAGACCATGGTCGGCTTCACCAGGGCCAGGTTACATAGACTGCCCAAGTGCATGAATTGTAAAAAAAAACACCTTATTTTGAAGGAGAAACATTATTGTTCCATAGGGCAAATATTTCACCGTTGAGCTGAAGGGCGGCCGCTTGCAGTTTGACTATGACCTGGGGACTGGTCCCCTGACTCTCATCACAGACCTCCAGTACAACAACGGGGAGCAGACTATGGTCCAGGCTACCCTGCGGGGGAATGCGGGAAGCCTGCGAGTAACACCATCGAGCAAGTGAGTAGCCTACGGATCAGTTTTACTGAAATGCTGACACTCGCATTTACCGGAATGATTTGATTGATTGAATTAATTAGATTGATATTATGTATTGATACGTAAGTTGATCGGTTTGATTTGGGTTAATGGGCTTGTTTGGATTGATTGGATTGATTAGCTTGAATTTATTGATAGGATTGATCAGGTTATTAATACAAGATTTGATTGGGTTGAAAGGGTTGACCATGGGTTTGATTGGATTAAGAGGGTTGATTGGATTGATTAGCTTGATTTGATTGATAATATTGATCAGATTGATTGATTGGAGTGATTGATGCGATTGGATTGATTAGACTGTCTACATTGATCGGTTGATCAGGTTGATTGGAATACATTTTGGCCCTATTTTCAGCGTTGTGGAAGCAAAATCGGGAGAATCTCCAGGAGATGGATCAGAACTGGCTGCTGGAGAATACTTCTACGTGGGTGGCTTGGCGGCAATCCCCGACGATCTCTTCCCGTAAGTCGGCTGGAATTTGAAGAATTATCTTGCTTGATGAACCACGCCATCTTCTCCTTTCTTGTATTGTTATCCTGAAAACAAATTCACTGTACTATACTGATCTCTACGTATGTGTGCCTCAAATCTTTACCCATGTCATTGTGTCATATGCTACAAGTTACAGGTAGGCCTACATCTAGTAGTCTCCTTTTTGGGAGGCCCAAAAAGCAACTTATGACGACTTCACTTCTTTGTGCATGAAGATGGACGCATGCACAATAGAGCCAGTATAAAGAAATTAGGTGTGTATTTATGGACACAACTCAATGAAGCTAAACCACCCCTTTTGTTTCCGCGATTTTGTCTCCTAGGTCAGTGACCCGTGACGGTTTCCGCGGCTGCCTGACGGAGTTGTCCTTCGGAGGCCAGCAGATCAACCCTTTGAAGAACAAAATGAGCTTTGGTATCTACCCCAACTGTGGTACACAGGTGAACAGAACCATTTTTTTTGCCTGAAGTGAAGTTCGAAACCATGGCATTTGAGCTCTACGCCACCACTCTCTGGCTCCTGTTTGAGATCAATTGCGTATACCCCGAAAGGTTGGATGTTCTAATTAGGTGCACAGCAAACACTCCATTCGGGAGGTATGGTCAGAGGAATTTGCAAGACTGCAAGTAATTAAGTGTTTGTTTCTGGATGTTAAGTTTTGGGCACTAGCTTCTTTGTAATTCGTCTAAAGGGAAAGTATACCCTCATGCCAAACACGTATTGATTAGTTTTTCCAGAAATTTTGATTTGACACTATTCTTATTTTTCTTATTCATTATATATTGTTTTTATTATAAATATGTATTAGTAGTTTTATGATTTTGTATTCGAGCAGTTACAATTGTTGTAAAATACATACTTAGGCCAAAAAAAAGTCTCCGGTTTCTGGTATTGAGCTTGTCCAAAAAGTGGTGCGGCGACGCGGCTTTTTTTTTTTTTACCCGACTTTTTTTTTTTTTTACCTGACTTTTTTGCTTCAAATGTCGGCTGGTGACTGCAAATGGTGCCCGACTAAACTTAGTGCAAATATATGGGAGTCCAGAGAGGCCACATAAAGCTTATTCTCGATCATAACCCCATCTAAAAACACGTTGAAATTGTGCAGCAGCAGAATTCCAGTCAAACCAGTGAGTTTGGCGGTTTTGAGGCATCATCTTTCATTGAAAAAAAAACTTTTTCATTTTGCCGACGCGCATGGCTACGGCGACGCGCGCGCATACCAGAAACCGGAGACTTTTTTTTTTTGGCCTAATCAGATGTCCGGGCCTTTTTTTTTTATTCCGTAATGCATTGCAGAGAGTCGGCCTGGTATCGTTCAACGGTCCCTTTGGCGGTTACGTGTCGCGGACGCCGATAGATATCAAAGGCGACATCAGCATTATCTTCAGGTTCCGCACCTTGGAGCCCGACGGAGTAATGGTTTACGCGTCCAATGCTGACAAGGTAAACGGAACAGTAAGCAGGAAATCCATGTAAGCAAACAATTCTGTGCTTTCGGTTTAGCGTATTTCACAGGTAATCGGGGAATTTAAAATAAATGAACTGTTCTGTCAAAATCAGGCTTTTCTGGGCAAAAGGTCAAAAATGAGATTTTTGCATATTGTTAAAATATGTACAGTTTCCTTATATATGTAAGTTGGTTTAATTTTGAAACCGGTCATTCCTGGGCAAAGCTATGCTATTTTGAAGTTCATCGTGTCGAAAAGTAGAAAACAGAGAAAATGGCAGTTAAAGTTATCTCAACTTCAACCTCTGCCCAGAAGCGTCTGCTTTTGATTTGGCTGGTGTGATTATGTATAGTGTTATGCGTTCGCTAGGTAAGCATATGATTTCTGCACTACTGCTGTAAGCACGCGGTGGTGATCTTTTTTTCTTATAAGCGCAGCATTCCGTGGTTAGCAGGGCCATTAAGTTGAGCCTTGGGTTCAGACCAAATGCGTGAAGAGGCTTCCAGTGAGTTGCGAATCTCAATTAACTGAATAAACTGAATATGATGTTGCGTGCTCTGGGAACAGTCCTAGTCGGGTAGTGCTGTTGTAAAGGATTACATGGTAATGGCCAAATCCGGCCCTTTGGGTGGACCGGATTTGTGAAAAGACTTCCAGTGAATGGATGCTCTCAATCAACTGCATCGAATGTGTGTACTCTGTGACCAGATTCAAAAGGCTAACATCTTATCTTGCGTTTAATGTGTTTTTTTTTTTCAGACTCAGTTTGTGGCAGCCATGATCGTCTCAGGCGCGGTGTGCATTGTCGCTGACGGTAAACACGATAGCATTGAGGTTGTCTCCAACCAGAATTCTTACAACGACGGGGATTGGCACACAGTCATCATCACTAAGAACAACAGGAAGTAAGTTTCGGTGTTCCTAAAAATCGGTTAACTTTTCGTCCTTGTACCGTTGCAGTAAATTTCTGGAATTAACATTTAAATCATTTCCCCCTCATTTTATTCTCCTATTTATCAGACTAACAGTCGTGGTGGACGACTCCGACTCCAACTTTGCCCGTTTCCAGAAGAGTGCGTTGAGAACAGACGGCTATTTCTTGGTTGGCGGCTTCCCTCAACCTCGCTTCGTCGAAGCTGCCATCTTGCCCACGACGGACAACTTCATCGGCTGCTTATCAGATCTGACTGTCGGTTTTGAGTAAGTAACTGCTCTCGCAGATATCCAGACACTGCCTTTAAGATATATTGTCTGTACTCTTTGACAGTATCATTTTTTTGTTTTACGATTTCTAGCAAAATTTCAACCTGAAATTTTTATCAACGAAGAAAAACAACCGTGTGAAAGAAGGCTTTTATTTTTTTGTTGCTTTTTAAACAGATCCGCGTTTTGAGTAGAGTGGTTCCCAAGGACAAATTATTGATATGAAAATGGATTCACGAACCAGTCTAGCTTGTGAGAAATAAATTAATGTCATGCCAAAAAATAAATTATAATCTGTGAGGTAAATATTTTATAACTCCTGGACCGATTTTAATTTTTGGATTTCTCTTTAAAAAGTGACGTTTGTATTGGCAGAAAAAGTAGCTTTAAAACAGGAATCTCTTTTGGGGGTGGAACTTGAATTCAGCATGGATAGTATTAAGTTTCTTTAGACAGTATATTAATGAAAATCTTTTTGTTTAAACATAATCTTTTTGTCAAACTATGACATCTTTATAATTATGATATAGGCCTAAGCAGAACAGTCCACGGACTCAGTTCAAGAACATGAGAAACTTGTGACAAGTTATCAAAAACAATTTGTAATACAGGACTGTGAACTTCAACGATCAAATCCTCTCGGACAACAACGCCAATGTAAACGTCTGCCCCATCAGCTTAGACCATCCCACAATTCCCTCCTCCTACACCATGGGGCCACACCCTGGTCCCGTTGCCCCCACCATCGCGCCTGTGCCTGCCAAGACCATGCCAGGACCAGTCGAGGGCGCCTGCAAGCTTCCCAGGGTGGCCAGCGCCGGCGAGCAACTGCCGGAAGATGAGGGAGCCGATCAGTATGGCATTACCAGCTACAGCCGCAAAGAATATCCTGTCCTGGATGATTCCTTCAAACGAAAGTGAGTCCATCGACAAAATCGGGAACGAGGACATTGACAAACAGGGGAACCACCAAGCTAGGGCTGGGATCGCTCAGTCGGTAATCTGGCAATCTGGAGGTCACAGAATCGAACCAATTCCATTCAATTTCAATTTCAAAATGGACAAATTGGGGAACCGCCAACGTAGGGCTGAAATTGCTCAGTTGGTAGAGCACCGGAACGGTAATCTGGAGGTCGGAGGTTCAAACCCCTCTCCAGTCAATTTCGATTTTAACATTGACAAACTGGGGAACCGCCAAAGAAGGGCTGGGATCGCTAATCTTTTAGCTCACAAGAACTATTATCCGGTGGTTAATGGCTCGAACCCCACCCCAGTCAATTTGCTTGTTCAACTTTTTGTAAACCGTTTTGAGAAGTTATGAAAGTTTTGACTTAATACCTTGCTGTGGATCATTAATAATTGACAGTGTTTGAAACTGCGGCCTTGCCTCCAGCCTGGGCTTCATAGTCAATCATAAAAGCCTTTGAAATGTGGAAACACTTTATATTAGATGTTTTCGCAACAGAACATATTCACTTTCTGAGCCAGAGCCACATTCAGGGCCTGAAAACTATGGAAGCCCAATTTTCAAAATTCTGGTAGTCTGGACTCATAAATATTTTCAAAAATGTTAAGAAATTTTTGAAAACTTTAGCCTGATTAATAGAATTTTTTTTTACCATATAAAAGCGTTTATCTTTGCTTTCAAAATGATACCTTGTGCTTTTTTTCCTCTGAAAATTTGGTGTCATTTTTTTGCAAGGAGTCAAATGTGAATGAGCAAGTGTGCTGTTAATATTAACCTAGATCACAAGATATTTTTCAAATTTATCGCGCAAACTGCATCCGTTCGGTGGCCCAGAAGCACATTATCTTGTATTCTCTTTGGTTTTTATTTTAAAATCCGTAATCTGACAACAGCATGGTCATGCGAGTGGAGCTGAAGACATTGGCCCGCAACGGTCTGATCATGTTCACGTCCGACACCCGAAACATCGACTTCACTGCAGTGTACCTGCGGGATGGCAAAGTGGTCTTCGGTTGGGACTATGGGAGTATACCCTTGCTGATTGAGTCACCGGAGAGCGTCAACGACGGAAACTGGCACACGGTGAGATTTGCTTGACTCGGCCCAAGGGCCATGAGTGAAAAAAAAGAAAGTCTGTTCCAAGCATAGAGCTTTATTAAGCCGGTATGGCTCATCTCTGGTTTCCGTGAGGTGAACCGAATAAACATATAGTTCCCCTGAATGTGATGCTAAGAGGCAAATGCTGAGAGGTGGAGAGAGGCACGTGGCGGTAAAGTGGCTTGCCCAAAGAGACAACATATGGCGAGCAGCAGAATTCGAACCCCTGACACTCTGATCACGAATCACATTCCACTGTAGGTTACATCCTTTTGATCGCTGGTAACCATAATTATATCGGTGGAGGGAGGCAAATGGGGGTGGAGTGGCTTGCCCAAGGACACAATGCACGACCGGCAGCAAGATTCGAACCTCTAACACTCTGCTCACCAAAATTCCACTGCAGGTTACTCCTAGCTGGTAACCATATATGGGTGGAGGAAGGCAAATGTGGGTGGGGTGGCTAACCCAAGGACACAACGCAACGCAATTGGTAGCAGGATTTGAACCCCTGACCCTCTGATCATGAGACATTAGCATCTCTCTTCATGGGCCCTCAATTGAACTAAACCACAATTACAATTTACTGAAAGGTTAATACGTGTAAAGGTACCATTAAGGAGACGCGTTATCGTAATTTCTTCGCACGATGGGAGACATCGGTCATTAGGGAGACATTTGCATGACTCCCTAATGTCACAGCTCCCCTTTAGAGGCAAAATTTTGCCGTCGCAATTAGATTACATTTGTTGCTCGTGGTCTAATTAATAGTAAACATACCGAAGTTTGTTTTAAAAAGGACAAGGGAATATTGGGTTACGGCACAAAGTTGAAATTTGAAGAAAACAAAAGTGTGCACAGGTCTATCGGAATGTCTCCCAAATGACCCATTACCCAAAATGTAATGCTTTGTAAATAGCTAGCCGCTGGTCCCCAGCTTGTTTTCGGCTAACCGCCAGGCAATATTCTTAACGTTTGGGCATAGCAAGACAATAACTTGGACAAAAAAAGTGCCGCTATAGACCTGTTTTATCATGATTGTTCATCGTTTGTTTGTTCCATGTAAAGAGTCTAATGCAACTCCTAGAATATAGTTTTATCTAGTAGGTCTTTATGCGAATGAGAATTTACATATTCATGAGAAAACCATCAATGCAATCAAAAGCAAAACCTTCATTGATGTAGCTGTGCAAACAATTCAGTCTGCTGTTGTTAATAATCAGGGTTTCCAGCTACTCTGAAAATCAGGGAAAACCTTGAAAATGAGTTTTCATTTTACTAGTCGGGGAAAACTTAGGGAATTTCGGAAAATCACCCCCAAATCGGGCAAATGTCCGGGAAATTTGACGGTGACCCAGAAGGGAAAGGTTTTCGCCAATTTGGCGTTTTAGGCGAGGAGTTGCCCGTGCATTATCAGTATGCCTAAGTTGCTTTACTGCAACGACCTCGGGACTTCCCAGCAAGCTTGTTAAAGTGGAAATTTCCCTGGTAAAATTAATTGCAAATATTGTTCTGTTTTTGTTAAGTGCTGTGAACCTAGTATAAATTGTTCATCACGTTTAATATCTGATCCCTATTTTCATGCACCATGGTTTGTTAATGTGAACAGATTTCTTATGGAATTGTTCGTGAATTTTGTCATCCTAAAGTGCTGCAAGCCCTGTTTAAATTGTTGTTCACATTTTTCATGGGTTTTCCCCTCTTCCATTCCCCTAGGCTCTGCCTACTCTATTGACAGCTCTTTTGAGCTGAGGATGTCCATCAAGCCGAGAGTCACCACGGCTGTCCTGATGTCCGTCCAAGGCGCTCGCGGGGACTACCTCTCTCTTGAGATGGTGGACGGAGTGGTAAGTCCAATCGGAGCAGTCGCTCTAGCAGTGGCGTAACTAAGGGGACAAGGGGATACCCTCACCCCCAAACTCTTGAGTCCGAATTTGGAAGAAGCAGAAACGAGTTGTTGTTTTCTGGAGAACCTATTGAGCCTCCCAACCACCCCCAAGTTCCCCCTGGAAATTTGACCAGTAGTTACGCCAGTGCTTTTTAACCATGAATATTTTGTTGAACTCTCGTTGGAAATATTTGTTTGGATGAACGTGCCTCGCTCAGAGTGTTGTAATCAAATCCATCACAAGTCTCCACAAGCTCCCACGACCACGAGTCCAACAAAAGTCCATCACAAGTCCATCACAAGTCCCCACACGTCAATTTTAGGTCCGCGCAAGTTCCCACAAGTCCAGCACATGTCCTCACAAGTCCCCACAAGTCCAGCACAAGTCCCCACAAGTCCGTGCACGTTCATTTTAAGTCTGCGCAAGTCTCCACAAGTCCCCACACGTCAATTTTTAGTCTGCGCAAGTCCCCACAAGTCCCCGCACGTCAATTTTAAGTCTGCGCAAGTCCCCACTGTTTAAAGCTATATATTTGTCAAGCTTTACACACAGACTGAGACAAGCAGATGTTATAAGTTGGCTGTGCTATTGCCAAGTGTGGCCTTTATTATTACATTCTATGTTTAAGTATAAATGATCAGTGTAGTGGTCTTGCAATGTTGCAGTGTCAGCAAGCTGACGTGGACAGTGGTCTGTTACTTAATGTCTAAACAAGTGACCTTAGCTGGGGTTACTAGTTGCAACATCAGCACATCAACACACCCACAAGTCCATCACATGTCCCCACACAAGTCCATCACATGTCTCCACAAGTCCCCACAATTCCATCACAAGTCATTCAGTGACAAAGGCATTTCTTTGTCAATGTCCCTCTTCTGTTTACTTGTGCACAGAGATTTGATGGACTTGTGATTTACTGAACCACAGTAACAATCACTCATTGCAAAAGGTCCATGATTAATCGACTTGTGTCAAAATAATTAAGATGGTTAACTATTATTGTTCTCACCTTGTATCAGCTGTACCTGTGCTGTGAGAATGGAGGAGGCCAGATAGTTGCTACCTATGTGCCTCCCGAGGGGACCTTTTTCCCGTGCGATGGCAACTGGCATGACATCCTAGGTACTCCATTTTGTTATCATTTTGTTTACGAATTTACCATTCAGAATAAGCAACCCTTCAGCACTTTGCATATACACTCTGTATACACTCTGTTGAACGCATGAAATTATTCGGTGCAGGGGCAGTTTGGGGAGTAACAGACAGGGTGGCTGGTGGTGGTACAGGTAGTAGTAACAGGCAGGGTGGTTTGTAGTCTCGGCCCTAGGGAACTAATCAGCGATCGAGAAAAAAGTTCAATGGCTCACCTTACGGTTGCGCCATACGGGTTATACGTCGTGCGGTGATCAAGCACGGAGCTATAAGAAGGATATGTGTTTGTTCGAATATATTCAGACGGTCTTATTTACATGAAATGGCCCCGCCCCCATTGCGAAGTGACCAAGACGTTAGTGAAAGAAAGTAAAAACCAATTATGCAAGTGCGCTACACAACAATGCAACAATCGCTCTTGATCGCTCTTGGGACAAGACTAGGTGGTTTGAGTGGTACAGGTGGTATAGGGAGTGCGATTTGGGGGCAGTACAGACAGTAGCCTTTAGTCAAGTCCCACGCGCCTATACCCGGACCATCCGGACACGTATTGCACTCCAGATGCTGGCACGTAAAAAGACTAGCACGAGGGTCTTTACTATCTCGTGGGACTAATCACTTATTCATTTATTCACGTAATATAAATCAAGCAATATAAACCAATCATCTAACGGTGGTTTGCGGTTACCAGCAACAGCACGCGCGCGTGCTGTCTGGCGCCAGACGACGGCTGATTTACGTTAGTAATTCTGCATTTTCATTGGTCATTTCAGAACGGGTAATGCATTATGCATGTCTACCAAATCGGTAGACAAATGTAAAGAAAAACATAAGCGTTCTCCACGAGATGGTAAAGGCCCTCGCGGCTTCGCCGCTCGTGCTAGTCTTTTTACGTGTCAGCATCCGGGTTGCGTCACATGTCCGGGGAAGCGCGTGGGACTTGACTAAAGGCTATACAGGGAGTAACTCGCAGGGCGGTTTGGGACAGAACAGGGAGTAACAGGCAGGGTGGTTTGAGGCGGTATAGTCGGGCTCCGTATTATCGCGGCATCCATATTATCGCGGCATCGAAGATTTCTCGTTTTGCGTTGCCAAAACTCCTTCAAGTGGCGATTTTTATGCAGTTCACCAGGCAGTAAGGACTTTTTTCCGAGTTGTATAAAAAGGACGATTAAAAAATGTTGTGTCTTTCGGGACTTTTAACGATTTTTAATAAAAATTAACATTTTCCAAAATTTGCAAATTTTCCTTCACCGTGTCTGCTAAGAGGTACCGTCTTTATTTTAACATAAATCTTTAATGGTGCTCTGTCCATGAAGGTTCCATTGTCTGGTTCCCCCTCTACAGCTGCAAACACAAAATAAAGTCGAAGGACAAAATTTCCTCCGCGAAATCTTAAAAACTTTGACGGAATCAAAATAAGGACAACGCTTTAACAAAAAATTAAACGACACACCATGTAAAGTGAATGGCGCCCCCAATCGCCATTCAGTAGACTTGTCTCAGTGATAAGAAATCATCCTGCAGGCATAAAGTCTTTAATCAACTTCAACGTTACAGGGAAAATATCAGACTTTATTTAGGGGGGGATGTTTTGGTCAAACATTAACTATGAAAAAAAAGTTGAGATCATTTAAAAAAAAAAAAAAACTTCCCGCATACCGCGATAGTAGGGAGTCCACCTCCGTTCGCACTCTTCGAGCATATCTATTTTCACAGGCATCGCACACGGAATAATCCACATCACCGTCGGATTTGTTTATATCAAATTGAAAATGAAGAGTTATACAACACAAAGACAGGACAATTCGGGACGAGAAACGTGATAAGTACCGCGATAATACGGAGTCCCAACCTACATGAGGCATAGGGAGTAACAGGCAGGATGGTTTGAGGTTGTACATGTAGTAACATGCAGGGAGTAACAAGCAGGATAGTACCCGGAGCAAAGGACAGGGTGGTTTTGGACGGTACTAGGAGTAACAGGCAAGACATTTTGGGGCGGTTCAGGGAGCAATTGGCAGGGCGGTGTGGGGGCGCGGTACGGGTAGAAACAAGCAGGATGATTTGGGGCAGTACAGTATCTGATGTCTTACATCTTAAGTTACAAAAACAATGCTTGGCCTCCCCTCGAATCAAAATTCCGACTTTTCCATACATTTTTTTTCAGTGGAGAAGACCAAGAATCTGCTGACCTTGACAGTGGACGGTGAGCCAGGGGAGCCCGGCCTTGGCAGTTACAACTTCCCCTCTGCCGACACTACAGCTCCGCTCTTCTTCGGTGGCATACCCGGTGAGCAGAATGTTGTTTTCATTGCACATTGTGATATTTTATGGTACATTGTAATATCGCCCTCTAGAAACGCATGTGATGGAGTGTGCCATGTTCGGTTGTGACATGTACGAATTGTCGACACAATTTTTAAAACCCTTAAAGGAATTCAAATAATAAATGACACACAGTTAAAGATGCAATCCCCTTACAAATGTTTACCTCGCAAAGTAGATTTTAAGTTTTTCCCCTCAGTTTTTTTCCCAGCAACATATAACTTATACACCGACATTTAGTTATTGAATTATTTCTTTACAAAATTCAAATTATTAGTTGGCAGACAATAAATCGGCTCTTGAAGGGCGGGTTCAGTCATGCACAAAATGATTGGCAGACGCCCAAAATTTGAACAAAGTAATGTTTCTTTTAATGAAACAAAACTTGCAAATTGAAAATTTATTAGGGTAAAAAGTAATCGACCACAATCTGACCTTCACGGTTCCGTGGCCAGATACAGAATTGCTTGCCATATTTGTCTGTTAAAAAAAAAAAAAAAAAAGTCAGTCGTTTTTAACCGTTCCGTGTTTCAATCCTTGTTTAATAAACCTTTATTTAAATGCATCTTTCCTACCAGATGGTGCCAGTCATACAGGCCTGACCACCGCGGAGAGATTCGTGGGCTGCATCCGTGACGTCATGCTACGCGACGACCTGGTCAACTTCAAGGAAGCGGAGAACATCGTGGGCGACATCAACGTCATGTCCTGCCCGGCCACCTAGAGAGGGCGCTACAACTTCCAACGAGGTTCTGCAAAAAAATGCAGAAATGTTGAGCACTCCTAGCATACATCAAGTTGTATTTGCGTTTTTACATTTACTCTTCAAATAAGTGTTTTTTCTAAGGTTTGTGTAGTCTGCATTGTGCGGATTAGTTATCTGACCTTAATTGTTTTGGGTTTTATTGTGATAATGGAAAAAGGGGGTGGGGTGTGTGCAGAATTTTTTTTTAGAAACTGAGCTATATGTGTTACTTTTTGACTCATGCATGACTGGAAATGGAATGGAGAACACTTGAATGTTCGGAACAGCTAAACTAGTAGAACCTGTCATCATAATTTTACCGATATTAGACTAAGGCAAAAAAAGGCTCCGGTTTCTGGTATGGAGCTTGCCCAAAAAGTGGTGCGGCGACGCGGCTTTTTTTTCACCTGTTTTTTTTTTGCTTCAAATGTCGGCTGATGACTGCAAATGGTGCCCGACTAAACTTAGTGCAAATATAATGAGTCCAGAGAGGCCCCATTAAGCTTATTCTCGATCATAACCCCATCTAAAAACACGATAAAACTGTGCAGCAGCAGGATTCCAGTCAAACCAGTGAGTTTGGCGGTTTTGAGACATCATCTTTTATTGACAAAAAAAAAAATCATTTTGCCGTTGCGCATGGCTACGGCGACGCGCGCGCATACCAGAAACCGGAGACTTTTTTGTTGGCCTAAGCCTTAAAACCCATCCACAATAGAAACTCGTGAACTGAGCATGTTTTTGTTAATACAACATAGTTAAATCCCCTTTAGTAAAGTTAAAAACCTTCTCTGACCCTAAACTCATTTACAGTAGAACACCTTCATAGCAAGGTCCTTGGGACTTTACTAGTTACCTTGTTATAACAGGTACCTTGTATTAACAGGTAATGAAAAACAAAGAAAAACTAAGACTTGGGACCTAAATTGTCCTTGTTATAAGCAGGATTTTGTATTAACAGTGCTCTTCTTATCAGAGTTCGACTGTATATCTTAATTTACCGTCCCCAGATATAATTGTTTCTGTTTTGTACTATTAAGGGATTCAAATAGAGTTGTGTAGGACTAAAGCAAGGAAGCACTGAGCCGGTGATATTGCAGAACATCAATTTTGGCCAAGTGAGGGCGCTGAAAGATAAACATTTCATTAACCGAAATAAATAAAATATATATGTACTTTTGACCTCATAATTACCTTCACAATATATATAATAGCGATGAAAAAAACATAGTTCCCTAAGCATCCATGCACTTTTGTCAGAAATCGAATCTTATAGTCCCTCTTAATTGCCATTGTATTGTCAAACTTTTAGACTAGTACCAAGTCCCTCCGTCATCAATTCTGTCTTCCCATATTTTATTGGAGCGGGAACCAATCTGTCTCTTCACTCTGCTGTCGATCGCAGTTTGCAAACTTGGTGAAATTTCACTTGTTTATCGAAAGTACTCTTTGAAATCACTGTACTTAAAGGGAATGTACATCATTTGCTTTTGCTGCAATTTTAAGCAATAAATGGATTTGGAAGATTAGTATGTTATAGAAAATATTGTTAAACTAACTTGTTTCACGTTTTGGGCTTGTAGATGCTGGAAAAACCAAGAAAACATATCATGTTCTTGTAGTCTGGCTCCCCGACCCCACTTAACCCCTTAAGCACGGGTTATAATGGGGACATTCCTCCACACAAAGAGCAAGTGGCCCGCATGACTGCACAGCCTTTGTGTGATAGCGGGCCTGCACAAAAGCATCAGCTGTGGAATTACCCACTAGCCGCGTGCCACTGCATACCACAACTGGCAACTGCATTCCAATGAGGATTAGCGGCCGCGGCCATGACCGCTTCCCGGGCCCATGGGGTTAAGATGAAACGAGCAATTAATACACTTTGGGGATTTGTGAGGTCAGAGAATCAGTCTAGCAGTCTTGTACCCCTTCACAGGTGTGTAATCAATTGCAAAGAAATGTCAAATAACTAAATATGAAAAATTAGGAAATGCTTTTGAAAATAGCTAGTTTTCTCCAACGCTGGTTGGCCGACCAGCCCTGAAAAATACACTTTTTCTTGAAAATATCAGCACACCAGGAGCCACAATTTTAAAGGATGCTTTAGACCATCAGTCCCTAACAATTCAGTAAGGCATTTCGTGATAATTTGATCATTTCATTTTTTGATGTTTGCAAATGATGTGTCTTTCCTTTGATATCAAGTTTATACAGTTTTCATATTTTAAAAGTCTAAATAAAGGTCCGTTAATTCAACTGCAACTCCAACCAACTTGTGTCCTCGCAATTGTCTCTGATGTAATTGACCTATCGCCGTTTGCGAGATAGCCACGGTTGTACGTGAACTTTTGACGTATATCATGTGATTGGACAATAATTTACAAGTTGCGCTGACGCGATTCTACTTGGATAGGTTAATTGCTAATTCTATGAATGAAGACTTGCAAGCCAATGTAAATAGGTGGCCAGTCCTCCCCCTCCCCTCCCTTCCCGAAAATGAAGAGAAAAGGGGTTGGTAGTAGGGAATTTTTTTTTTTAATGAAACTATAGGGACTAGACAATATTAAGAATGAAAATTACTCAATTTACATTGGAATACTTTGGAAAAATCAATCCAGGGGAAACTCGAGTGAAAACTGAATCTAATCAACAATTGACTGAAACGTCTGGTCCTGGTTCCGGTCGATCGGAGTGAATTGAATTTTCATTCTTTGGAAATAAGAGAGAAATAGGCCGCCATTATCAACCCGTTATTGATTTGCTAACATGCACGATTTAATATACTAAATAATAACAACGAAGTACATTTTTTTCTGCTCACATTTCACGAGTAGAACATCTATTTGTCCATTTTTTGGCCACTGTGTTGCATTTTCTACCGATCCTCAAACATCGTTTAGTCATCATTAGTCAGCCGTACCATTCCACTGATTTGCAGAACAAATAATATCTCAGCACTTCACTGACCTTTTAAGCACGTGATTGAGACTTGCTCTCATTAGATGACGTACAAATACGAGGAAGGAAGTACCCATTGGTTTCACATATCACAACCACTTCCTCTATTGCGCCATACAGCCTGAAATGCATTACGTGCGTGTGAAAGATAAACTTCCATGGAGATGTGCATGTGCCCACACACAAGCAACCTTCACTTGAACCGTACACCTATCGAACGTTCTCAGCCAAAGACTGGACAGCATTCTAACGGGTACGTGTCAATGGTCCGAACAATTTAATATGCTATAATCAGTTGTTTTTGTTATAATGGCGGATTATACAATTGAATCAAGTACCGGTAGTTTCATCGAATACCGGTGAGATAATTGTTTGAGGCGAGTACCTTGGAAAAGACAGTGAAGGACTAGAGCAAAGGCCTTTTTCATAAGATGATGTTTTTTTAACGCTTTATAGCTCGTGCATTTGACGGAGTTCGAGGGCAATGTTTTGTTTTGAATAGATAGACACGGGTAAATATTTTGTTCATCCATTGTTACTAATTATAATTAAAATGACAAACCAAAGCCTCTCAGACGCAGCGCATTAGGCCTATACCATTGTGTCAAAACGCTTCAAAGTTAAGTAGTAACCCTTTTAATCAAGCTTCGAGACCAGTTTTCGACAGCAGCTCGAGATCAGCACATGTAGGTGTTTTACTCTTACAGGTATCAATTAATATTCCTGGATGGAGACGGGCGGTTGTAGTAAAGTGTCTTGCCCAAGAATACACACAAAAGTATTTTCCCCGTCAGGATTAAAATCCACGTAACTATGATCAACCGCACAAGTTAGTCGCCATAGCCATTGAACCACGACGTTTACCACAGTTATTTACTTAGTACAAAAAATATTTGCTGAGCAAAAACACACTTTTAATACATGCCCTACTGTCATGCAATGTTGCCTGTAACTCAGTGGAATTTTACTGCCAGAACATTTTTTTTGCTAACAATTTACTTTCCTCCCAGCTGCTCCACGAAAATTGATCAAAGAAAATTTTACAGCGTTAGACCGTGAGACAAAGAAGAGCTTGTTTCCACTGGTAATGCAGTAATCAATGAAAAATGTATCACCAACCGATTGTCACAAAAGTTGACCGATACTGTATCACTAACCGTTGATGTAACAAAAAAATGACTATTAGTGTAGTAAATATACTACACTATCAGTCAATTTTGTTACATTTTTGTTGCTGACCGATAATGCATAACTGATCGTGTAAATGTAACTACACGATCAGTCAATTGTTGTTACATTATCAGTAAAGTGATACAATGTCGGTCAATTTGTGCGACATTATCGGTTGGTGAATGGTTACTACGTCATGAGTTGTAAAAGAGCTCTTTTTTTAAAGAATCACATTTTTTTCTCCCTCAGACCAGATTTAAAAGCGCTCCATTTGACGCGGGGGGATTTGTTTCTAATCGATAGAACTTATGACACTGATTGTCAATTTTTTGTACGAAAAGTAGCGTAAAATGTGACATTTTCCATTGACCGTGTACTGGTAAGGCGCACAGGCGGTAGTAGTAACAATTATAAATGACTACTCTGTAAAACCTGTTAACGATTGTATTTAATAGCTTTTAAGACATTAAGAACCCATGTCTTGAACTGCCTTCCGAATTTCAATAATCCATGTTAAGAGGGAGTCAATAGTAAACGAGCTAAAGATCCAGCATATTCTTATGTCATTAACATTTTGTCAGGTGATCTCTGGATCTCAAGATGAAGGTCGCTAGAAATCACATGTTTAATTTCCGGGATCGGTTTTGCCTTACACGTGCAATTTGAGATAGAGCTGCACGTCACTAGAGTTCCGCAACGTTTCGATGCACGTATATACATTTTCCGCCTGGGGAAGTAATTCTGTCCAGCGTAACACTGTAAAAGGCACTGTAAATGCCAATCGACCTTGTATGTGTAGACATTTTGATATAAAGTATAATGTAGCTACTAGTGTTTCCTGTAAGCTAGACGGCAGATTTGATGTGTGAGGTGTAAAATTGTTTTTTCATTTCAAGAACATTTTGCAGACATGACAAAGATGGGCGAAAAGATGTTCCGTCTTCGCTTGCTACATGCAATACTGTGGAAAATGACCTTCCAACTCACGTTTGTTACCTCCAAGCAGCAAAACTGTAAGTAGGTCTACGACTATTTCATGTATGACTCGAGATTGTTTATGTCTCTCTGCATTTGATCGAGTTCATTTTTCTGTCCAGAAAGATTACCTGCTAAATTCAACCTACCCAAGAACCCAAGCCAAGTGTATAGCAACTGGCTTAAGATTGAACCAATCAAACTTATGCAAGCCAGATGTAAAGTCTGATTTTGTTGTTGTTGATCGCACCATGGGATCATTACATTATGATTGAAAATTCAGTTTCTACACAGCATGTCTAGCCTTTTAACTTTTAAAGAATTGAGAGCTGTCATTGTTTGAACGGGTTTCCCCAACATGTATAACATTATGACTGAAACTGACTTGTCAAGGTAGGTGTCAAGGAAACAGTGACCAGCATAACTGGATAAATTGCTGCTTTCTCTCTCGTTTCAGTACCTGGCTATTTGGGATGTTTTGGTGATTCGACTGATCGCGCCCTCCCGGCGATCAGTGAATCGTCCAATGAACAGTTTGTAGAGCGCTGCTTCAGACACTGTCTGGAACCCACCCAGTTTAAATACGCCGGACTGGAATACTCATACGAATGCTACTGTGGGAATAACGAGGACTATGACAAACACGGGGAAAAGCCGGAGTCCGATTGTCAAGACAGTTGCGCCGGAAACAGCAACCAGATCTGTGGAGACAGTTGGAGTTTATCTGTGTACAGAGGTAAGAACAGATACCAATATAAAAACCTGTCAAACACATTTCTCAGGTTTTTGTAATGTGGATTGGCATTTCAAACTAGTGTTGTAGTGGAGTCCATCACAAGGGCGGATCCGGGGGGGGGGGGAGGTGGGGCCAACAGGGGCCACCCCCCCAAAAAAAAAACACCCATTTTTTAAATGACGTCACAATAAAGGCAGGCACTGCGTACACTACCATCTTTTCCTCCAAAATAGGTTAAATTGGTCAGAAATTGGCTCAGAACGCTCCACAGAGCATCTAGAATCCAACAATTTTGGGGGGTCTGAAGCAGGCCCCGAACTTGCCTTACGCCGTCATTTTTGAGACCCACTTTGGGGGGGGGGAGACCATTTCTTTTTGGTCCTCCCAAGATTGTGTTCTGGATCCGCCTTTGGTCTTATGCACCAGTTGAACATTTTTGTCGAGTTCTCTTAATGTATTTCATTATTTGTTAACTAATGAATGGGAATATGGGATGGCGCTAGACTGTTTATGCAGGCATAATGCAGCCTCATTTTACTGTCATTTCGTTTTTAATCTGGCTTATAACATTAGGGAATGTTTAATTACAAAATTTTAAATTATTCATTGAAGAATACTGGAATTAATCAGTGATTAAATGCTTTCATTTCTCTTCGCAAGTTCCAAAACAATTTTTGGAATGAACAGAACAGATTTTACCTCGCTTTCAATTCGATAAGGCTGACTCGTACATAAGGCCCAACACAAGTCAAGTGAAGTCACACTATTCAAATGAACTGAGACGAAGGTATTTTTGTCACTCCCATCTCATGTTACTTGTGATCGGACTTGTGAAGTAGCTTGTGATTTACTGGTGGTGGCATTGTGATTGACTCGACTATAACACTGATCCCAACCCCGCATCTGAAATGCACAAGGTACATGTATTATTTTTGTATGAATGTCTTTAAATTTGCAGTATCAGATGGAGTATGCAGTAACGACATAGGACCACCCACCAAAGGAGAACACGCCATCACCAACCCGCGTTCACTGTCTTACAATCTCAACAACTTCAAGTTCTTCGGGACTCGTGTAGATTTCTCCTGTGACCCTGGATATACCCTCCATGGAGCATCAAGCATTGAATGCATTGCGACTGACTACAACAACGTCACGTGGAGTGACTCGGTACCGACATGTGAAGGTATTTCAGAAAGACATAGTAATCGATCAAAATGAGAAAAGCCTTAAACTAGATTTTACTGAAGACTGAAGATGTGACGAGCTAATATCATTTACTTTGTATTTTGACAGCGCCCCCAAGCACTGAACATTTAATATGCTGACACCGCCCTTGCACTTTACGAATTTTCACGGCTGGCCCCGGACCAAAATCAAAATTGGATAAAACAACCCCAAGAAAAATTTCTCGCAACGCAACTGCCCACAAAACCTCTGTAAAAAAAATCTGACGTCTTCTATTTTCTCCAACAGTTTCTACTAACACGACAATTCCAACGACATCTGCGCCTACCACTACGCATTTACAAAGCACTGTCACTGACTCACTGATGACGAGTGGAAACTCGACAACCGATAGGACGCCCTCTTCGACGGATTTTCCCAGCGAGACACCGGGGGACAACGAACCAAATACCGGAGCGCTCCAGACAGGTACGAAAAGTAGTAATTCTCACCCATAATTCACCGCGATACCGGTTTACGGACTCCGTGGCTCTCAACGGTGGTAAAGAGGGAATTATGACGGCCATTTTGAATGCGATCTGTACCAACATGGGTTTGTCGCCCACGCACACAATTGTGTATTTTCCTGCAATCGGGGACCCCCTGTTGTCCATCTTGTGTTGGTACTTTTTAGGAAGACCTCCCATATGTTTTGTACAAGATCGCCCAATTAAGGACCTGCGGAAATTGGGAACCCTGTTGTCCTCTATTTTTCAACATCCCTATTGAATGCAGAAACAAACTCAACGAAAAAGCTGTGGATTTGTGCACACTTAATATTAAATAAAATTGGAGCCGCTGGACTTGCTGATGAATTTAATCAAAATGTGTGATGTTTCCTCAATCTTTTTGGCTGCAAAGTCGATTTACTTTTGCAACACTTTTCAATCATTAATCCTTTAAATGTTTCTTTTCTCTTTGCCAATCTTTGCAATATCCTTTTTATCCTCCTCCGACCCCCCCCCCTCCCTCAACAGACCAATTCCCACTCTTTTCCATCCTTTCTTCTTTACAGGAGCAATTGTTGGAATAGCTGTTGGAGCCGGAGTGCTAACTACACTGATACTGTTAGTGGTTCTCCTCTGCAAGAAAAGGTACGTATTGAATGATGTAGCATTTTGTACGATTGCAACTCGTCTTGCGAAAATCCTTCTAAAGGTTTTGTTTTACGACACGCAACTGGTGTATTAACAAACTGCCCCCCCCCCCCCAGGTAGAATAAGGTATTTCTATGTTGGGCGAACAATCCAAAGATCTCTCTTGCTTCCCGTAAAACCTCGTAAACCTCCCTTAGAAGTTTCTGTCTAATGATACCTTTATGTGGCTAAAATGTTGCATGTCTCCCTTTTAACAGTTAGCACTGTCAAATAAAAGTTACTCCGCTATGTATGTAACGATGTCACTGCGAAACACTTTTTTGAAGATGCTCCTCTGACTTTTTTTCCCAGAAGAAAACGAAATAAGAAGAGCCCGGATGTTAGGGGGGTAACATTTGGAGACAGTTACACAAACAACGCTTACGCACTACCGGAGATCGTGAGCCAGTCGATCACGGACCAATCAACGATGCCCATTTACAGTCAGGTCATCAAGAACAAAACCGATTCTGATGACGTGTACGCTACTCCTGATGACATCACCAGCCCCGATGATAACGAGAACGTGCCTAGCGACCAACCAAAGGGCGTGGCTCCATCACGTGATCAGGAGAGTGGGTGGGTTGAGAACACGCTGTACATGTGCGAATCATTCCCAGCCGAGCCTACGACGAGAGTCAATTATTCAGACGGACAAACAAACAGTGGACCACCGCTAACAATGGAAGGAAAACCTGGATGGGTTGAAAATATCATCTACGAATAAAAACAAATGTAAACCCGCTGTAGAAACCTGTATCACAAAATTAGCAGACTTGTACATAGAAATGCGACTGGATCTTGACTTGGCGTCGAGAGATGTACATGTTAATATACATATACTTAAAAATGTTGTTCAATTTTTGTATTTTCTTCAACGACGTCATTTCAGAAGTGCTGTCTTTTAAAGAGCTTACAACAAATATTACAAGATTAGCATATGTGAATTAATCAAATAAGTCAATTATGATTTGCTCTGGTTCAGACATTGGCAAAGTATAATGTTCTGCTTCTGTGATTACTTATAGAAAACGACAGTTTTGTGACGGATAATTATTGTGACAATTCCAATGATGACGAAATGCCACAAACTGTGACTGTCAATGTCTTTGCCCTTGTTATTATACCGAGCAGCAGAATGGTGTGCAATCCAAGTGTGAACTAGTGTGCAGTATTGTGCAGTATTTGCTTGAGTGGTTCTATCTGAAATGAATACACAAACCAAAATATCATAAGTACAAAAATAATGAAATCAAAATGTATCTCCACATGTATTAAACAGTACCGATTTTACATGCATTGATAATTAAATGGCTGACGTGAAATCCTCAAGCATATTGTTGTGTCCATTGTGATTTATTTTCTCACCAAACTAGAATGTGTGTTTGTCTGTTTCAACTTATATCCACTTAGTGCAGACTTTCCTTCAGTGTTTAAAATGCAAATCATCACACAAAACAGTTTTCAAAAATATCCACATTCTGTCATCTGAGAAATTCATGGTCATAGTTCATTTCTAATGAAAAACTACCGATTTCACATAATCTTACAAAACATGCTTCTATGCAGAAATCGGGTACAGATACGTTGGTTTTACGCACTCACGCCACGAGTATCGTGTGTGAGTGTGACCAAGTGTTTATGACGTCAGTCAAGTGCACCTACCATGTGCCCCCAAAATTGAAACTCGGATATTTTACCCAGCATACCGGTAAGAAGGTCGACCTTTGAACCCTAACCCAGTGACCTTGAATAACGAGCCAGCCAATGGCTGCTGGTGTTGTTTCTGTTCGTTCAGGCCATCCTTTACAGCGTGTCCAGGTTCTTTCCTCCAAAGCAGCATGATGTTACACCTGCGCAGGAATTTTTCTAGAGGGGGGGGGGGAGCAAAGCATTTTGTTCCAAAAAATCCCTATATTTTCCAGCATTTTCCGGATTGATCATTTTTTCAAGGGTGGGCAGGGACATTTGCCCCTTCCTCAACCTATTAAACTAACAACAATATGAGTTTTTCCTTTTTTCCCCTGTGTGTGTGTGGGGGGGGGGGGGGCAAGCGCCCCCCCCCTTGCCCAACCACAACCCCCCCCCCCCCCTCGCGACGCCCATGCGCAGGGGAAAGCAACGGTCTGTAACTTCTCCCCTGGATCTCCGTCGATGTGTTTGGTCACGAACCTGTCTACATCCAGACAGTAGAGGGAGCCCTGTTTGCACTTCCCTTTGACATTCGTTTCCATGTGACCCGAAAGTCCCTGGAAACAAAATAAAGGAAAGCACGTGTTAAGGTTTGCAACCCCCTAGTGTTATACCATACCAAAATTCAAGAGTAGGATTTTAATATGTTGGTTAAAGTTGCAACACATCAAGCCTGTAAATATATTCTCTTTTATTTTTGACACGTTCATAAGCACCGAGTACACAGCGCTTTTATCGCAAATTTTTATTATCGCAGTTATTTATCCACAGGTAAACAGAGCCGACTTTTGTTCGTCGTTGTCTCCTGCATTAACAAATGAATAACTTTTGTATTTTTGAAAATAACGATTTAAAATCCATTTTTCTTTTTAGAATGAAACTCCAAAACAGAACGGACAGTACAATTTTTTTTAATTGTGTAGTACTGGTGCAAAATTATATCGCTGAAAACCGAGCATAGATATACTAGTTTAACAAATAAGTTAAGTGTTGAATGTTAAGTTGAACAAATGATGTTAAGATGAACAAATACAAAAATAAACTAAGTCAAATTCAAAATTACTTAATCATTACTTAAGCTGTATGGATTTTTGGTTTTGTTTAACTAAATAGCTTTCAACATCAGTCTCTGCAGAGCTTACTTGACTGACCAGGCTGACTGTGTTTATTTCTTGTGGAGAATTATGTGTATCTATATATATAAGAGAGAGTTTAACTCGGCCTCCAAGACGATGTTTGCTCATGAAAGGATCCGAGACCGCGGGCTCCCGCGGTGCCAAAATCGCTCCACGTCCGTGGAAAAATGCGGAGGGTGTCTTCCGGCGGGTCGGACACTTCGGGTCGTCCTGATTTTCCCGTACGGACCGGCGATCCTTTTCGTCTATTTTTCGTGACTGCATTTTGCGCAGGAATTTGCCGTCGTGTGCGCTTTCACGTTGACTGCCTGGCCGCCCCCTGTCCTGGCTTTTCTGCGTGTCTAGACTGTGCGAGGTCAGCGGCTTCGACGTAGGGGTTCCGTTTACGTGTTCTACTCGGCCGTTCTGCAAAAGCGTTCACCAAATTGTGGGTGGGGTGACCTTGGTAAAATATTTTTTCTCCATGGTGCGTGGCCACCAAGTGCCCCTATTCTTTCATATGCTTCGCTTGCCGCCCCTGCGCCAAGTGCAACGAATACTCAGAAGGACTACACATTAAGTATGCCTTGCGCGGTCTGACCAATCGAAAGTCTACACTGCGTAGTATTTCCGGGCTATGCAAAACTGTCGATGGCAACGCGCACTGCAGCCTGCTCCACACCCTAGAAACGAGGTTGGGTCTACGGTGCTCGCTATTTGAAGCGCAAGCATGTGACGTGTAGAGTGCTGTTGCTTCCATGATGTGTTTACAGCTCCATGCTTCCACCACCAAGGCTGAGCGTTGTGAGTTCGCTGCCCGCCACGTATATTTCAGTGTTGTGTTATAATTTCGGGGGCCTGTTTGGGGTCAACGAAGGATCGATGCATTCACAAAAAAAATGACGAAAAAGTGTCCGACCCGGTGGAAGACACCCACATTTTTCCACGGACGTGGAGCCATTTTGGTGTACGTGTCGAGGGAGACCGCGGTCTCGGATCCTTTCAGGAGCAAACATTTCTCGGAGGCCGAGTAAAACTTGCTCTTATATAGATGGTTGAACCAACTTCAATAAAAGTTAAATCGACTTTTTCCTCGCAGACGGTCTCGCAAATTGTAAGAAGTTCAAGTTTACGTTTGTTGAAGAGTCCAATACTGAAACTTTATTATGACCTTCGTCCATGATTCAGACCGTTTGTAAATTTATGGTAACACTCAACATTTTCATTTCAAATGACACCTACCTTTACGTTTTATTGCATTATGATTTATTGTCGAAACTGTACAATCAGCCTTCGCCTGTGTACTACGGTAACCTTTTCACTGCGTTTTCCAAATGCGACTGCCTCACAAAATGCCAATTTAACAGACCAACGGGAACATTTACAGACAGTTGCCATGGTACATTATCATGTGCGTAAATCGACGGGGGACAGGGGGAAACAACCCCCCCCCCCTCCCCATTTTAAAGCGGGGGACATTGTTTGGTTCCCCCCCCCCACTTTTTCTTCCCCGAATAAAAATTGTAGCCTACAACAAAGATTCTACTGCTCAGAATACATGTAGCTGATTCAATTACTCCAAACTCAAAACTTTAAAAGATGATCTTTTGCTAAAATTGGTTATAGTGGTCAGAAATTGCCTCAGATCACACCACAGAAATTGCTTTTCTATAACTGCATGTCTCCTTAACTATATCCCCATTTACATTTAACTCCCCAAATTTTCATCCCCAACACTACGCCCTACCCGATCTATGATCGGGTAAATCAGCTTGTCAAATATAAAACGATGGCTGTTGTCTGACTATTAGGGGACTATTCCAGTTTTGGACACGATATATCGTCAACAGGCGGCGCTATTCGTCGTCGCCTATTGGGGGAGTAATAGTAGCGGCTGTGAGGTGCTGTCGCTTTCATTAATTTTGCTCATAAAAATGACAATTTAGCCAATGGCAAGTTGCCCCTCTCCTCCCTCCCGGCCCCGCCCCCAGTGCTGACGCCACTGTTTGTGTATGTCATGTAATCGCGTGCCCTGATTCGCAAGGGCGTCGCCATGATTTTTCTCTAGAGGGGGGCAAAACATGTTTTTCCCAAAAAATTCTTTGAACACATTCTTGATTTCTCAGTTTTAGACGGGGGAAGGGACATTTTGCCCACCCACCCCCCCAACTCATTAAATTTACACCACTATGACTTTGAGCCTCTTTTTCGTTTCTTTTTTTCTCTTTTTTTTCCTCTTTGTTTCTCCCCCCCCCCCTTGTTTATTGCTTTTCCAGGGGGGAGGGGGGCAAGCGCCCCCCCCCCCCTCTTCCCCCCTCGCGACGCCCATGCTGATTCGTCTATATCCACAGGTAGGCAAGGTTTGTGAAATGTGTTCAGAATGTCGTATGTAAGGATTCTATGTTTACAGGGTAAGCACACAATTTCTGTGCTAGCACTGTAAGCACAAATCGTAGATCGCAAACGTAAAATCCTTGGTTGTTATAGCAGAACCACCAAAGTGGCTCCTACCATACCGATTTGTCTTGTCTCATGTTTCTCTGTCACCGGATCCCAGCGATGCACTACTCCACCGACGTACTCAATGAAGTACAAACACTGATCGTCGTCCTAGTAGGGTCTTCCAAGAACACCATACACCTCTTCAAAAACCAAAGACACAGACATCCTCATATAGCTATCTCTCTTCATCTGAAAGAAGACTGAACAAGTAGGCTCAAAGTTCTCCTGGTGTATGCGTAGTCTCCTAGAGTAGTGTAGTCCATACCGTCACGAGTAAACGCACAAGTGAGTTAATTACCAGTAAAATCCGAGAATGGATTATGATGACTTCACATGATACGTGACCTGTACTGATGTGTGAAAACCGGACTACAACTCTGGCACGTGGATCTCAACTGAATATCAACATATGCACATGAAGAAGATAGTACCAAAGAGCAAGTAACAGTATTGTCCAGATCATTAAAGTCATGATGGCCGGAAACGTGATCCTGGTAGAATCTTTCTTGTAGGCCTAGACAAAATGACCAAACATTTATATTACACAATTCTGCCATGATTTTTGTATTTAAGATCACTTTAGTCTAAACACTTTGATGCTAATTAGTTAATTTGAGACTATCGATTTTACCTATCTCACTGACTGACTTACTGTCACTTGTGAGCGGGGCGACTAGTGCTATCGTATTGGAATACACCGTAACGCAAATGAGTGGGCTAAATCCCCATATTGTATTACCCAGATGGATGAAAAGACTTCCAGTGAATAGCCACTTTGAATCAAATGAATAGAATGCTGTACACTCTGGTACTAGACTTGTTTATAGGTTGAGTAAATATTGGGTAAGTACTTAATGGGTTTAAGTGACCCATGCAGAAACCCAGAAAAAATTAAATCATTACAACTAAAAAAACAAGCTTACCATGAAAGATATTTCAAAACATAGTTCATCAGTATGATCAAAAGGTCACTACACCGGCACCGCTGCGTTCTGCGCCAGGCGCGTGACAATCCCCATTTAAGGATTGTTTAGTACTACTCGCGCAAGGCATATACCTCACGGTGTTCATTACCAAATTGCGCGTGCGCAGATCCTTGTTTAACAACGGCAACGGAACATTGCATACGGAACATGAACTGTCCGACTTTTGTGAAGCTTCTTTAATGACATCACAGTTTTGCTCTTTATTATGGACATAATTGTATTAGCATAATAAAATCAAAGGGCACCAAAACGCCCTTAAAATGGCAATGTGGATATTAAAAATAATGTATGTTAAACGGAACACAATCGTACATCTTCAATGATTGAACTTAAAAAAAAAAAACCTTTTACATGGGCCCTTTACGTCCTCAAAGTTATTGTAAATATTATGCCCAACTCGGGCGATACACAATGCTGTGCGCTACCGAGAGATGGCAACGGAGAGTTCATTTTTTCCAGTGCATTGTGGGAGATGGTCGACAAATTCGCAGCCTCGGACATTTGAAATTGTTCGTTTTTCCGGTTTGTAGTTTCGTAAGCGTATGATTCGAGTATCTGTTTGCCCTTTTCTTTTCTTTTTATCAATATGGTGTCTTTTGTAAGGCGGCAGATAGCTATGCCCCAGTCTATAACAAATAAGCTCATGTTGTCTACTGACACTCATTCAAATGGGCCATGTTTTGTCGACCGTAAACTTGAAAAATGAATTCTCCATGGCAGACTCTTGGTGGCGCACTGCATTGTGAATCGCCCGAATTTTCAAAAGAGTTTTCCGTTTTCATTTTACTAAATATCGTTTACATGTTGTAGCGCGGTATGTAGGAGCGTGATTATTAGGCTACGTTGTTGCTTTAAATAAAATCGTTTTATTTTTCAGATATCGCGAGGAATCGCTTCGACAGCTTGAGACTTCATATTTAAAAATAACGATGACCTGCAGTACCTGCGCCATTGAGGTGCCCTCAAAGTATTGTTTAGTGTATAACCAGCAATATTAATAAAACAGGTTAACTTTTTTTGAATACCCTAAAATTGGAAGAGATCAAATAACTTGTTTATAAAATGATAAGCTGATAAATGCGAGAACTTTATTACCGTAGTATGGTGTGTATTTCTCTCTTTTTGCAATTGAGAAAATATTAATGTCTGTTATGATTTTTTTAATGGTATCGGAAGCATTCTGCGGTCTATCATGCTGTTTAACATATATTATGCTACTTCCTGAATTTGTTTGCACCAGTTTCGTTTCCTCTTTTAGATTTGAGGAAAGCAACATTACCCGAAGGAAACACGCACAGGTTGTGGTGGTGATGTGGGTTGTGGTTTTTGACATTATGCTAAGTTTAACTGCCTTTCCTAGTATTTTCAACAATATGGTGAGTGCAAATGATAACCCCTACAGCGAACGCATGGGCCATTCATTGACTTCCTTCAATTAAAGGGAGACTCCAACTTGCTAAAATGATTGGTAGCCATTTAGAATTTATCATTTTACAAGGTTGTTGAGAAAGAAAGCATGGGACATATTAATGCGATGATGAAACACACAAGATATTAATAGGAAGAAACAAGAAAGAAACACATTACCTCTAAACACTGTCCGTAAAATATGCTACAAAATATGCTCAGGTGAAAACAGTATTTATTAAGTATGCAGAATTTAATTAGCTGTTTCTGTGTACACACCGAAACAGCTCTTGTTTTCGTTAAGATTTTTCCCCCCTGTTTTCCCCCTCCTCTTTCAGTTATTTGTCCCCATATATTTTGTACACGTTTTCTTCTACCAGTCCACTTTGGCTCTTTCGTAAATCCGATCGACTTCAGACATTGCACATACTTAGACTACTACCCAAAGATGGTCCTAAAAGAAATTCGTCATCGTGGCGTCATCAGGTGTCAGGTTACGTCACATTAAATATGTATTTTGTCGCCATATGTTTTGCACACGTTTTCTTCAAGCCATACACTTTGGCACTTTCTTAAATCTGATGGACTTCAGACTTGGCATATATTTATACTACGGTCCTATGGCACATATTTAAACTACGGTCCTAGAAGAAGAAAACGTCAGGTTACGTCACTTTAAAGATACAATTTTTCCCCATATGTTTTGTACACGTTTTCGTCAAACATTATACTTTAATTGGCACATTCTTAAATTTGATCGACTTCAGACTTGGCACATTCTTAGATCATCACCCCTAAATAGTCATAGAAGATTTTTATCATCGTGACGTCATCAGGGGTCAAGTTAAAGTTCAAAGCCTTATATCTTTGGAAGAACAAGTCCGATTGGGTTGAAAATTTGTGGGTACATACACAGGGATATGTTATAGATAAAAAATTGAAGAGACGTAATGATTTCGTCATCACAAGGCATGTCACGTCATATTAAAGGTGCATTTTTAAATGTCTAAATGTACAGTACAAAAGATCCAATTTGGTTTGAACTTGATATGTACCTATATCGGGATGTGTTATAGATCAAAATTTAAGTGACGTCATCACAACGTCATCACATTTCATGTGACGTCACATTAAAAGGGCATTCATAATGCCTTTATATATAGGTTGGATTTGGTTGTAACAAGTCCGTAGGTACTAAAACCGGGATGTCTTACATGTGACAATTGATGTGACGTCACGATGACGTCATCACAGTTATCTGCCCTCGCCTAAAGTGGCATTTTAAAATCTGTATATACACATGTGAATGCTGACATATTCACATGTCATGTACATGACATGTGTTATCAATGAAATTGGAAGCTGTGACGGTCGTCATCGTCACAGAGTCGTTACATACACACGAAACAGCTTGTTTTTGTCCACAAACACATTTCTAGTTATATTTACTTCGGGTATTGAAAAAAAATACAGACATATAAAAAATATTGAGCACGTCAATCCAGTGACAAATCCATGATTTTCCGAAATGTGGCTGGGGTGTTGAAATATTATTCCATGGATGATGTTGCAGTAAAAGACCCAAAAAAAACCCAAAGACCTGAAGCAGTGAATCAAGTCCGGTTCCCCGACTGGAGCAATTTATAGACTTCGGGAAATTGTAAGGTATAGAGAATCAGTCTAAAAGGCTTGTACCATATAACAGGTGTGTAATCAATCGCAAAGAAAATGCGGAATAACGAAAAAAAATGGGAGCAGTTTTTGAAAACAAGCCAATTTCGACCAGCGTTGGCAAAACACAATTTTTCTTGAAAATGTCAGCATACCAGGAGCCACTATTTTACAGGATGCTTTAGACCGTCAATCACTTACAATTCAAGGTATTTCGTGATAATTTGATCATTTCGGTTTTGTATGTTTGCAAATGTTGTATCTTCCCTTTACATTGGTTCTACATTTACATACAAACACATGCAGTGAGCCGTAACGGATATCTAACCGGAAACAAATCGTATTGAGTTGCAGTTGCAACTCATAGCAAAGGATGTTTGACACGGTGACAGTCTAAACAAAGGACTAAGCTATTAGTAAATCTGCAATCGCGCATTTTTCATCTATGAGTGGAGTGCATTTAGTACTGGTGCACATAATCTGGTCATTGTCGGTGAAACATAGCCATGTTTTTTACTAAAGCATCGCCTGGTTAGTAATGGATCCTTGCATGTTTGTTTTTGCTCTGTTTACCACAGCTTGCAAGCTTGTGTTTGTTTTGTCACAGCCGCGGAACGGTAAGTCATTATTATTATTTTGTTTTAATTGAGCACATTCATTTGAATGTCAATACAATTTTGAGTTCTCGGAGAGAACTCTTGCCCTTCACCGATAGGCATGCTATACAGGGTAGGCATATTGTCTAAAAACCTGTAAGAAGAAATTGATTGGGTGAGACTCGAGCCCACGGCCTATATTTGGACTTGTAGGCCACCCTTTGCCGGGGTAAAATGGACGAATGTCTGTTTGATTGATCGCGTCATTGCAGTGGGAACCGTAATCATTTGTTTGTTAAGTATCATTCAGTATATATTTATCCTACAACCTGCGCTTTCCCACTGCCAGCATAATTTCATTACAACCCAAGAGAGGACGATGTGACAGACTCAGCCTTTGGTCTTGAGCAAACCTAAGAAAGAGTAAATCCGACTGCCGAAATTCAATGACTCAACTAAGGACAAGACTTTAGATTATGTACTAGACTTTAGATTATGTACCTAGAGGAGCACTATTGTTTTGATGGCCCATTTCCCATCTCGAGAGGGGCACAGTTTTATTATTGCGAGAGGGCTGTTCGTGCTTTCGAGGGATAGTTTTCCATCTCGAAAAAGTTCACAATCTTGTTTATGCGCGAGCGCTTTTGTGTTTTTGAGGGGCACTTTTGCATAACAAGGGATGAGACAATTTTTGAGCGCAATCATAACGGATGCGTTCGTTTAGCTCACCCGGGTCGACACGGGTAAAGGCAGACGGGTCAGCCACGACAGCCGTGCTAATCGAACGCTAAACCGCGGGCCATCACGATCCTCATGTGACGCCCTTAGCCGTGGCCGTAGCCACTGACAAACCGCCCGTTTCGGATTGGGTCTTAGTTTAAGATGTACTGCTTAGTCAAATTGCAAAACTCAAAACTGGGCTTAAATTATAGCCTCAAAAGTCGCAATGAACTCAATAAATGATAACATAGTCCCTATTTGAGACTTCAAATAAAGTCAACTTTAAGTCCACTTGAGATTTCCGCTGTCCGGCCGCCATATTTGTCCGTTTCTAGGAATGAACAACGCATGGGTGACCATGGAGGAAGGAATGGGGTGACGTACTTCCACCAGACAGTGGCTCTGCTGTACGAGAAGGGTATGTGGTGGCTGACCCGGCTGAGCCTCGAGAATGACGTCAGAGCTAATCGAACGGCACGGGGCTGACCCTAAACGAACGTACCAAGTGCTTTCATGTGTACGTTTGAAAGGCATTTTTGTTTTTATCTCGGGGGGGGGCACATTTATGACCGCGAGAGGGGCACTTTTGTTGGCCTGAGAAAATCTGGCGGGGGAGTGCCCTCGAAGCGGCAGAGGTGACTCGGACTCGGGTTCGGACTCGATGTTTGGTGACTCGAATACAAGTCTGCTATATGTACACTACTGAAACTTGTTGAGACACTACATAAAGTGCTGCTTTGCATTTAACGAGTGATGATACTTTTTCACTTTTCATTCTGACTTTTGATAACAGCTCCTGGTTATCTTGGATGCTACGTGGACTGTGAGGATGTGACCTGTGTCAGCGATACACGTGTGCTCCCGATCGGACCAATACACAGCATCAATCAGTCTGTAGAGTGGTGCTTCAGACGCTGTCTGGATGTAGAATATATCAGCTACAGATACGCAGGACTGGAATACGCACATGAATGCTTTTGTGGAAGTAACGAAGACTACGAAAGAGACGGGGAAAGGGCAGACTATGAGTGTCAATATAGGTGTAGGGGAAACAGAAACCAGCTCTGTGGGGACTCCAATCGGATCTCTATATACGAAAGTAAGGCTTAACCCATAGAATTTGAATATGCACCACGTATTTTTAAACGTACATGTGCCAATAGTAGACGGGGCGTGGCTTAAATCAGGACTGGGGTATTTTGGCTGTTGGTAGGACCGGGAGGGGAAACGTTGGTAGGACCGGGAGGGGAAACATGGTGTTCCTCATCTTAACTATCATGTGCTTCGGCCGATTTTCCTAAAATTTGATCATCTGTTCAGTAGCAAATCGCAAAAAGGAATTTTCTTTTTCTTAATAAAGTATTGCAAGGAGTGTGCAGTAATGACACAGGACCACCCACCAACGGAGACCACGTCATCACCAACCCGCGTTCACTGTCTTACAATCTCAACAACTTCAAGTTCTTCGGGACTCGTGTAGATTTCTCCTGTGACCCTGGATATACCCTCCATGGAGCATCAAGCATTGAATGCATTGAGACTGGCTACAACAACGTCACGTGGAGTGACTCGGTACCAGCATGTGAAGGTGGGTTAAGTAACACGCGTTAAGGTAGTCCTGTCTGTTTTTGCATTCTCTACAAATTTCCAGGAGGAGGCGACGAACTAGTTTGAAGACTCTTTATAAAGAGAACGAAACAGATAATCGAGCATACTCTAGAAAAAAAGTAAAGGGTAAAATCATGCGCACGAAATTCCTCCATCATAATATCAGCTGATCAAAAAATATTCTCTTTCCGGTCAACGACACTTGTGTCGTCTATTGCAGAACCCCAAAGTAGGACAACGACGGCTGGCGTTGACTTCATCACATCAAATGACATTAGCAGCAAGCCCAATACTAGCCCTGTGATAACAGCTGGTGTGTCTGTAGGGGTATCTAGCAGCAACGGTAAGTTAGTGACTGTTACCACCACTCCCTTGTGGCAGAGGTTGGAGTCCCAAACCTAGGCTTCGTCTCCAGTTTCGGCTTAATAAAATTCGAATCGCCTCAATAATGTTCCATAGTTTGTTTCAGACACAATGCATGACTGTAATATATATTTACGTGTTCTTTGGAAAAATCAGACGTGTGGTTGCGAACTCCAAAGTGTGCCGGTTGTTATCAGCAAAGCTAATCCGGTAACGTACTTAGACGCTGTAACAGAGCAGTGATCCCCAAAAACATAGCAATTTAAACGTTGTGTTTCTCAGAAAATATGCTCAGTATAATGGAAATATTGAAATATAACATAAAAAGAAAAGGGAAAAGGGAAAACTTAGCCGTCATTGATTCTGAAACGTAAATATATTTGTTACTGGTAAAGCTGACCTTTAAGCAGCGGCCGGCAGCGGAAAGCTTTTCAAAACGGAGGCATAGGCCTATGCATCATCAAAAAGGGGCACTTGCTCAGTTAAAGCCATATTCCGTCGGTGCAGCAGAGTATCCAGCATTTGGGGGGGGGGGGCACATCCGTTCTGAATTGTCGAAACGTTTTTATCACCGGAAACTTGGCCTCCGTAAAAACAAAACGTGTGGGGGAAGGGGGATCCTCAGGGAATAAACCCTGAAAGTTGCAAGAACATACGGTCTTCCATACGGGAGAAACTAATTTTCAAAGATTTCGCACGCCAACGTGATCTGATACACCGTACCCTCTGGAGACGTGTGTACCATACGGAACAAAATATTGTATACGTCTCCACAGGGCAATTTCTATAGATGAATAGATGTCTCCACAAGGTTTTCACGAAATAGATGTATAGATTTTACACAAACACTAGGAATTTCCAAGCTATGTTGATCCGTCGCAAATGGAAGAGTTTTAGAAAAGGGATTAAGTCCAAATTTCAGCCAAGGAAATTATTTCTGGTTAAACTTTCAGGGTTTATTCCCTGAGGATCCCCCTTCCCCCATTTTTAAACTACACTTTTCAACTCGAACATTTTAGTACACGACAACAAAGGAATGTCTGCACAAGGATACAAATTCCTCTTTGTATGCTCTTTGAAACGTTGTTAAAAATCAGAACAACATTGCATCAAGCGATTGAAATAATGTTAACAATGTTTTCTTGACATCATACAGAACCGTCGGATGTTGGAGTCATAGTTGGACCATTCGTGGCGGGCCTCATCGTTGTATTGGCAGCTCTTGGTCTGTTGATAATTTGTATGTGGCGGCGTAAAAAGCGAGAATTAGTGAACGACTGTGACAACCAGCTTGTCAGAAATGACAGGTGAGACGCAGTTAACGGACACAGAAACACTATATACAATCTTTCTTGATCATTTGCGTTTATCCCGATAGAAACCTTCGAATTATTATGAAAAGCTTTCTTGGATTAGTATTGGTACAATATACTAAACACCCTTTGAAATTATTTGGGCTGGCTTGCTGTGATTTAGAAGAAATCAGGAAATGTAGATGATTTCCAACGATCAGTTAATGGACTGATTTTTGGAAATAAAGAGTGCTATAGACGAAACTGTGTTTTGTGATGATAAGGTTGTGTATGGTTTTCCCTGTTTATTTTCACTGAAAAGGGTAATATCCATTGAGCTTAAACTTCAATATGATAGGTTTTGAACATTTTGTCATAACTTTTGAAGGCAAAATTCATGAAAAGCAGATGGTCCGTATGCCTTTATAAACAGAGTCTGGAAGGATGCAGTGAACAATACCTTTTTTTGTAAACAAAAACTTCAGACGATCCCCTTCATCAAATGCAGACCACATGAAGTAAATTTGGAAACATCAGGTTGAGCAAATTTAACGTTTTGTTTCTCAGCAGTTACATGCAGCCAAACCATAATTCGCAATCACTGCGTTCAGAAAGACAGGATCAAGTTTGTACAATACAGGCAGATGGACAACTCGAGGGTGAGTCACAAAAAGATAAGTAATGAGTTTATTAAATCTTTACAAATATACAAAACATGCATATACGCAATCAGGAACCTTCGCAAAGAATGGGTTCGTAATTATAGAGTTGTAATAATCCCCAAAATGTTTGCCACGGTTCGAGTTTAACACAAGAAGGTCACAACTCGATCACAAGTCAACAATATATTGATTACAAGTCAATCGCAAGTCAATTCTAACTGAATCATAGGTCGATAACATTAAAATACAAGTTAATCAAAAGACAGTCACAAGTCAAAAGCAGGTTATCATGTAATCAAATCACTGATATGTCAAAACACAGTTAAGGCCTCAAATGACGGGGTAAACAATTCAGTGCCAGTTTGAGCCTTCTTCGTGGTTCGTTTGAAAAAGAAAATCTGTTGAGACTAGTATAGGTTGGGATTTACTCGGGATAACTTGTGATTGACTTTGATTGGCTTGTTTTACACCTGAGATGACTTTGATCACTTTTGACGGCCTGCGATTGGCATGTGATTGTCTTGCTATTAGCTTATGACAACTGCTAAATGATGACTTACGACGACTTGTGATTGAATGTGATAGACATATATGATTGACTTATTACAACTTTGTTGCTTGGTGTCCATCAAATCTGATTGCAAGAAAAGACAATATCCATACACAAAATATTTGTACATCTCTCTCTGTTTTCAATTGTCAGCTATCCCCTTTGGTGCGTTGTCCGCATCGACAGCGAACGAGTGCAACCCTGGACACGAGATCCAAGCTGCGCTTGCGGCATATGGCAATGTAGGCCCCAATCTATCGCTCTCGAGAGATCTCGTTGAAATCGAGAAAGAGATTGGTAGAGGTGCCTTTGGGAGAGTGCTGCTGGGGACCGCACTTGGGATCGAGGATGTTGACAAACGAACCAAGGTTGCAATCAAAACTATCAAAGGTAAACTCCATGTTAACATTACTGATTCTGAGCAGTGCATGCAAAGATCATATTATAGCCTTTGTAGATACGGCGGCAATAAACGTCGTCGTATTGCCCAGATCATAGCCTTAGCGTGGCACCATTATGAATCTTACATTAAGAGGGCGCTATTCCGCTTGGGTAAACTCTTTTGTGTGCATCGTGTAGCTCCTTTGTGTTAATCCACATACGCTCCTATTGTGATCTCAAAGAGTCCCATAACAGCTAGGTAATGACAAGAAAAGTATTAAGGTAATGTGCAAAGCAAAAAGTTCACGAATATCATAAATAATGTATTTACATAAAGTTAACTTATTCCCTAACACTAGAGGGCGCTGACAGACAGGCGACTATGGAGCTCCTGGAGGAGTTGGACGTCATGAAAAAGATTGGGTCTCACCCAAACATCGTCAGATTACTTGGCTATTGCATAGAGACAGGTAGGACTCCGTGCAATTGGCTATTATTTTCTACAATATTAATCTATGCAAATAAAAATACTCACTTTATAATGTGTAGTGTGGAGTTAAAATACTGTAGACATTCTTGAAATCGCTACGAGGAGTTTTTTGTCTTCTTTAAAACGTAGTACATTGTCCTGAATTGATTATCCAATTCTATTTGTAGATATTGCATAACCCTTTATGTTTATGAGAACACATTTGCCCAGTACATTGGTCTGTGGATAAAAACAGTTGTGACCGAACACACGTGAATGAGTTTTTTTGTTCATACCCAAATTAAGAATTATCAAGATGCCAAACTGAAAATATCAAAATGACGGACGGGGAAGCTCATTGTTCTGCATTCGAAAAAAAAAATAAGAAATCTTTCATGTCATGTTATTCGGCCATGAGGTTTATTAGTATTATTGCTAGTAACTTTGTAAGCTTAATTTATTAAAGATCCCATCTATCTCATCGTGGAGTACCTGGGTGAGGGCGACCTCAAGAAAGTTCTGATGGGATACAGAATCACAGATACTGGGACCGGCTACGGCAACATTTCTGGTCTGAGTCAATCACTCTCGTTGACCTTGGTCAAATTCGCCAGGGACGTAGCCAATGGAATGGCATTCTTGGCTTCGAAAAAGGTAGTATTAGGGCGCTGTATGATTCACTGGTAGCCATGGGCGTCGACAGGATTTTTTTTAGAGGGGGGCAAAAAAGTGCCCCCCCTTGCCCCCCCCCCCCCCCCCCCCCCCCCTCACGACGCCCATGCTGGTAGCCCTATCACATTTTCACATTTGGTACTCTTTAATAAATAAATCTAAAAAACTAATGAAGAATATATAATATTTGTTTTTGAATTAAAGCAACATGTAACACTTTATCAAAGCGCCCTCATTCCATTCGCTCAACAATTTGGCCTGTTGACGTGGGTATTAAGGACTGAAGATTGCAGACTAGTAAATAGGCCCAATATTGCCTACAGTTCAATGCCCGCAGTTGTTTTTCTTAATGGAGGGTCTGTGACCCTTGCACTGGAGAGTTTGTAGCAAGTAAGATTCCAAGGTGTGATCCAGACTTGAAAAGTATTTGCTGAGAAAATGGGGATCAAATTGAAAAGGATTTGGCTCGTTTTTACAATAGAGTTGATACTTCATTTTCAAAATGGCCATGGAATTCAGGTATCCGACTGGGATACCAAATTTCCAATGCAAATGTGAGATTTGCGGTTACCCTTCTATTTGTAAGTCACTTCAAGCACATCAGAAAATCAAACAACAACAACAGCTGATCCGTTATCTGTTCACATCTTGCAATTTCAAGTCGCAACTGACTAGAATCCACAATCCACAATTCACAATCCACAATCCTCCAAATCTTGCTGACCTTTGCAGTGCATTCACCGTGACCTGGCCGCCCGTAACGTACTGGTTGGTGAAGACATGGTCTGCAAGGTGTCTGACTTTGGACTCGCACGTGACGTCATGAATATCAGAGTCTACCAGCGAGAATCCCAGGTATCGTTTGTTTTCTTGAAATACATACCAATAATTTTATCATCATATCCCGCTGTAACCACTTCATAAGGGGTTTTTGTGTCTAGTATAAATAGAAAGAAGTATTTGGTTACGGACTTACAAAACCCAATAATAACACGAAGAAACATGTTATCTAAGAAATGTACACTGTCGTTAAAACGGCTGGGCAATTATTTGCCCGACAGGGTCCACTGCCCATGCGCTGGATGGCACTGGAGTCCTTAATTGATGACGTGTACACAATTGAGAGTGACGTATGGTCTTTCGGGATTCTGATGTGGGAGATCGTAACACTTGGTAAGATTTTTTATTCAGACTTCAAATATGTTTTTCATTTCTCGAAGAAGATGTAAAATCAGATTACATCAACAGCTTGATTTAAATAATAGCCCTCAGCCCATGATGTTACGTGACATAATTTTTTTTAAGAGGAATATATATAAACACTGCTGAATTAAATTTTAACAATGATGATAGGTGCCCGGCCATACCCACACATTATGACTTCAAAAGATATGGTGAGGCAGCTAAGGAAAGGCTACCGCATGTCCAAGCCAAGTAACTGCAAGAAACAACTGTAAGTATTAACCGGGCTTATACCGCAGCTACGGTAAAGCAAATTAGGCTGATAAACCACTCCAGTCATTTGTGTGCAACTAGTACTAACCAGTGTCAAAACTTGATGACTTGTCATGAGAAGTAAAGAAAATCCATCACAGAAAGACATATTTACACTTAATGGTGATCACAAAGATGTGAAATAGACTGACACCATCTACTGAAACAGACACTGGAACTATCTATGGTAGTACAATAAGATGGCGTGTTTATTTAGCAGGTCTTACATGTTTTCATCAGTTTATCATATACCACATTTTTTCAGATATTCCATTATGCGCAGTTGCTGGCATACCAACCCGAGGGCAAGACCAACGTTTCGAGATGTTGTCGAGAATCTGGAGGCGTTGCTTAGTGAGGAAATGGTAAAACACACATAAAACATTAGCAAATAATTATAAGATAAAATACAAATAAAACTTTATGTTAGTGAGGGACCCACTCGTATTTTTATCAATAATTCAACAAATTGTGAATTGTTTTCTTCATTTTATTGAACAGGAGTACATAACTGTTGGAAACATCGACGAAAGCATCTACGAGGTCCCAAGAATCATGGAAGAGAACGAGAAAGTGTGAATCACGAAATAGAAGAATGTGTGAAATATTCTGGGAATTAAAAGATAATTCAAAAGCACTAGAAATGATGATCTGGTTTCGACTGAAAATACTTAATTAAATTTAATTCGTGACTTATGCGAAAACATTTGTATGCAGATGGATAGTTCCAGGTTATTTTCTAAACCATATTATTGAATGAGATTGTGGCATCAAGTTGTCATAGTAACATAGTCGCAAGAAAATGTAAAGTTAATGAATAAAACACAATCTGACGAAATTTGTCAGAGAGTATAATAATTGTAGAAAAACTTGACTTGCATGTATGACAAGACCATCGTTCTAAATAAGCAAAAGTCAAGCATATCGGATTGCACAGTTGAAAACATTTGTGGCCTTGGCACAATTAAAGATGTAAACCCTAATTATAAAACAAAACCTGAATGAAATAAGTCTTATTATATAAAGATAAAAAAATCATCTTTTGACAATATGAATTACATTACATGTACGGATAACGAAGACAGACGGTGTGGTGCTCGATATTTTTGACCACGAAAATTCGTGGTGTACCTCGTAATTAGCATAAATAGGAGGTGTGGCTATATTTAAGTTCTAGGTTTAAAGACCAATTGTATGACAGTTTGCTAATCAATTGTGGATGATTGTTGTGTTCGCCTCTCTTAACCAGATTGACATTAATATCATTATTAATATTACCATTTACTCAGATTTATACAGTCTTACTCTCTGCTTATTAATAATTAGATTGATATTAAAGGAGTAATCTTCTGAGTAAATGAAGTGGTATCGGTTTAACAATCTGCATGAAACCTGCTTAACAAGTTTGATATATTTAGTAACATTCTGCAAAGTAGATTGATATAGTTCGTCGTTGCTTAACTACATTGTATTTAGTAAAACATCTGCTTATCAACTAGTTTGGTATTGTGTAACATTCTGTAAAGAAGATTGATATAGTTTGCCATTTCTTAACTAGATTTTATTTAGTGTAACATCTGCTTCACTAGTTTGGTATTGGGTGACATTCAGGGAAGTAGATTGACAAAGTCTGTCATGGCTTAAGTAGATTTTATTTAGTGAAACCATATGCTTCCATAGTTTCACATTTTGTAACATTCTGTAAAGTGGATTGATGTTGTATGTCATTTATTAACAAGAATTTATTTAGTTAAACCATTCGCTTACCCAGTTTGATATTTTGTAACATTCTACAAAGTTGATCGACAAGGTATGCCATTGATTAGCTAGATTGTAGGAAGTGAACCATTTGCTTAAGTAGTTTCATGTCGTGTAACATTCTGCAAAGTAGATTTCTATAGTCTGGCATGGCTTAACTAGATTTTATTTAGTGAAAAGATCTGCTTAACTATTTATATTTTGTGTAATAATCTGCCTAATTAAGTATAATATAAAGCTCCAGTGGATCAAAGGAGGTCAGCATTACACAGTATGCTTTGAGAAGTGTGCGTTTCCTATGGGAAGTTTGTGGTTCAGACTGGCGGATGGCAGTTACATGCGGAGAGAATTGCCAAACAACAAAGCATGAATTCCACTTTTGTGTTCGAACTCAGCTGGCATAATAATCGTAACACTCATCAGTTTCTCTACTTTTCTGCACTATATCGTTGGTCATACGATTAAGACATACCAAGAATATCAAAGACTTGTTTTCCCTATGATCAGACTAAAACTGTCTTACCAAAACTGGCTTACCGAAACGGTACCCAGTGCCGCAACTCTGACGGTTGCTCTGAATACCGCCCTCTGTTTAATAGCGAAGAAGCTAAATTGTAAGTCACGGAGTCATCGCTGTCTAATGCATATCTTCTGATAAAAAAAACTAGGCTTGGGAATAGCTACATCGCAGTCGTAGGGCAGTCGAAACCAGCCCTGTGTGAATTTAGTGTGATGATATGTTTATATGCAATGGTTGGCGTTGTTTCCTCATTAGATTTCCATCTACACTCGAGTGACTGTCAGGAACCGAGAGTGTACAATAATTAACTACGTGCACTTCAGCACTCTGTGGCAAGTGGTACAACGGTATCGATAGACTGAGGCAAAAGTCGGGAAGTTGTGGAGTTAGGTTTGGGTGCATTACCGAATGGCATGCAATCGTGTTTATATTGACTGAAAAGTGTTCAGCTACTGAGGAAAATTCGTTGATTACAACACAGACTGACACCATTGTCATAGCTCGTAGAAGGGGGCCTATTCATACCGGGAGATGGGGAGCGCCCCCCCCCCCCGCCTCATTGATAATTTCGAGGCGGTGATGAGCATTGTGATCGTTCCCCTTCCCTCACCCCCAGACATGTCAAGCATGGCGTCCACCTGTCAACATGACCTCTAATAAGAAATAAAAGAAGTTGCCAATAGGGCAGAGCCTGAAGAAAGTTCACTAGCCACTCGAAAATACTGATGGATTTGAATAAAATGCGAACGGATTAGACTTGATTAACAAATTTAAGTAATATTGGAATCGGGGTATACAATTAATGACGTTCTTTATATGTGATGTATGTGCTATCAATCAAAGCAATAGTAACTATATAAATAAAAGTGATCAAGTAAGGATACAATTAAAGTGATCAACCATCCGGGTTTAAATATGACCTTCATTCCACAGGCACAGAAAAACAATGCGCCAAAGAAAAATGTACATGTACAGTAGGGTACTAAAAATGTAAAAGTAAAGTTGACATGAACAGATAAGTGATATTCACTCTGTGATGTTTGTGTTATCAAGCAAAACAATATCAACTGTAACATATCTTCAAAGTGATCAAGTGTCAGGGTTCATGACCTTCATAGCCACACACAAGGATTAAACCGTATGCGCCACAAAATATAGTAGAGTACTGACAAAATACACTACGAAATAGGCCGCATTTGCTTAAGCAGCTTCAACCGTTAGTGACATGTACTTGTGTTTTGGGGGAAAATTCATTCATTCGTATGTAGATACGAGATACCTCCAATGTGATCGTTTTCTCCAGAACCACTAACATTGTCAGATCATCACTCAGAAGTTCATGTTCCTGACATCCACTGATTCTATTCCACTGATTCGTAGTACGGTTTTAAACCATGTGATTAATACCTGTTCTCATTAGATGACGTACAAATACGAGGAAGGAAGTGCCGCATTGGTTTCATAAATGAAAACCACTTTCTCTATTTGGCTATGCGATAAATATATGAACTGCATACGTGCGTCTGAAAGAGACGTGTTCATATGCACGCAAGCAACCTGAACATAAAACAGTGATCGAGCGTTCTCAGCCACAGACTGGACAACGTCGTAACAGGTATGTGTCAATGATCCAAACGATTTTACATGCCATATTTTTTTTGTTATAGTGGTTTGTAAAACATAATCAAATACGGGTGTACGATTGTTGATGCAAGTACCGTGGAAAAGACAGCATAAGTTAGACCAGGGGCTAATTCTATAATGTGGAGCTGATATTAAACGCTTCATGGGCCTTATGTGGAGTTAGAGGAAAATGATTTTGTTTTGCATGGATTGACAGGGGTAAACATTTTGTTCATGCATTGTTAAATGACAACAAAAGCCTCTCAGACGCAACGCATATGAAGGTCTACACTCTAAAAACAACTTAGTCAAAATATTGACTGGTTTTCCTAGTAATTGAAAATTTACTTAGAACTTAATTAAGCATGCAAAGTTTCGTATCATGACTAGAAAAAGTCGTTGGATTTGACTCCAATTTTAGTAACATGTATTTGCATAACTATTTTTCCTATAGTTATTAATATTGACTCGAAAAATCTTGTCAGATTGACTGATTTTTAGTTGCACCAAGCTGTCCCTGAATCGCTTGTCAAAATTTAACTGGTTTCTAGCCACACTTGCCCCTTTTTTCGGGGGGGGGGGTGGTGTATAACAATCATTGTGTCAAAATGCTTCAAAGGTATTAACCCTATAAATTATTCAAGCCACCAGACAAGTTTTCGGCAGCTGCTCGAGATCAGCGCAAATTGGTCTTAATTGTGATTATACATGTATCAATTGAAACTCCTGGATGGAGACGGACGGTTGTAATAAAGTGTCTTGCCCAAGAACACAAAAACCATTTGCCCCGTTAGGATAATTGAACCCACGTATAATCAATCGCACAAGTCAGTCGCCGTAGCCACTGTATCACGACGGTCCCCATGATAATTTCCTTATAGTACAGAAAATATCTGCTCCGCTAAAACCCGCTTACATGCCCAATTTACATGCAATAAAATTAACATTGCCTGTAGCTCATTTGACTTTTGACCACAATATGCTTTCGCTAACCATATACTTTCTCCCTAGCTGCTCCGTGAAATTTGGCCATTAATTATCGGTACCCCCCCCCCAAAAAAAAAACACGCAGGTCAAAGCAGAATTGGTTTTTTTAAGGATCAGTCAGTTGCCGCCGTGTCTCGCGTAGCTGCTCTATTTTCTCGTCCACACACCTTACAGCAACGCGAGACCAGCTAACGATGGCCATAAAAAGGGCTTCAAAAAATTGGCAATTTTCATGGCAAACCACAACCGATCCAAACAAACAAAGCTGTTTTAGGTAGTTAAAGACCTACTTCATACATCTACCAAGGTATTTTTTTCTCAAAAAAAAAAGGATTTCGATGCATTTTGACGATATTATTTCACGGACATATCGACTAAAAATTGTTCGAGAACGACGAAAGTATCCCAAATGTTGAGGCAATCAAACGAAAGAGTGAACCTTCATCTACAAAAAAAATCTCGTGAACGTGATGTCGTTAATATTTTAAGAATTCAATGTACACACAACTTCCATTTTGCACATCGTGAAAAGATCGTCGCAATTGTAAAGCATAGAGCGAGAAGCCCAAACACGTTTTCACCTTGTGACCCATACGCCCACTGATTGGTTGAGCTTGCGCTCGAGTATGGCCTGCTTAATATTCATGTCATTCATTGCGCGAATAACGCGTGCTATTCACAATGTTTTCAGGCCAACGTAAGTCGGCGTACGTTTACACGCGTACATTGTGATTGCAAATCATGAAATCTCGCAAAAGTCTTCATTTTTCAAAATTTTTGAAAATGAAGCGTATACTTTCCTCTTGTATACTTTCCTCTTTGTTTCGGCCGTTTTTAAGAATCGAATGTACACCTAAAAACTATCGGCCCTCGATTTTGTTGATAAAAAATATGATTGTGTTTGACAGGCCATAACAACACTTTATATTTGTCAAAAGCAGCTATTCTTGTCATCAAAATTAAGCACACGATTTCAACTTTTCACTTATTTAGCCATTTTGGCTAAACATTGCATGTTTCCAGGCACTTTTTGTGTTTTCTGTAGCCTCGAATAAATCTCGTAAAATCGCGTACGCTTTTGGGCCATGCGTGCTTGACTTCGGGACGAGAAACTGAGGTCAAACAGGGCTGTGTGCGTGACACGGCTACTGACTGGGATCACCGAATTTTGTCAACCCGGCCGTTTACGTTAATCCTGAGGCCAGAGTTTAAAGCACACCATTTAACTCCCATAAGACGCCTTTATCGTATTGAGGTTGACTGAGGTTTCTTTGATGTCTTGACCACTTCTTGAGGAATTCTATAAACTTACAACACATTTTTTTTGGAAAAAGAGTGGCGTAAAATGCGACATCTGTCATTGACCGTGTACAGGTAAAGCGCGCAGACCGTAGAATGAATTATATATGACTGCTCTGCAAAACCTGTCAACAATTTCATCTAATTACTTTTGGAGACTAAGCACGTAGGCCTATGTCTTAAACTGCATAGCGAATTTCAATAAAATATGTGACGGGCAATCTGGACTGTAAGAGGGAGTCAACACTAAGCAGGCTATAGATTTACATGTTCTTTTGCCATTGACATATTTTGTCAAGTGATCTAGCTCTGTGGTCAAGGTGAAGGTCGCTAGAAATCAGGTTTTGCCTTTCGTGTGCAATTTGAGTTAGAGCTGCACGTCCCTAGAGTTCCTCAACGCTGTTTTCGATGCACGTATGTGCCTGGAAGCAATTCTGTCCAGCGTAACACTGTTAATGCCATACGAGTTTGTATGTGCCGAAATTTTGGTACAAAGTAGAATTTAGCTAATAGTGTTTCTTGTAAGCTGGACACTAGCAGTGGCGTATCCGGGGGGGGGGGGCAGGGGAACTGTGCCCCCTCCCCCCTGCGGATTTTTTTTTACATTTCTTTTGTCAGCAATGATTGAAATAAATGTTTATAGAGTTCTTCTGACATCAATCTCACCAAGGAAAACCCGCTGAACTACCATTCCAATGCGCCGTGATAATGTCCATATAATATGTAGTATGCATAATAATAGTCAGTTTGAAAAGCCCCCCCCCCCCCCACACACATCAAAAGCTGAATACGCTGCTGCTGAAACACATAATTTGATGTGTGAGGATGTATATGTTTTTCATTTCTGGAGCATTTTGCAGACATGACAAAGATGGGTGAAAAGATGTGCCGTCTTCACTTGGTACATACATTACTGTGGGTAATGACCTTCCTACTTGCATTTGTTCCCTCCAAGCAGCAAAACTGTAAGTAGGTCTACGACTATTTCATGTATGACTCGAGATATCTCTTTGCATTTGAGTCCTTTTTTTTCAACTTTCAACCCTGAAATATTGCAAAATTCAACCTACCCAAGAAACCAAGCCCAATGTTTATTGACTGGGTAAATTTTGAACAAATCAAACTTATGCAAGCCAGATGTAAAATTTGATTATGTTTGTTGATCCCACAATGGAATCATTACATTATGATTAAAATTTAATGGTAATTCAGTTTCTACACTGCATGTTTATCCTTTAACATTTAAAGAATTGAGAGCCGTTATTGTTTGACCAAGATTCCCCAAAATGTATGGAATTCTGGCGCAAACTTCCTTGTCAAGATAGGTGCAGTGGCGTAGCCACGGGAGGGGGGGGGGGGGCGAAAACCTTGTCGGCCCCCAGTCGCCCCCCCCCCCCCCCCCACTGAAATTTTGAGTTTCTAAAACAATTATCATTGCTCTACATGACGCCCCCAATGAATTGTTCCAGCCCCCCCCCCCCAGCGCCCCCCCCCCCCTGAAAAAATCCTGGCTACGCAACTGGATAGGTGTCAAGGAAACAGTGACCATGCATAACTGGATAAATTGCCATTTTCCCTCTCGTTTCAGTACCTGGCTATTTGGGATGTTTTGGTGATTCGAATGATCGCGCCCTCCCGGCGATCCGTGAATCGTCCAATGCACAGTCTGTAGAGCGCTGCTTCAGACACTGTCTGGAACCCACCCAGTATAAATATGCCGGACTGGTATACTCATACGAATGCTACTGTGGGAATAACGATGACTATGACAAACACGGGGAAAAGCCGGAGTCTGATTGCCAAGATAGATGCGCCGGAAACAGCGACCAGATCTGTGGAGACGGTTGGCGTCTATCCATATACAGAAGTAAGTACGGAAACCAATATAAAAACCTTGCCAAACACATTTCACAGGTTTTTGTAATGTTGATTGGCATTTCAAAGTAGTGTTGTAGTGGAGTCCATCACAAGGGCGGATCCTGGGGAGGAGGGGCCAACAGAAACCACCCCCCCCCCAAAAAAAAAAAAACAACACCCCATTATTAAAATGACGTCACAATAAAGGCAGGCACTGCGTACACCACCATCTTTCCCTCCAAAGCATGGCTAAAGTGGTCAGAAATTGGCTCAGAACGCATCACAGAGCATCTAGAATCCAAACATTTTCGGGGGCCTTAAGCAGGCCCTGAACTTGCCTCACGCCGTAATTTTTGGAGACCCACTTTTTGGGGGAACCATTTTTTTCTTGGTCCTCCCAAAATTGTGCTCTGGATCCACCTTTGGTCTATGGGCCTTATGCACCAGTTGACCATTTTTGTCGAGGTCTCCTTATGTATTTCATTAATTGTTAACTATTGAATGGGAATATGGGATGGCGCTAGACTATTTATGCAGGCCTAATGCAGGCATATTTTATTGTCATTTTGTTTTTAATCTGGCTTTAAACATTAGGGAATGCTCAATTACAAATTTTAAATTATTCATTGAAGCGGACTGGAATTAATCAGTAATTAACTGCTTCATTTCTTTTCGCAAGTTCCCCAATTTTTTTTTCGAATGAACAGAACAGATCACCTCGCTTTCAATTCAATATGGCCGACTCGTACATGAGGCCTAACACAAGTCAAGTCACGCTATTAAAAGGAACTGAGACAACGGTATTTTTGTCAACCCCATCCCATGTTACTTGTGATCGGACTTGTGAAGTAGCTTGTGATTTACTGGTGGCAGCATTGTGATTGACTCGACTATAACACTGATCCCAACCCCGCATCAGAAATTCACAAGGTACATGTATTATTTTTGTATAAATGTCCTCAAATTTGCAGTATCAGATGGAGTATGCAGTAACGACGTAGGACCACCCACCAACGGACACCACGTCATCACCAACCCGCGTTCACTGTCTTACAATCTCAACAACTTCAAGTTCTTCGGGACTCGTGTAGATTTCTCCTGTGACCCTGGATATACCCTCCATGGAGCATCAAGCATTGAATGCATTGAGACTGACTACAACATCGTCACGTGGAGTGACTCGGTACCAACATGCGAAGGTGGGTTAAGTAACACGCGTTAAGGTAAGCCCTGTCTGTTTTTGCATTCTCTACAAATAACCAGGAGGAGGTGACAAACGAGTTTTCAGACTCTTTTTAAAGAAAACGAAGCAGGGAAGTCTGCATATTCTAGAAAAAGTAAGGGTAAAGGTAAAATCATGCACATGAATTTCCTCAATCATATAGACTTTCATAACAAATTTGTCTATGCAAAACAGCATGAAATTAAACCCTAGTAAGTGCTTTCAAATGAATGTTGATTTCTCTAGAAATAGCCCTGTAATGCCTGTTATTTCTGTTGATGATTATGAACTCTGCATTACACCACATATCAAGGTTTTGGGGGTTAATATCCAAAGTGATATCAAATGGGACAAAAATGTGGACAGCATTGTCAAACGTGCTTATGTTAAAATCCATATGTTAAGGGTTCTCAACAGTTACGGTTTGCCTCACAGTGATCTCATAACCATCTATAAAAGCTTCATCAGACCATTGATGGAGTATGCACCCCTGTGTTGAACGGAGCACTTACCCAGCATCAGGTGACTCGGCTTGAAAAAGTACAGAAACGTGCCTTGAAGATCATTCTTTGGGTCGCGTATTCGTCATACACCCAAGCTTTATCGCATTTCAGCTTAGATTCTTTGGCAAACAGACGTAATCAAATATCATTATCCTTTTTCAACAAAACCCTTAAACACACTGACATTTTTCGTGATTTTTTTTCCGCCTCAACATACTAGAATGCTGCGGAATAAACCATCCATCCCTGAAATCCATTGCCGAACAAAACATTATTACACCATTGCGCTTCCTACCCTAATCAGATTGCATAACCAATAATAATAATTTTAATTTTTCGATATGTAAATTGCAATGGACATCTTTTTAACAGGATGCTTTGTACGCGTGAACTGTAGAAGTCATTGTTCGTGTTTTAATGGTTTTCTGCTTGTGTGTGTACATTGTAATGGTGATTGTTGTCAAATAATTTGTTGATTTGGTGTTAAATAATTTATTATTTTGTTAAATCCATTGCAATTCAGTTTTTAACTGCAATAATGGATTGAAATAAACCAATATGAATGAATGAATGAATTAATAAGCTGATCACCGCAATATTCTCTTTCCGGTTGTCATCATTGCAGTACCCCAAAGTAGGACAACGAAAATCGCGTTATCCACAACGCCACCCCAAACTAGAACAACGACGGTCGTGTCCTCTACAGCAGTAACTCAAAGTTGGATATCTGGCGTTCACCTTACCACGTCATATGACGTTGGAAGTAGCAACGGTAAGTTAGTGACTGTTGTCTTCACTCCCTCGTGACTGGGTTGCGGTCACAAACCTAGGCTTCGTCTCCAGCTTCGGCTAAGTGAAATTGGACTCACCTCAATAAAGGGTATGTTTCAGAAAAAAATGCATTCCGTAACATGACTGTAGTATTTACGTTTTCATTGGACATAATAGGTTTCAGACAGATGCTGAAGCCATTAATATAGTATACTCGGATAACACACTTCATATACAGTGTTTATACGACGGTTAAGGGAAAGCCTAATTGAATTTGAACAAAGTTTGACAAAACTGAATGTAACTGCTCTTTGAAATGTTGTTAAAAATCAGAACAACAGTTGTATCAAGGGATTGAAATAATGTTGAGAATGCTTTCTTTTACTTTACAGAACCGTCAGGTGTTGGAGTCATAGTTGGACCGTTGGTGGCGGGCTTCGTCGTTGTTTTGGCAGCTCTAGGTCTGTTGATACTTTGTATGTGGCGGCGTAAAAAACGAGAGTTAGTGAACGACTGTGACAATCAGTTTGTCAGGAATGAAAGGTGAGACGCAGTTAACGGACACAGATACACTTTACACATTCTTTCTTAAAGGCATATACGATCATTTGCATTTATCCCCAAAGAAACCTTCGAATTATTGTAAAAAGCTTACTTATTTAATATTAAACACCCCGTGAAATTACTTGGGCTGGCTTGCTGTCATTGAGAAGAATCAGGAAATTAAGGTGATTTCCAACGATCAGTGAATTGACTGATTTTTTTCGAAAATAAAGAGTGCTATCGACGGAATCGTGTTTTGTGATGATAAGGTTGTGAATGGTTTTTCACTCTTATATTTTCACTGAAAAAGGTAATATTCACTGAGCTTAAACTTCAACATATGTTAGGATTTGAGCATTTTGTCATAAGATTTGAAGGGGTGTTAGTAATGGAAACGAGCAAAGTTTTTGAAGTTCAGATGGTCCGTATGCCTTTATAAAAAGAATCTGGAAGGATGCAGTGAACAGTAAATTTACTTTGTAAACAAAAAGTCCCGATGATCCTTTCGTAAAATGCAGACCACATGTAGTAAATTTGGAAACATCAGGTTGTTCCAATTTAACATTTTTTTTCCTCAGCAGTAACAAGCAGCCAAACCATAATTCGCAATCACTGCGTTCAGAAGGACAAGATCAAGTTTGTACAATACAGGCAGATGGACAACTTGAGGGTGAGTCACAAAAACGATAAGTAATGAGTTTATTAAATCTTTACACATATACAAAACATGCATATACGCAATCAGGAACCTACGCAAAGAATGGATTCGTAATAATAGAGTTGTTATAATCCCTAAAATGTTTGCCACGGTTCGAGTTTAACACAAGTCAGTCACAATTCAATCACAAGTCAACAATATATTAATTACAAGGTAATCGCAAGTCAATGCTAACTGAATCATAGGTCGATAACATTAAAATACAAGTTAATCAAAAGACAGTCACAAGTCAATAGCAGGTTATCATGTAATCAAATCACTGATATGTTAAAACACAGTTGAGGCCTCGTGTGACGGGGTGAACAATTCAGTGCCAGTTTGTGCCTTGAAAAGCTGTTGAGACTAATATAGGTTGGGATTTACTTGTGATAACTTGTGATTGACTTTGATTGGCTTTGATTGACTGAGATGACTTTTGATCACCTGTGACGACCTGCGACTATATAGCATGTGATTGTCTTGCTATTGACTTATATTAACAATTGCTAAATGATGACTTACGATCACTTGTGATTGAATGTGATAGACATACGATTGACTTATTACAACTTTGTTGCTTGTTGTCCATCAAATCTGATTGCAAAAAAAGACAATTTCCATACACAAATATTTGTGCATCTCTTTCCGTTTTCAATTTCCAGATATCCTATTGGGTGCGTTGTCCACAGCGAACGATTACAACCCTGGACGCGAGATCCAAGCTGCGCATGCGACCTACGGCAATGTAGGCCCCAATCTATCGCTCTCGAGAGATCTCGTTGAAATTGAGAAAGAGATTGGTCGAGGTGCCTTTGGCAGAGTGCTGCTGGGGACCGCCCTTGGGATCGAGGAAGTTGGCAAACGAGCCAAGGTTGCAATCAAAACAATCAAAGGTAAACTCCATGATGTTAAAATGACTGATTCTGAGCAGTGCATGGAAAGCCCAATATATTGCCATAAACTACGTTGTCTTGCCAAATTATAGCCTTAGTATGGCACTATACGCTCCTATTGTGATCTCAAAGAGTCCCATTACAGCTAAGTAATGACAAGCAAAAGTATTTTAAAGGTAATGTGCAAAGCAAAAAGTTTACGAATATCATAAATAATGTATTTGCATTAAAGTCAACTTATTTCCTACCACTAGAGGGCGCTGACAGACAGGCGAAGGTGGAGCTCCTGGAGGAGTTGGACGTCATGAAAAAGATTGGTTCCCACCCAAACATCGTCAGATTACTTGGCTATTGCATAGAGACAGGTAGGACTCCGTACATTTGGCTATTATTTTCAACAATATTAATCTATGCACATAAAATACTTACTTTATAATGTGTAGTGTGGAGTTAAAATACTGTAGAAATTCTTGGAATCGCTACGAGGAGTTTTTTGTATTCTTAAAAACGTAGTACATTGTCCTGAATGGATTATCCAATTTTATTTGTAGATATTGCATAACCCTTTATGTTTACGAGAACACATTTGCCCAGTACATTGGTCTGTGGATAAAAACAATTCTGACCGAGCACACGTGAATGAGTCAAAAATCTTTTTTTTTTCTTCATACCCAAATAAAGAATTATCAAGATGCCAAACTGAAAAATATCAAAATAATGGACTGGGAAGCTCATTGTTCTGCACCCCAAAAAAAACCCAAGAAATCTTTTCATGTCATGTTATTCGGCCATCATTTTTATTAGTATTACTGCAAGTAACTTTGTAAGCTTCGTTTATTAAAGATCCCATCTATCTCATCGTGGAGTACCTGGGTAAGGGCGACCTCAAGAAAGTTCTGATGGGATACAGAATCACAGATACTGGGACCGGCTACGGCAACATTTCTGGTCTGAGTCAGTCACTCTCGTTGACCTTGGTCAAATTCGCCAGGGACGTAGCCAATGGAATGGCATTCTTGGCTTCGCAAAAGGTAGTATCAGACCGCTGTATGATTAAATGATATCACGTTTATCCAAGCATATTTTCACATTTATTACTTTGAAATATTTAAATCTAACAACGATTAATAAAGAATATATAATATAAGTTTTGATTTAAGCAACATGTAAAACTTTGTCAAAGCGTCCTCATTCCATTCGCTCAACAATCAGGCCTGTTGATTGGCTTTTTAAGGACTAAAGATTGCAGCCCAGTAGGCCCAATATTGCCTGCGCCGACCAAATCTACAGTTCAATGCCCGCAGTTGTCATTTTTAATTAATGGAGGGTTTTGTGGCGCTAGCACTTGAGGGGTTGTAGCAAGTAAGAGTCCAAGGTGTGATCCGGACTTGGAAAGTAGTTGCTGAGAAACTTGGGATGAAATTGGAAAGGATTTGGCTCGTTTTTACAATAGAGTTGATACTTCATTTTTCAAAATAGCCCATGGACTGCAGGTATCTGGGATACCAAAGTTCCAATGCAAAACGTGAGATTTGCGGTTACCCTTCTATTTGTAAGTCACTTCAAGCACTTCAGAAAATCAAACCAACAACAACAGCCGCTCCGTTATCTGTTCACATCTTGCAATTCCAAGTCGCAACTGACTAGAATCCACATTCCACAATCCACAATCCACAATCCTCCAAATCTTGCTGACATTTGCAGTGCATTCACCGTGACCTGGCCGCCCGTAACGTACTGGTTGGTGAAGACATGGTCTGCAAGGTGTCTGACTTTGGACTCGCTCGTGACGTCATGAATATTAGAGTCTACCAGCGAGAATCCCAGGTACCGTTTGTTTTCTTGAAATACATACCAATAGATATATCATCATATCCCGCTGTAACCACTTTATAAGAGGTTTTTGTGTCTGTTATAGATATAAACTAGTATTTGGTTACGGACTTACAAAACGCAATAATAACACGAAGAAACATGTTATCTAAGAAATGTACACTGTCGTTAAAACAACGGCCAATATTTTACCTGACAGGGTCCACTGCCCATGCGCTGGATGGCACTGGAGTCCTTAATTGATGACGTGTACACAATTGAGAGTGACGTATGGTCTTTCGGGATTCTGATGTGGGAGATCGTAACACTTGGTAAGATTTCTATTCAGACTTCAAATATGTGTTTCATTTCTCGAAGAAGATGTAAAATTAGACTACATCAACAGCTTCATTTAAATAATAGCCCTCAGCCTATAATGTTACATAACATAAATTGTTTTTTTAAAAGAGGAATTAATATATAAACACTACTGAAGTAAATGTTAACAATGATGATAGGTGCCCGGCCATACCCACACATTATGACTTCAAAAGATATGCTGAGGCAGCTAAGGAAAGGCTACCGCATGTCCAAGCCAACAAACTGCAAGAAACAACTGTAAGTATTAACCGAGCTTATAGCGCAGCTATGATAAAACAAATGAGGCTCAGAAATCACTCCAGTCATTTGTGTGCAACTAACCAGTGTCAAAACTTGATGACTTGTCAGGAGAAGTAAATCCTTCACAGACGGACATATTTACACTTAATGGTGATCACAAAGATGTGAAATACACTGACACCATCTACTGAAACAGACATTGGAACTATCTATGGTAGTACATTAAGATGACGTGTTTATTTAGCAGGTCTTTCATGTTTTATCAGTTTATCATATACCACATTTTGTTTCAGATATTCCATCATGCGTAGTTGCTGGCATACCAACCCGAAGGCAAGACCAACGTTCCAAGATGTTGTCGAGAGTCTGGAGGCGTTGCTTAGTGAGGAAATGGTAAAACACACACATAAAAACATTAGCAATTAATTAAAAGATAAGGGACCCACTCGTATTTTTATCAATAATTCAACAAATTGTGAATTGTTTTCTTCATTTTATTGAACAGGAGTACATAACTGTTGGAAACATTGACGAAGGCATCTACGAGGTCCCAAGAATCATGGAAGAGAACGAGAAACTGTAAATCACGAAATAGAAAAATGTGTGAAATATTCTGGGAATTAAAAGATAATTCAAAAGCACTAGAAATAATGATCTGGTTTTGACTGGAAAGAGTTTATTAAATTTAATTCCTGACTTATGCGAAAACATTTGTGTGCAGATGAATAGTTCCAGGTTATTTTCTAACCAATATTATTGAAGGAGATTGTGGCAAGTTGTTGTCATAGTAACATAGTCGCAAGAAAATGTTTAGTGAATGTAAAAAAACCCACCAAATGACCAAATTTGTCAGAGAGTACTATATAGAAAAACTTGAGTTGCATTTATGACACGACCACATCAAAGTTTAAAATAAGCAAAAGTCATACATATCGGATTGCACAGTTAATAGATAGTGGTCTTGGCACAATTACAGATGGAAAGCTCGATTATAAAACAAAACCTGAACGAATTAAGCCTTATCATATAGAGACCAAACAAGTCATGTTTTGGCAACATGAATGTAAGCATTACTTGTACGGATAACGAAGACGGATGGTGTGGTGCTCGATTTTTTGACCACGAATGCCAAATAGTTTTGGCTCGCGAAACAGTGGGTTGGTGTGCCTCGTAATTAGTATAAATGTTGTGAAAATACGTTAAGCGATAACTGTAACAATCACTAGAAAGTGTGGCTAGCTTTCCTTTTAAGCCCAAGGTTAAAAAAGACTTTGGAAGATTTTAGTGTACGCCTCTCTTAACCAGATTGACTTAACATTATTAATATTTACAATTTACTGGGAGTAACAGAGTAACTTTCTACTTAACTAGATTGATATTAAAAGTGTAATCTTCTGCTTGAAACCTGCTTATATAACTAGTTTGATATTAAGTAACATTCTGCAAAATAGATTGATATAGTTTGTCATTGCTTATTTAGATTGTATTAAGTAAAGCATCTGCTTATAAACTAGTCTGGTACTGTGTAACATTCTGTAAAGTAGGTTGATACAGTCTGCCATTGCTTAACTAGAGTGTATTTAGTGAAACTATCTGCGTATTAGTTTGATATTTGTGTACAATTCTGCAAAGTAGATTGATAATAGTCTGCCATTGCTTAGCTACATTGTATTAAGTAAAGCATCTGCTTATAAACTAGTTTGGTATTGTGTAACATTCTGCAAAGTAGATTGATACAGTCTGTCATTGCTTAGCTAGGTGTTTTTAGTAAAACTATCTGCTTATCGAGTTTGATATTGACTTTTTGTGTAAAATTCTGCAAAGTAGATTAATATAGTCTGCAATTACTTAACTAAAGTTTATTTAATGACACCATCTGCTTAACTTTTTTGATATTGAGTAACATTCTGCGAAGAAGATTTATACAGTCGGACATTGAGAAGGGTGGATCCAGAACACATTATTTTTTTAGGAGGGCAAAAAAAGTCCCCCCCCCCCAACAAAAAAAGTGGGTCACAGATTTACAGCGTGGGGTTTGGGGCGGGCCCTCTTAAGGGCCCCGAATTTTTTGGGGGGGGATTTTAAATGTGTTGTGGTGCGATCTGAGGCAGTTTCTGACCACGTTAACTAATTTGTTTTCGAGCAAAAGATGGTGGATTACGCAGTGGCTGCCTTTTTTGCGAGCCTCACTTTAAAAAAACACACACAAAATCGGGTTGTTTTTTTTTTTTGGGGGGGGGGCATGGCCCCGTAGATCTCTCCCTCCCCCCCCCCCCCAGATCCACCCTTTGACAATGATATACGTACATTTTATTTAGTGACACCTTCTGCCAAACAAGTTTGATATGTGTGTGACATTCTGTTTAATTTGGGACAATAAACAGCTTCAGCCGCTCAAAGGAGGTCATCACTACCCAGTATGTGTTTCATTCAGGAAGTCTGTGGTTGAAACTGGCGGATATGGGGTTTGGGCAAAGCAGATGAAGAGTGCGCGGTTTGTGGAGAGATTTTGATTGGCGTGCATTTAAAGCCTCACTTTCATTTTTAAATATGGCCGAAAACATTAAGGTAAGTTTAATCACAAATTGTAAATAATGCATCAGAACCGACTGGTATTAATTTGCAATGAGCATTATTTCATTGCTTTCATTTCTATCCGTAAGTTCCAAAATGAAGGGTTTACCTAGTTTACCAGTCATGTCCGACTGATGAATAAAGTGTATTAAATCCCCTTTTGCTTAGCCTCAGATCGCAAAGTACACATAAGGCTATGAAACTTTCGCGCAGCACCGGTTTCCTTAATTTTCTGTCACTTTGTTGTTGACGATAGGATTAAAATATTCCCCGGATCTCATATTTTCCCCGAATTACCTGAACAATTCAAAATGGGGTCCAAAACGTTAATGATCATTCCGCAACTCTGACGGGTCGCTTTGAATACCGCCCTCTATTGCCAAAAGAAGCTATGCAAGTCACGGATTCATCGATGTCTTTTAATGGGTATCTCAAACAGGAATAGCTACAGGGCAGTCAAACCAGTCTAATGTGAATCTACTGTGATGATATATTTATATACAATGGTTGGCGTTATTTCCTCATTAGATTCCCTCTACTCTCTAGAAATAGGAACTGAGAGTGTACAGTACTTAACTATAGTGCACTTCAGCACTCTGCGGCGAGTGGTATCGCGGTATCGATACGCTGAGGCAAAGGTAATTAAGGTCCGATCGGGAATGCTGTGGAGTAAGGTTCGGGTGCATTACCGAATGGCATGCAAGCGTGTTTTTATTGACTGAAAAAGTTTTCTTTTGCTTCTGAGGAAAATTCGTTGATTACAACACGAAGATAGATACATGTAGCTCGTAAAAAGGGGCCTATACATGCCGGGGGTGGGGAGGGTCCCCCGCCTTATTGGAAAATCCGACGGTAATGAGCCCTTCTTCCTCCCCAGACATATCAAGCATGGCGTCCACCTGTTAACATGACCTCGAATAACAAATAGAAGAAGTTGCCAATAGGGCAGAGCCTGAAGAAAGTTCACTAGCCACTCGAAAATACTTAGCCACTCGAAAATACTTATGGATTTGAATAAGATTAGACTTGATAAACAAATTAAAGTAATAATCGAAACGGGGTATACAAGGGATGATGTTCTTTATATGTGATGTCTGTGTTATCAATCAAAGCAATAATAACGTAATAAATAAAAGTGATCAAGTAAGGATATAATTAAAGTGATCAAGTATCCGGGTGTAAATGCGCAAAAAAACTTACATGTACAGCAGGGTGCTAAAAATGTGAATGTAAAGTTGAGATAAACAGATAATAAGTGATAGTCACTCCGTGATGTTCGTGTTATTCAAAACAATATCAAATATAATGCGGATGTCTTCAAAGTGATCAAGTATTCGGGTTCATAACCTTCATAGCCATGCACAAGGATTAAACAGTATGCGCCACAAAATATAATAGAAGGACTGAACAATTACACAGTTGTTCGGTAACGACGAAATATGCCGCGGTTGCTTAAGTGGATTCAACCGTTATTGCCAAATGTAAGTGTGTTTATAATGTTAAGGGATCACATGAAAAACTTTGACCGGATAAAGTTGTTCCTGTTTCATTCTCTAGGGTGCACCACGAAGTGACGTATCGCCTATGGACTTTGTGCACAAGGTACGTTACTTTGTGGTGCGACTGACGATTCGTAGAATGTTTTGGTGACATCATATATAACGATGTGTCAAAATCTGACTTTGCAAACAACCCAACTGAACGATACGGGCATGTGACGTATAATGTGCAAGGAGGTTTGTATGATGAACTGCGCCACCTTCGGGTGTCCAGTCACACCCCCTCCTACAGACACACCCACACTAGTGTGTATTTACCTGCAATCGTGGCCCCCCTATTGATCCTCTTGTGTTTGTACTAACTTTTAAGGAAGACCTCCAATATGTTTTTTATACGATCGTCAATTGTGGACCTTTAGGAATTGTGGACCCTATTGTTCTCTATTGTTCACCGCCCCCTATAGAAAGCAGGAACAAACTCACCCCCCCCCCCCCCCCCACTCATGGGTGTGTACATTTATATGTACAATTTCAATTGAGGTAACAAGCTATTCCAATGAATTGTAACAAGAGCATTCCTTCGTTCATGATCGGCCCTGTTACTTGTGAACGTTCTTGTGATTAGCTTATGAAAGACCTTTCCTTTTTTAAATCAACTTTGTAAGGGAGTTTTCGATGTAGTGATAAAATAAACACTATGAAAACATCATCTAGTTTACACACACACAAGATTTATCACCAAAACGTTATATTAATGTCGTCACCTTCCTTGAAAATCAATCAACAGAAACAATGTTTCTGTCAAGGATCAAACTGCGCGAAAACACATTGTTTGTTGCCATGCTGTATGTGAGAAAAACAAAAATACTTGCACACGCGCACCTTTTTCGTTAGAAATTGTGCCTCTCGGAAAAACTAACTTGTAGTACCATTTTTGTGGTTATTTTATCTTACCAATGTCCAATTTTGATGTTAAATATTGCCAATAATATGCTGGGTAATGTAACCATCCAAATGGGTGACAAGGAACAAAACTTTTTAGAAGCGTGGGTATTATATACGCCTACCATTTCTATTTGTACCTAATGAGTAAAAGTGACAGGCGCACAATCACATTAATTGCTGTAAATCTCTACACAACACTGTCGGTATTCAGTTGGTTCATGTTCTCCGTACTAGCCATGCAAAATAAAATGTCGGGTTCACATAGGCCTACATCACGCAGTAGAATTGTCTAAATTGTTCAGTACTGAAATTTTCGATGAAAGTTCCGTTTTCGGTTTTGTGTCGGACAGTTGTAGGTCGAAGTGTACAAACGAAGTTCGCATTGTATGCTAATTGTATCCTTGTCTATTTTCAACATAAGTAAGTAAAAGGGAAAGTATAAACCTGATTGCGAGCTGCGCATGAGTCATTCATTTACTTCCATGAATTAAAGGGGTACTTCAACATCCTAAAATAATTATCCTCAACAAGTCTGTCCGTAATGTGCATGTCAGTGAAACAATTAGGACTTTAAGGGATTTTTATAATTTGTGTTCATTGGTCAGTTGGGGGCGCAGTCTGTCACCCCAGCCATCCTCCTCGGATGGGCCATTGTAATCTAAACGAGTTTTACTCTGTTCAGCCCATTTTTCAGGTCCCCTTTTGAGACGACAGTCTTCCTTTAATAAGGAACACTTCCTTATTTTTGGTGATGTTTATGCGATTTCATTTTTTTTTCTCTTCTCTTGATTAAAACTACTTTTTACGGTGCTTTGATTAATAAAGCAGTAATCACAATGTCCACGTGATTTTTTTTCTCAGGAACACATTTAGTGGTTAAATGAGACATGAAGGTGCCTTATCAAGAATTGCATTAAAAAAGTTATATCTCATGAGGCATTTAAATTTGTTCCAAGTAACTATTTAAGTATTGTTTGATTTTATTAGGGAATTATCTTATGAATGCAAGTTTATGGACACTCGATATTCATGCTTTACGATCTGTTACTTACAACACCTCCAATAAAAACAAAACTGCTGCTTGAACTTTGGTTCTCACATTTACACAAATGGGAAAAAAATGTGGTGAGAGCGGTAAGGGATATCTACCCGGAACCAAAACGTATTTTGTTCAACTGCGTTTCAATGCGACGGATGTTTGACACGATCTCAACAAAGGAATAAACGTTAATTCTCATCTACAACTGGAGCACATTATTTAAATTGGCTTTAGGGAATTAATTAGTCATGTTTCTTCAAAAGTACAAACGTAGGAGTGATGGAAGCTTTTCCAAACTCCCGTTCTTATTCACTCTGTTCACAACAGCTTGTCAACTCGTGGCAGTTTTCTCGCAGCCACGCAATGGTAAGTCATTGTAATTGTCTCTCTGGAGATGGTGCTGATTGTCGACACATTGTGTCATTGGTCGAGTTTTTCATTAGGTGAATTTTGTAAATTGCTGAATTTCAACAGTCAGTTACATAAGCAAACATGAAGTGTTGTAATCACAGGAAGCGTAATTAAAATAAATCAAACCCGAAGTTTAAATTCGGTCAAATTGTTCAAACAGCTTTCTTGCAAGAGTGAATCCTGCGTCCGTAAGTCAACAAAGCGCTTACTCTATTTTTGTTTACTTCGGAACATCATGATTTACAACCTAATTATGAGATGTCATTGTTATTTAAGCTGTTTCTGTCACTTTCCAGACTTATTTGCGAAAGAAAACTAGGGTAACTGTTATAAAGGAATTATTGTTATCGTATTTGCTTTCCCGTTTTCACTTATAAAAGCAACATCGAGCTGCATAGTTATACTTCCATTATTATAATTATTGTGTATGGGAAAATGAAGGGATTTCATGTCAAGCTTTAAATGAGTGAGAACCCTGCAGTTTAAGGTTCATATTAGTTTTTAAAAAATCTAACGTATCGGGCACCATTCCATTGTTTAGCGTAAATGCATACAATAATGTTTACACCATGATTTAAATATCTGCAATTGATTTTTCGATTTTAGCTCCTGGTTATTTGGGATGCTACAATGACTGTGACACTATTTTTTGTCGGCGTGCCCTGCCAATCGGGCCAGAAGTTAGCGGCGATCAATCTGTGGAGTGGTGCTTTAAGTACTGTCTAGATACGCGTACGTCAAGCTACAACTACGCAGGACTCGTATATGCAAATGAATGTTTCTGTGGAAATAACGAAGACTACGACAGATTTGGAAAAAAGGCGGACTCTGAGTGTCAAGACAGGTGTACGGGAAACAGCAACCAGTTCTGTGGAGACTCAGACCGGATCTCTATATACAGAAGTAAGGCTTCGTCCATTCAAATTAAATAATGCGCTGTTATACATTGCCATGCCATGCAGTGGTAGATCAATGTTTTTTTCAGAGGGGCTTGGACTGGGGTGTTGAATTCCACAAGTTTTCAAGCGATTTTTTTATTGTGGGGTTTTAAGGATTGGATTTAACACAAAGGCAAAAGGCCTCAAACAATTAATCGAGATGTTCGACTAGTATGACGTTTAAGATTTGGCCAACCATCTTCTAAACACACTCTTGCAATACAAACAGAAAAAGGAAAGCGATTCTAACATGAAACTGGAAACTGTCACGGTTACAGTTATTAAAATGTGTCTAATGATAAGGCGCTTTGAGATTGTTGATGCGATGGAAAACGCTTTTTATAATCATTAGGAAAATAACGGCACTTAAATCACATTAATGACAAGATGTTTAACTAACAAGAAAGGAAAGTGTATCTTGTCAGGGTGATTTATCTTGTTCGAATTACAAGTCAAATCATGTTATTTCAGAAATCTGTATTTGTTGTACGGATGGCAAGTTCTTGTTTGTCATTTTGACGTAATAACGAGCACGTTGATCATCCGTACTGAAAGGTAGACCGGTTTTTGTTATTTACCTCTGTAACATCGGCGGTGGGGGAGGAGGGGCTGGATACCTCTTCAGAGTGGACGATTATGACCACTATTTTTTGGTCAATATAGGTGATTCTCTTCGTGACGGCGCAATTACATACGCTTCGCGACACGTTAAAAAAACAAAAAGGCACTCGTCGACAAAAAAGGCTATCGTGAAAACAAGGGCACTCGCAAAAAAAAAAAAAATTGGGGAAGTCCCTTCCACCCCTACCCCACCCTAGTGATACGCCCTTGCCGTTAATGAATAGAGAAACAGCTCTGAACAGCTCAAAACAAAAACTCATGGAAAATGCCTAAAATGTTCACTATGAAGTATTTCCACAGAAATTTTTTTTTTCAGAAAGCTATTCCAATGTATGGAGTTGACTATAATGGAAAAATATTTTTATAACAGTATCACAAGGAGTATGCAGTAATGCCATAGGACCACCCACCAACGGAGACCACGCCATCACCAACCCGCGTTCACTGTCTTACAATCTCAACAACTTCAAGTTCTTCGGGACTCAGGTAGATTTCTCCTGTGACCCTGGATATACCCTCCATGGAGCATCGAGCATTGAATGCATTGAGACTGACTACAACAACGTCACGTGGAGTGACTCGGTACCAACATGTAAAGGTGGGTTAATATGCGTTAAAGTAAGCCCTGCCTGTTTTTGCATTCTCTACAAATGGCCAGGAGGAGGCGACAAACGAGGTTTTAAACTCTTTATTAAGAGAACGAAGCCGAGAAGCGAGTAAATTCTAGGGAAAAAAGTCAAAGAGTCAGGGTAAAATCATGCACATGAATGTCCTCAATCATCTATACATTTATAAGCTGATCACCACGGTATTCTCTTTCCTGTCAACGGCACTTGTGTCATCAATTACAGTACCCCAAAGTAGGACAACGACAATCGCGTTATCCACGACGCCACCCTTAAGTAGGACAACGACGGTCGTGTCATCCGCTGTAGCATCCAAAAGTTGGACAACTGGCGTTGACCTCATCACGTCAAATGACGTTGGAAGCAGCAAGTCCAATACCAGACCTACGACATCAGCTGATGTGACTGTAGGGGTATCTAGCAGCAACGGTAAGTCAGTGACTGTTGTCCTCACTCCCTTGTGGCTGAGGTTGGGGTCCAAACCTAGGCTTCGCCTCTAGCTTCGGGTGAATGAAATTCGACTCACCTCAATAAGGGTCCATGGTTTATTTGAGAAAAAAAAAACATTCCGTAAACATGACTGTAATATTTACGTTTTAATTGGACATTATAGGTTTCAGATGCTGAAACCCTTCAATATAGGTTCAAAAGCGTCAGCAGCAAAGTTTGCAGAAAATGAATGCAACTGCTCTTTGAAACGTTGTTAAAAATCAGAACGTTGTTAAAATTGCATCAAGCGATTGAAATAATGTTAATAATGTTTTCTTGACATCATATAGAACCGTCGGATGTTGGAGTCATAGTTGGACCGTTGGTGGCGGGCCTCATCGTTGTATTGGCAGCTCTTGGTCTGTTGATAATTTGTATGTGGCGGCGTAAAAAGCGAGAATTAGTGAACGACTGTGACAACCAGCTTGTCAGAAATGACAGGTGAGACGCAGTTAGCGGACGCAGAAACATTATATACAATCTTTCTTGATCATTTGCGTTTATCCCGAATGAAACTTTCGAATTAGTATTAAAAGCTTACTTGGATTAATATTAATACTATACTAAACACCCCGTGAAATTATGAGGGCTGGCTTGCTGTCATTTAGAAGAAATCAGGAAATGTAGGTGATTTCCAACGATTAGTTAATTGACTGATTTTTGGAAATAAAGAGTGCTGTAGACGAAATTGTGTTTTGGGATGAAAAGGTTGTGTATGGTTTTCCCTGTTTATTTTCACTGAAAAGGGTAATATCCATTGAGCTTAAACTTCAACATGATAGGTTTTGAACATTTTGTCATAACTTTTGAAGGCAAAATTTATGAAAGGCAGATGGTCCGTATGCAGAGTCTGGAAGGATGCAGTGAACAATACCTTTTTTTTGTAAACAAAAAGTCCAGACGATCCCCTTCATAAAATGCAGACCACATGAAGTAAATTTGGAAACATCGGGTTGTGCAAATTTAACGTTTTGTTTCTCAGCAGTAACAAGCAGCCAAACCATATTTCGCAATCACTGCGTTCAGAAAGACAGGATCAAGTTTGTACAATACAGGCAGATGGACAACTTGAGGGTGAGTCACAAAAAAAGATAAGTAATGAGTTTGTTAAATCTTTACAAATATACAAAACATGCATATATGCAATCAGGAACCTACGCAAAGAATGGATTCGTAATAATAGAGTTGTTATCATCCTAAAATGTTTGCCACGTTTCGAGCTTAACACAAGTTAGTCACAACCCGATCACAAGTCAACAATATATTAATTACAAGTCAATCGCAAGTCAATGCTAGCTGAATCATAGGTCGATAACATTAAAATATACAAGTTAATCAAAAGACAGTCACAAGTCAATAGCAGGTTATCATGTAATCAAATCACTGATATGTCAAAACACAGTTAAGGCCTCGAGTGACGGGGTGAACAATTCAGTGCCAGTTTGTGCCTTCTTCGTGGTTCGTTTGGACAAAGAAAATCAGTTTGGACTAATAAAGGTTGGGTTTTACTTATAATAACTTGTGATTGCCTTTGTTTGGCTTGTTTTAGACCTGAGATGACTATTGATCACTTGTGACGGCCTGCGATTGGCATGTGATTGTCTTGCCATCGACTTATAATGACAATTGCTAAATGATGACTTACGACGACTTGTGATTGAATGTGATAGACATATATGATTGACTTATTACAACTTTGTTGCTTGGTGTCCATCAAATCCAACTTCACAAAAAGACAATATCCATACACAAATAATTGTACATTTCCTCTGTTTTCAATTGCCAGGTATCCCCTTGGGTGCATTGTCCACAGCGAACGATTACAACCCTGGACGCGAGATCCAAGCTGCGCATGCGGCTTACGGCAATGTAGGCCCCAATCTCTCGCTCTCAAGAGATCTCGTAGAAATCGAGAAAGAGATTGGTCGAGGTGCCTTTGGCAGAGTGCTGCTGGGGACTGCACTTGGGATCGAGGAAGTTGGCAAACGAACCAAGGTTGCAATCAAAACAATCAAAGGTAAACTCAATGATATTAAAATTACTGATTCTGAGCAGTGCATGAAAAAGTCAAATTATCGCCATAAACTACGTTGTCTTGCCAAATATATCCCTAGTATGGCACTATTATGAATCTCACATTAAGAGGGCGCTATTCCGTTTGGGTAAACTCTTTTGTGTGCATCATGTGGCTCCTTAGTTTTAACCCACATACGCTCCTATTGTCATCTCAAAGAGTCCAATTACAGCTAAGTAATGACAAGAAAAGTATTAAAGTAATGTGCAAAGAAAAAACTTTACGAATATAATATATTTACATGAAAGTTATCTTACCCACCACTAGAGGGCGCTGACAGACAGGCGAAGGTGGAGCTCCTGGAGGAGTTGGACGTCATGAAAAAGATTGGTTCCCACCCAAATATCGTCAGATTACTTGGCTATTGCATAGAGACAGGTAGGACTCCGTTCAATTGGCTATTGTGTTCGACAATAATGGTTTACGGAAAATAAGCATATGCAAATAAAAATACTTATTTTCCTGAATGGATTATCCAATTCTATTTCCAGGTTTTCCCTTTACATGAGAATACATTATTTTGTCCAGTACATTGGTCCGTGGATAAAAGCAATTGAGAGCGAACTCGACAATATTAATCCTTTACAGTCATAATTTTCTACCCAAATTAAGGATAATTAAGATGCCAAACTGAGTAATTTATCAAAATGATGGACTTGGAAGCTCATTGTGCTACACCCGAAGAAAGAAAAATTGTTCAAGAAATGTTGTCATGTCATGTTATTCAGCCATGATTTTTATTAGTATGATTGCTTGTAACTTTGAAAGCTTAATTTATTAAAGATCCCATCTATCTCATCGTGGAGTACCTGGGTAAGGGCGACCTCAAGAAAGTTCTGATGGGATACAGAATCACAGATACTGGGACCGGCTACGGCAACATTTCTGGTCTGAGTCAATCACTCTCGTTGACCTTGGTCAAATTCGCCAGGGACGTAGCCAATGGAATGGCATTCTTAGCTTCGCAAAAGGTAGGAGTCAATAATGATCCGTGGGCGGAACTTTAACACGGTGATTGTGTTTAAAATTCCATAACTCCAAAGGTACACAAGTGATTTGAATGATTCTTAAAAGGGCTACATGCAGAACGTCACTTAAACAGAAGTCCCGACTTTTGGGTTTCCCTTTTTTTGACTCACCCTGTATTGCGTGCGCCGACCAAATCCACAGTTCAATGCCCGCAGTTGTCTTTCTTAAGGGTTTGTAGCAAGTAGGAGTCCAAGGTGTGATCCGGATTTGGCTCGTTTTTACAATGTAGTTGATACTTCATTTTGAAAATGGCCATGGACTGCAGGTATCTGGGATACCAAATATCCAATGCCAACTGTGGGATTTGCGGTTGCCTCCTATTTGTAAGTCACTTCAAGCATTTCAGAAAACCAAATCAACAACAAAATTAGCCTTTCCGTTATCTGTTCACATCTTGCAATTCCAAGTCGCAACTGACTAGAATTCACACTCCTCGAACCACAATCCACAATCCTCCCAAGGGTGGATCCAGAACACAATTTGTTGGGGGGCCCAAAAACATTTTGGTCCCCCCAAAAAGTGGGTCAAAAAATTACGGCGTGGGGCTCGAATTTTTTTTGGATTCTAGATGCTCTGTGGTGCGATCTGAGGCAATTTCTGACCACTTTAATCAATGTTTTTGGAGGAAAAGATCGTGGTGTACTCATTGCCTGCCTTTATTGCGCCGTCACATAAAAAAAAATGGTTTCGTGTGGGGGGGGGGGCATGGCCCCCTTTGCCCCCCCCCCCCTCCCCCCTGGATCCGCCCTTGAATCCTCCAAATCTTGCTGACGTTTGCAGTGCATTCACCGTGACCTGGCCGCCCGTAACGTACTGGTTGGTGAAGACATGGTCTGCAAGGTGTCTGACTTTGGACTCGCTCGTGACGTCATGAATATCAGAGTCTACCAGCGAGAATCCCAGGTATCGTTTGTTTTCTTGAAATACATACCAATAAATTTATCATCATATCCTGCTGTAACCACTTTATAAGGGGGTTTTGTGTCTAGTATAGATATAAAGTAGTATTTGGTTACGGACTTACAAAACCCAATAATAACACGAAGAAACATGTTATCTAAGAAATGTACACTGTCGTTAAAACGGCTGGCCAATATTTTACCTGACAGGGTCCACTGCCCATGCGCTGGATGGCACTGGAGTCCTTAATTGATGACGTGTACACAATTGAGAGTGACGTATGGTCTTTCGGGATTCTGATTTGGGAGATCGTAACACTCGGTAAGATTTTTTATTCAGACTTCACATATGTTTTTTATTTCTCGAAGAAGATGTAAAATTAGACTACATAAACAGCTTGATTTAAATAAAAGCCCTCAGCCCATAATGTTACATAACATACATTATATTTTTTAATAGAGGAATATATATAAACACTGCGAATTAAATTTTAACAATGATGACAGGTGCCCGGCCATACCCACACATTATGACTTCAAAAGATATGGTGAGGCAGCTAAGGAAAGGCTACCGCATGTCCAAGCCAACAAACTGCAAGAAACAACTGTAAGTATTAATCGGGCTTATACCGCAGCTACGACAAAACAAATGAGTCTCATAAACCACTCCAGTCATTTGTGTGTAACTAACCAGTGTCAAAACTTGATGACTTGTCATGCGAAGTAAAGAAAATCCATCACAGATAGACATATTTACACTTAATGGTGATCACAAAGATGTGAAATACACTGACACCATCTACTGAAACAGACATTGGAACTGGTAGTACATTAAGATGACGTGTTTATTTAGCAGGTCTTACATGTTTTATCAGTTTATCAACTTCCACATTTTGTTTCAGATATTCCATCATGCGTAGTTGCTGGCATACCAACCCGAAGGCAAGACCAACGTTCCAAGATGTTGTCGAGAGTCTGGAGGCGTTGCTTAGTGAGGAAATGGTAAAACACACATAAAAACATTAGCAAATAATTATAAGATAAGGGACCCACTCGTATTTTTATCAATAATTCAACAAATTGTGAATTGTTTTCTTCATTTTATTGAACAGGAGTATATAACTGTCAGAAACATTGACGAAGGCATCTACGAGGTCCCAAGAATCATGGAAGAGAACGAGAAAGTGTAAATCACGAAATAGAAGAATGTGTGAAATATTCTGGGAATTCAAAGATAATTCAAAAGCACTAGAAATGAAGATCTGGTTTCGACTGAAAAGAGTTTATTAAATTTAATTCCTGACTTATGCGAAAACCCTTGTACAAAGATATAATTCCAGGTCATTTTCTAAACAATATTATTGATTGGGATTGTGGCAACTAGTTGTCATAGTAACATAGTCGCAAGAAAATGTAAAGTTAATGAATAAAACACAATCTGACGAAATTTGTCAGAGAGTATAATAATTATAGAAAAACCTTGAGTTGCATGTATGACAAGACCATCGTTCTAAATAAGCAAAAGTCAAGCATATCGGATTGCATAGTCGAAAATATTTGTCACCTTGGCACAATTAAAGATGTAAACCCTAATTATAAAACAAAACCTGAATGAAATAAGTCTTATTATATTAAGACAAAAAAAAATCATCTTTTGACAATATGAATGTACATTACATGTACGGATAACGAAGACAGACGGTGTGGTGCTCGATATTTTTGACCACGAAAATTATTGGTGCACCTCGTAATTAGTATAAATAGGAGGTGTGGCTATATTTAAGTTCAAGGTTTAAAGACCAATTGTATGACATTTTGCTAATCAATTGTGGATGATTGTTGTGTTCGCCTCTCTTAACCAGATTGGCTTGGAATTATTAATATTACCATTTACTCAGATTTATACAGTCTTACTCTCTGCTTATTAATAATTCGATTGATATTAAAGGAGTAATCTTCTGAGTAAATGAAGTGGTATCGGTTTAACAATCTGCATGAAACCTGCTTAACAAGTTTGATATTGAGTAACATTCTGCAAAGTAGATTGATATAGTTCGTCGTTGCTTAACTACATTGTATTTAGTAAAACATCTGCTTATCAACTAGTTTGGTAACACTCTGTAAAGAAGATTGATATAGTTTGCCATTTCCTAACTAGATTTTATTTAGTGTGACATCTGCTTCACTAGTTTGGTATTGGGTGACATTCAGGGAAGTAGATTGACAAAGTCTGTCATGGCTTAAGTAGATTTTATTTAGTGAAACCATATGCTTACATAGTTTGATATTTTGTAACATTCTGTAAAGTGGATTGATGTTGTATGTCATTTATTAACAAGATTTTATCTAGAGCAACCATTCGCTTACCCAGTTTGATATTTTGATATATAACAATCTGTAAAATAGATTGATATAGTATGCCATTGATTAGCTAGAATGTAGTCAGTGAACCATTTGCTTAACTAGTTTCACGTCGGGTAACATTCTGCAAAGTAGATTGCTAAAGTCTGCCATGGCTTAACTAGATTCTATTTAGTGAAAACATCTGCTGAATTAGTTATATATTGTGTAGTGTTCTGCTTAATTTTGCATAATAAAAAGCTTCAATGGCTCGAAAGAGGTCAGTCATTACCCAGAATGCTTTGCGAACTGTGTGTTTCCTACATAAAGTTTGTGGTTGAGACTAGCGGATGGCAGTTACATGCAGAGAGATTCGCCAAACAACCAAGCATGAATTGCACTTTTATGTTCCAACTCAGCTCGCATAATAACCACAACGCTCATTAGTTTCTCCAATTTTTGGCACTAAAAATCGTTGGCCATACGATTTAAACATACCTAGAATATCCAAGACTTGTTTTCCCTATATTATCTGGCTAACAATACCTTACCAATTGCCGCAACTCTAACAGTCGCTCTGAATACCGCCCTCTGTGAGCGAAATAAGCTAAATTGTAAGTCACGGAATTTTTTCCCTTTATATGCTAGCTCCTGGTTACAAAACTAGGCTCGAGACAGTTGCAGGGCAGTCGAACCAGTCTAATGTGAATTTACTGTGATGATATATTTCTATTCAATAGTTGGCGTTGTTTCCTTATTAGATTTCCATCTACACTCAAGTAATTGTGAGGAACCGAGAGTGTACAGTACTTAATACGTGCACTTCAGCACTCTGAGGCGAGTGGTGCCGCGGTATCGATAGGCATTCTGAGGCCAGTGGTGCCGCGGTATCGATAGGCACTCTCAGGCGAGTGGTGCCGCGGTATCGATAGGCTGAGGTGAAAGTCATTAAGGTCCAATCGGGAATGCTGTGGAGTTAGGTTTGGGTGCATTACCGAATGGCATGCGAGCGTGTTTATATTGACTGAAAAATGTTCCTATGCTACTGAGGAAAATTCGTTGATTACATCACAAACTGACACCATTGTCATAGATAGCTCGTAGAAGGGGCCTAAACATACCGGAGATGGGAGCGTCCCCCCCCCCCCCACCTTATTGAAAATTTCGAGGCGGGGATGAGCATTGTGATCGTTCCCCTTCCCTCACCCCCAGACATGTCAAGCATGGCGTCCAACCTGTTAACATGACCTCAAAAAAGAAATAAAAGAAGTTGCCAATAGGGCAGAACTTGAAGAAAGTTCACTAGCCACTCGAAAATAGTTATGGATTTGAATAAAATATGGACGGATTAGACTTGATAAACGGATTAAAGTAATAATCGAATCGAGGTATACAAGGGATAATGTTCTTTTTTGTGATGTAAGTGCTATCAATCAAAGCAATAGTAACTATATAATTCAAAGTGGTCAAGTAAGGATATAATTAAAGTGATCAAGCATCCGAATTTAAACGTGACCTTCAAACCACACATGCCCACACAGAAAATAATGCGCAAAAATTTAAAAATTTACATGTACAGTAGGGTACTCAAAATGTCAAAGTAAAGTTGAGATAAACAGATAATAAGTGATATTCACTCCGTAATGTCTGTGTTAATAAGCAAAACGATATCAACTATGATATATCATCAAAGTGATCAAGTGTCCGGGTTCATGACCTTCATTGCCATACACAAGGATTAAACCGAATGCGCTACAAAACAGGGGCGTTGCACGGCCATTTTTATTGGGGGGGGAATTTTTTTTGAAAAGGGCACTTGCACATCCGTTGTGAAATGTACACAGGTTTTTTGGACACTTGGCCTCCGTAAAATCAAAAAGCGGGGGGGGGGGGGGGCTGGAACCATCTGTCGATCGGGGCGCTGTTCAAAACCGACAATTTATGGTGCTTTTCAGGGCGATACATGTGCGAAATTCTGAAAAAGGCACCCAAAACGGCAGATGCCACAAAAAAAAGGGCACAACTTCTTTTTTGAAAAGGGCACTTGTTCGGAAAAAGGGCACTTCGAGTAAAAAGGGCACTCTTTACAAATTACTGGGTGGTGAGGGGTAAGCCCGTTGAAAAAAAGGCATTTGAATGGAAAAAAGCAGATACCCCCCCCCCCCCCCCGCAGGCTACGCCTATGCAAAATGTAGTAGAAGTACTGACAAACTACACTGTCGTTCGGTAATGACGAAATAGGCCGCGTTTGCTTTAATAAGTATTCAACCGTTATTTGATATAACTTATGTACTTGTGTTTTGGGGGAAAATTCATTAATTCATATGTAAATACGAGATACGTCCAATTTGATCCTTTTTCTCCAGAACTGCAAACATTGTTAAATCATCACTCAGAAGTTCATTTACCTGATAGCCACAATAGTCAGTGGTTCCATTCCACTGATTCGTAGTACAGTTTAAAGCACGTGATTAATACTTGTTCTCATTAGATGACGTACAAATACGAAGAAGGAAGTGCCTCATTGGTTTCATATATCAAAACCACTTCCTCAATTATGCGATAAATACACCGAACTGCACAGAGACGCGTTCACATGCACACAAGCAACCTGAACTTAAATCCTACAGTGAGCGAACAGCCGAAGACTGGACTACGTCGTATTAGGTATGTGTGAGTGGTCCAAGCGATTTTATATGCAATACTATTTTTTTTTTTTTATGGCGGTTTGTAAAACATAATCAAATACCGGTGTATGATTGTTGGTGCAAGTATCTGGAAAAGACAACATATCTTAGCCCAAGAGCTTATTTTATAATGTGGAGATAGTACTTAGCGCTTCAAAGGCCTTATGCGGAGTTAGAGAGAAATGATTTTGTTTTGCATGGATAGACAGAGATAAACATTCGTTCATTCATTGTTAAATGGCAACAAAAGCCTTTCAGACGCAACGCATGTAGGTCTAAATAATTATGGTTGCGAACGCGAAGTGTAGCCCCTTGATAGGCAACGCTAATCCGATTACGTACTTAGACTCTATAACAGAGCAGTGAAATTCATGAACCCCAAAAACATGGCCTTTTGAATGTTTTGTTTCCCCTACAATAAGCTAAGTATGATTGAAATGTTAAAAACAGAAGAAGTAATTCATGTTAGTGAAAAAAAATCGCCGTCATCGATCGATGCCGAAACTTGCAATACTGGTTGCACTGGTAAAGCTGCATCTTCAAGTCGGGAAGAAATCGTTCGAAAACGTCCCCAAATGTATGCATTTATATCAATTTCTAGGAATTTTCGAAATTTGTTATTGCGGGAGTACGGTAGTTGAACACTGATATTATGTAAATATTTTCCGAATTTCAGGTAATCTGTCGTTGCAAACGACAGTGTTAATGCACCTTGAACTTTCTCAAAGGAAAATTTCGACGAGGATTTTTTTCCGACCAAACCCACGTGCATGGTCTTCAGCAAAGATCCTTTAGCGCCGTAGGCGCTATGGTTTACCCATTTCGGCCCGGAAAACAACGACGATCGCATACGAGCACATTCTTTAGCGTCACTCGGCGTGACTTGGCGCGGGTCTTGGTATCGACCAATGGAAGCCGGCAAAAAGGGTGATATTTATTAATAATAACTCGTGAACAAAGCTGTTATGCAAATGTTTACTGCACACCGTAATGGACAGGACCCTTATTAATATTCGTGAGGCTTGAAAAGATTGACAGAATTTCAAATGTCAGTGTTACAACTTTTAAAACTGCACGTAGCCAGGCCTATTTTTTCAATTTCAACGAAAAGTAATGAACATATCACAACGATTTTAGCACGAACTTGGATCATTATATGGGAAATAAACCCTTAAAGTTGCATGAGGATACGGTCTTCTAAACGGGAGAAATTGATTTTCAAAAATTCCGCCCGCCAAGGTCTGTGTGCATGTAGTTTCATTCAAAATAAAGTGTTACGTAGGCCTAACCTTTAGAAATCGCCCTTCGCAACCACACGGCTGTATACACTCTATAAAACAACTTACCAAAATATTGAATGGTTTTCCTAGTTATTGAAAATTGACTAAGAATTTAGTTAAACATGCAACATTTCTTACAAAGACTAGAAAAATTAGTTGGATTGACTCCAATTTGCATAACTATTTTTCCTATGGTTAATAATGCTGACTCAAAAAGTCTACCCAGATTGACAGATTTTAAGCTGCACCCATCTGTCCCTTATAGCTAGTTTAATTTAACTGGGGTCTATAGTCTAAACTGACTTGGGGGGGGGGGGGAGGGTATATAACCATACTGTGTCAAAACGCTTCAAAGTTATTAACCCTATTAATACATCAAGCCACGAGACACGTTTTCGATGGCAGCTCGTGATCAGCGCAAATCGGTCTTTATTCTGATCTTTCAGTATCAACTGATATTCCTGGATGGAGATGGACGGTTGTAATTAAGACAGTGTCTTGCCCAAGAACAAAAACCATTTTGCCCCGTCAGGATTAGAGCCCACGTTTAATCAATCGCACGAGACGGTCTTACTACTGTTACACGACCGTCACCACAAACAAATTCCTTCGAAAATAATTATGTGCTTCACAAAAACACGCTTACATGCCCAACCTTCATGCAATAAATATTGCCTATAATTCTTTTGACTTTTTCATGAAATTTGGCAGAAGTCAATTTAGCCAAAGTCTTTTTTTAGATTCACCGAACAACTGGCCCTGCAGGTTTATCTTAAAGCAAGAGTTATATTGGACTTTTTATGAAGCCTTTATCGAACTGAGGTTGACTGAGTTTTTTTGTTTGCTGTCTTGACCACTTCAACAATCCAATAAACTTGGATTTTTTTTCGAAATGTCAAATGTTCGAACAAAGAGTGGCGTAAAATGCGACATTTTACATTGACCTTTTTAACAGTAGCCTATCCAGCTTTTGATGTCAGGGGGACAATTGCACATCCGCGCCCCGAAATGTAGACATATGCTTCTTTTCCCTCCGGACACTTGGTCTCTACAAAATCAAAAAGCGGGGAGGGGAGCGGGGAAGGGGGCGCTTCCAAATAGGGGCCCTCTTCAAAAATGACCATTATTATGCATATTGCAAATTATTACCCATTTTCACGACGCATTCTAATGGTTTTGTGCGAGTTTTCTTGTGTGGGATCGATGTCAGAACTCTCTAACCATTTATTGAAATTATTGCGGAAAAAATGTTTGTAACAAAAATCTGCTGGGGGGGGGGGGGCAAAGTGCCCCCTTGCCCCAACCCCCCCCCCCCCCCCTATACGCCACTGCCTTGTAAGGCGCACAGACCGTAGTATGGATTATAAATGACTACTCTGCAAAAAGTGTCAACGATTTTATCAAATAACTTTGGAGATGTGCTAAGCAGGCATGTCTTAATCTGCATGCAAGGTTCAGTAAACTCGGTGACGGGACAGGCGAGATTTTAAGGAGGAATCGACACTTCACAACAGGTTCGGATTAGGGCTACCAAATTCATGTTAGTGTTATTAAAGTACAAAGCACTTCATAAATCAGGTATAGCTCCTAGCTCTAGAAGCCTGTTGGCACTAAGGGCGGCAATGCTTCTCAAAAGTGGAGGGTTGTACATCAGAACTAATGCGAGTGCGAAGCCTAAATGGCGTGGGGTTCGGGGCCCGCTTAATTAAGGGCCCCGAAAAAAAGTGAATTCTAGACGGATCTGGGCTGCAATCTGAGGAAATTGACTACAAGCAAGGTTTTAGCAAAAGATCATCAGTTAAACATTATTTTCGAGTTTGGAGTCAATGGGGCGTATGTATAAAAACTAGCATTTGCTTGTACTACCTAATTTTAAGCATTTACTTGCATTTGCATGAATGAAAATGGAGCAAATGCTTTTACTGGAAAGCATTTACTGAAAGCTAAAAGTATTTACTTGTTAGCTTTTGCTAGACTAAGTGTTTACTTCATTTCGTATGAATAAAAGCAGTAAATGCTTACTGGTCATTTTCAAGGCTGGGTTGGGGCAACCTTGAAACTATAAAGCAAAACTTCTGCACAAAAAACTGCTTCATTCATTAAAATTAGTCGCCCCCACATTAACACAAAACGTCAATAGACTACATATAATATCATACACTGTATTATGAATGACATTTATGCAAAATTTAAATATTCTTTTATTATTAATTTCATTACTAGAAGGAACGATAATTTTGCATTTTGTTCACGATTATGAGAAGTGTTAGCGTAAAATTCAGTGCAGCATAAAATGATTAAGGATAAATTTTATTCAGCGGCAACCTGGGGATTGAACAAAATGAAATCTTTTTTTTCTAGTTCATTAGGTCACCAATCTTTGCAGACCATTCTTTTTTTAATATTTCAATAAACAAAACAAACTCTTTGTGTATTGAATGTTGGTATGATTTTACCTGCTTTAACACATGTCTGTGATTTGTATGCAATTGTGACGTCTACGTGACACTGTTGACCTTTAACATTTTTATGAATGATGACAGTATACTTTTATGCTTGTATTCTGCAACTGGCGAAAAGTGTCACGATTTTTGATTGATTTAAAGATCAAATGTACTACTATACAATACAGGTACTGTATGCATCAACTTGATGTGAGCTATTAGTCTATCGCCCTTTTTTACCGTTTTTTTTCTTCAAATGTCGGCTGATGACTGCAAATGCTGACGGACTAAACTTAGTGCAAATAGGCCTATATGGGAGTACAGAGAGGCCACATAAAGCTTATACTCATCGAAACCCCTTCTAAAAACACGTTAGAATTGTGTAGCAGCAGGATTCCAGTCAAGCCAGTGAGTTTGGCGGTTTTGAGACATCATCTTTCATTGAAAAAAAAAACAAAAATCATTTTGCCGACGCACATGGCTACGGCGACGTGCGCGCATACCAGCAACCGGAGACTTTTTTTGGCCTAAAGGAGAACTTGTATTCATACGATCGAAATCAAGCATTTGCTTTTCCTGAATGCTTTTACTCCAGAGTAAATGCGTTTACTTTTTGCTTAAACCTCCTAGTTTTTTATACATATGAATCAGCTATGCTGAGCTACAAAGTCAAATAAAGGCTGCATAATTTCTATTCAGCAACAAAAATAGTTGATGAAACGACATGTCCCCGTTCTCCACCGATCGACGCCCAAGGTTGGCACCGTGCTTCAGAACGACAGACTTCACACATAAATGTTATACGTAGAGCCTACATGATTTGTATGCCTACATGCTGTGCAGTGTAAGTTGCTAAAAATCGAAAATTCTAAGAGAGACCCTACAAATAAAAAAAAAAAAACCTTGGCACAGTGCCTACCGCCTTTTGGGTAATCCGGGCCTGCTTCACAAGCTAAAACTCAGCATGTTTTCATTCAAGTTCAATTGTCACGTGATCTCTGGAGGTCAAAGTGAAGGTCGCTAGAAATCGCACTTTCAATTTCCGGGTTCGGTTTTGCAATGCGGTCAATTCGAGATATAGATGCACGTCAATAAGGTTCCCAGTTGTTTTCGATGAACATTATATTCTGCCAGGAGGTAATTCAGTCCTGAGTGAACTTTATAAAACCATACGACCTTGTTTGTGAGGAAATTTTGATACGAAAAATATCGTATCTAGCGTACGTTTTGTAAGCTGGCCAGCAGATTTGACGTGTGACGTGTACATGTAATATTCATTTTAGGCTGCAATGGGTGAAGGGCTTATGATTCGACAGCGTTTGGGTCGTGCGTTGTTACTGTGGCTGATGACTTTTCAACTTGCGTTTCTTCCTTCCAAGCAACAAAACTGTAAGTACACTTTTATGATTTTATATGAAAACGGTTTTTGTTCTTCTATTAAACTTGTCATTGCAGAACGTTAAATGCAACTTCAAAGAGTTTGACAAAACCACCACTTGTACAATAAACCAATGATACATTCTTTGCCATGAAAGAGTTGAATATCAAGCTCATTATACGATGACTGCATGAGCATTGCAATCCAATAAAATCATGCACAAAAGGTTGCTGGAGTTTGGATTTCGGAATTTCGGGTGCATTTTTGGTTTATTTGTGCGCATGAATATATCGCCCTGAAAAACACCATATATTGTCCGTTAGTGTGTATAATCGTAGGTTTTGAACAGCGCCCACATCGACATATTGTACAAGCCCCCCCCCCCCCATTTGATTTACGGAGGTCAAGTGTCCTACAGAGAGGAAAATACGTGTCTACATTTCAGCCCGGATGTGCAAGTGCCATTTTCAAGAAATGTTCAACCCCCCCCAACAAAATGACCTTGCTACATCCCCTGTCCAACTGAACTGCAACAACAAGTATTGTAAGCAGAATTGAGGTATCTTACCTTATACCCCCAAACCCTCATTTCAACCTCTGCCTAGTTCTGTCCCATCTTGCCAGAATACTTCACACATAACATGCAGTTGTTCTTTTTGAATATAAAGCAAGACATCTAATTCTGGCTTTCATGACTGGATTTGAAACATAATTCACTGTTTATTTTTCATACGTCCATTAGACGTTTTTGTATGATCCGTATCCAATAAGCAGATTAACATAATTCACAATGTGAACCTCATTAAAATCTCGAAAACAATAGAGAGGTTTTGCGCTTGTTTTTTTGTTTTTGTGAAAAAACGCGTGGTGATTGAGCCCGACCCTACTTTATTGTACACACTGTCAGTTCGGTAATCACTGCGAAAACAAAAAAATATGAAATTTAGATTAATTTCTGCGTTTTATCACTTCGTCAAATGCATATACAAGGATGTTTTTCGCAGGAGTAAGAAAAACAAACAAGAAATGCATTGATTTACTTCAAACTTCCGGTTTCATGACCTCAAGACATTTTGATTCCACACAACAAATTACCCCTACTAACTATATGACATCACATTGACGTATATACTTGTGCAAAAAAAATGTATGCATTCTGGGGGATCAGGGTTGATGTCCCACTGAGTTTCAAGTTCATGCGTTGCACTCCTCGAAAGAACAGTTGCAGAGTAAAAGAAATCGTACACATTGTATATATACGGAGGGGTCTTCGGGGATCAACCTGATCACCTGCACCTTGCATAGCTAGTGTATAAAGCTGTAGTGCTAAAACTTTTTTGTAAAGGTTATATTTACCGACGAACTGTTTGCGCTGTGCGTTAATTTTTATACGAGTTATGTTTTCAATGTTTTTCCCCAGCTCCTGGCTATTTGGGTTGCTTTCTGGACGTTAATGGTGATCGCGCTCTATCCGTTGGTCCTGCAGAAGAATACATGTCAGTAGAGTGGTGTTTTAGGCACTGTTTGGAACCTACAGCATACAAATACGCTGGACTACAATACGCACACGAATGCTGGTGTGGGGATAACGAGGACTACGACAGACACGGGGAACAATCCGATTGTCGTGATAAGTGCACAGGAAACAGCGACCAGATCTGTGGAGACAGTTGGCGCATATCCGTGTACAGAGGTAAGTACAAAAACTATTACCAACTGAACAAATTTAACAGTTTATTTGAATGTACTGGAGATTTTTCAATCAAAGCCAGCTGTCTGCATGACAATTCCTCATAAGTCCATCACAATTCATCCAGTCCCACGTTAAGTCACAAGCTATTCAAATAAGCCGAGACACAGGCATCCCTTCGACAACTTGCAATGTTATTTGTAAGAAGACTTGCAAAGTATCTTGTGATTTACATGCGGACTGAACTGTGATTGACTAGACTGCAACACTGATCCCTTCATTAGAAATTCACAAGGAACATGTATCTTATTGTCTTACTGCAGTATCACAAGGAGTATGCAGTAACGACATAGGACCACCCACCAACGGACACCACGACATCACCAACCCGCGTTCACTGTCTTACAATCTCAACAACTTCAAGTTCTTCGGGACTCGTGTAGATTTCTCCTGTGACCCTGGATACAACCTCCATGGAGCTTCAAAAATTGAATGCATTGAGACTGGCTACAACAACGTCACGTGGAGTGACTCGGTACCGACATGTGAAGGTATTTCATTAGTAAGAATAGAATTAGACTACAAACAATTCTGTCTCTGAAATAATGAATACTGAATTCTTATAATTAGACGTAAAGGTTAAGTCTATACATGTATAGCCAGTCAGTTCAACTTCATTGTGAATGCACTATATGAACAGGTTCATCAAGCACAATAGGCGAAGGCCTATAGGGGACGTTTGTGGTTCGCCCCCTGCCCTCCAAAAAACATGAATGACGTAACGCTACTGCGAGTCACACCGCTAAAATAGGTGTTTCCTTTGAATTTCTTAAATTACAGTTCCTTCAATTCAAACAACATTGCAAAGCAAAGTCACTGACTCACTGATGACGATTGGGAACTCAAAGACCGATGAGATGCCCTCTTCAACGGACTTTATCAGCGAGACACCCGCGAACAACAACCCAAACACTGGAGTGCTCCAGAAAGGTGCGAAATTTACCTCAATACCTGTGTATAAACTCCGTGCAATGAGTGCGCTCTCATACAAGGGTTAAAAAATGAGCGTGAAGACGGCCATTTTGAAGGCGAACTATACCAACGAGTTGTAACGAGTCACTGATTGTGTGAATCAAGTCGAGTCGAGTCATCAGTATAAGAAGAGACTCGAGCTAGTCGAGTCAAGTCATTTGGTCAAAAAGGTCTAGTCGAGTCGAGTCACTGTGTGTAATCGAGTCTTTATGAGTCGAGTCGAGTCAACTATTTAGCTCGAGTCGCTAATATTTGAGTAATATAATAGCAAAAAGGACAAGAGTGACAGTCATTTGTATCACTAACAGTTATAGGCTAACGAGAAGTAAAACCTTGGTCTTATGGCCTATATGGTTTGGCTTCAGGTATAGTATTGTTTTCCTTTGATAAAAGGTCATAACCCACAAATCGTGAAATCCAGGATTTTAACACTCATTTTGAGTTTTAGGAGCCAGCAGCAGATGAATGAATACAAAGTTTTGCTTTTATTTTTGAGATTCGAGTCTTATTAGTCTTCGCTCGAGTCAAGTCGATTCATCTTGTGAGGGACTCGAGTCGAGTCATTCGCGCGCAGTAACTCGATTGAGTCAAGTCCAGTCATTTGCCCACAACTCTGCCCACCACCCAAAGAAAGACGCAGCGGGTTGGTGCGCATTTAGATGAAACTCGAGCCACGGTAGGCCTAATTGCTGATTAATTCAATCATAATTGTGCAATTTCCTCTTTTTAATTTGGTTGAAAAGTCTTTTACCGAGGCAGCACTTGTCAATCATTAACACTTTCAGTGTTTTCTAGTCTCTCTGCCAATCTTTCTCATATCTTTTCACCCTAATCCCATCGCCCTTTCAATTTCTCTCTATATTTTTCTTACCGACTCCAATTCATTCTAATACATGTACTTTATTGTTCACAGGAGCAATCGTCGGAATAGCTGTTGGAGCAGGAATACTAACTGTACTGATACTGTTAGTGATTCTTCTCTGCAAGAAAAGGTACGTATTGAATTCCATATGCATGGGCGTCGCCAGGATTTTTTCTAGAGGGGGGCAAAAAAAATGATTTTTGCCAAAAAATGCTTGTATTTCTCAACACATTCTCAATTTAGAAGTTTAAGAGGGGAGCAGGGACATTTTGCCCCACCCCCACCCCCACCTCATTAAATTTACAACACTTTGTCTTTGCGCCTCTTTTTCTTTTCCTTTTTTTCTATTCTTTTTCTTCCTTTTTTTTTCTTTTTCTTTTCCAGGGGGATGAGGGCAAGTGCCCCCCTTGGCACCCCCCTCGCGACGCCCATGTCCATATGTCATTTTGTACGACTGCAGCTCCCTAGCAGAATCCTTTCAGAACTTGTTTTAAGACGTGCTTTACTTTGCTTTACCTCCTAATAGCCTCTTTACTCACAATAAAGCCAAACCATCTCGAACTACATCGTTTCTGCAAAAGCTTCCCGACTTTTTTAAAAGGAGGTGACTGAGGTGTTGAAGTCTGTAGAAATGGACACAGATTAGTAATACTATATGAAGATACTTCAGAAAAGAAAACTTAGGATTATTTCTGTTATATGACAATAGTCAGCAGCCCTACAGCTCCGGAATTTCACCTCAAATTTCCTTATCAAATGTGTTACCTTCTCTGTGATTCAGAATTTGCACACCTCCCACCATAAAGCATATACAGCGTGACAAAACATTCAAGTTATTCCACAATGTAACGATGTCAATGCGTAAGGCCAAAATGAAAAAAAAAATGGTCTCGTCAGACCGAATTCCGGAATTGATGCGGCGACGCGATTTTTTTTTTTTTTTTTTTTTAAATCTTGAATTGTACAGACAAGGTGGATATATTCGGCTTGTTTGTGTCCTCATTAAACATTGGTGTCCTCCATAATTTGCTTTGGTGCCCTTTATCATTTGCTTTGGTGCAATTTCCACATTCCTTGGTGCTCCTTGGTACAAACATTTAAGGAGGTGTGGCAATAGAGGGCGCTGTTGTAGCTTGCGCGTTAATTGCAAGGGAAAAAAAGGTTGACGCGCAAGATTAAAATCGACGCGCGCGCTGACCAGAGACCGAGTATTTTTTTTTTTGGCCTAACACATTTTTAAAGATCGTCCTCTGACTTTTTTTTTAAAGAAGAAAACCAAAGAAGAAGAGACCAGATGTTACCGTGGCAACAATCGGAGACAGGTACACAAACAACGCCTACGCACTACCGGAGATCGTGAACCAGTCGATCACGGACCAATCAACGATGCCCGTTTACAGTCGGGTCATCAAGGACAGGACCGATTCTGATGACGTGTACGCTACTCCTGACGACATCACAAGCCCCGGGGGTGACGGGAACGCGCCTAGCGACCAAGCAAAAGGCGTGACTGCATCACGTGATCAGGAGAATGGGTGGGTTGAAAACACGCTGTACGCGTGCGAATCATTCCCAGCCGAGCCTGCGCCGGCGAGAGTCAAATATTCAGACGGACAAACAAACAGTGGACCACCGCTGAAAATGGAAGGAAAACCTGGATGGGTTGAAAATAACATCTACGAGTAAAAAAGCTCAATTGGAAACATCTCGCAAGATGCAGACCAACGAATTCGTGTTCATGCATGAGTCGCGTGATTGTGCCATGTAATTTCTGAAAGGAGTAGATTTCTGCTGTAATAGTAAAACATCAGGTTTTTGACCTCAGTGACCCCATGATGACATTGGACCCTAGTTTGGTCATGTGACATGTTTGGGCTGGGCTACTTATTCTGTTGACAAAGTTTGGTTGAAATCGGTCAAAATATGTAGGAGCAATATCAACGTTGAATTTAACTAACGGTCTAACGGAGAGACATTACGTTGAGCTGCTATCCCGCAGCTAAAAATGTTGACCCACTGTAGAAGGGCTGTTATACTTCTAGTCAAATGATTGACAATTAGTAGCCCTGAACAAAAAATGCAAATGAATCTTGACTTGGCGTCGAGAGATGTACATTTTAATGTACATTGTGTAATTTTAAATTTGGGGGAAAAAATGACTTTTTTCCTTCATCGATGTCGTTTCAAAAGTGCCGTCTTTCAAAGAGCTTGCCAGAAAAGAACAAGAATTAACTAATGTAAAATAATCAAACTATTACACAGACAAAAATATGATTTACTCATGACTGTTCAGATATTTACACAGTGTAATATACTGGGATCTGCACTAGTACTAAAAAAAATATGGGTAAGAGAAAAGATGACGGATAACTATTATGAAAATTCCAATGATATCAAAATGCAACAAATAGCGACTGTCAATGTGTTTTCTCTTGTTATTATACCGAGTTGTAAACTACTGTTCAATCCAAGTATGAACTAGTGCCTGGTGATTGCTGGAGTGGTTCAATCTGAAATTAATACACAGACCAAAATATAATTAGTGTAAAATAAGTATAAGTCAAAAGGAATGCTCTGTACTAAAAAAAATTGAATTATTAATGTGACAAGTATAAAAATATGAATATATAGCCCCCTCTATCTATTTTTCAAGTCCTTTTATCATGCCTACATATTCATGAGTTAATTTACATAGTAATGTAACCACTCTTGAGTGGCTTTTGTTATTAAAACTATACGAGGCGCATTAACATACAATTTGGCGCCTAGGGTTAAAGGTAGCGTCTATCATTTGTAAATTATTTGTGCATTATGCTCGTTTGGAGCAACAAAAGTGCTCAAAATCTAAAGAAGGGTGTTGAACAACTAACCTGATGAAGTGTCCGCTCAGTGAATGCTGTTCATTCCGAGAAACAATATTCTAGGATCTCGATTTCAAGTTTCAGAGTCATGTTTTGTATTGGACCTGAATTCAGCGTATGAGACACGTTCTCACTCAGCTGATTGCAGCTACGTGATGTCGATGTCGCACATTGAACCGACGAATTATAGCAACTGCAGCGCGCGCATGTGCGTTGTGTGTCATCGCTTGCGCGTGCTTCGCCGAATTTAGACGCATCGTTGGTAAGGCCTTCTTTCATTAGTTTTATCAAAATGACAGCTTGCCAGAAATAATAATTTCACAGAGACTTTACCTCTTACTCTCTTTAAACAAAGTTTGCTTTTCAACATTAATTACGTCTGTCAGTAACTTCTTGGATAGCCGCAAATGATGGACTGTACCTTTAAATCACTGTTCGGCGCAGGACCACTCAAGGCATGTCATTTCGGTCTTCGTCTATTTTCAAGTAAAGCGTTGCTACAATTATTTACAATATTCTTTAGTTGACTAAATATATTCTGATTAAACTGATCCCTCTAATATTCAGTCACTCTTTTGTAGTATTTTGGTCCATCCTTTTATGACTTTGTCTCACGATCTTGTTTGAGTTGTTTCTCAGGAAGTGAGATGAAACAAAAGGAACTTTAATTCATTTGAATGTCGGTAACACTGTAAATATGTGTTACGTACTTGCCACCTAGATAATCCATCATTTGTAACTTGTAGATATTGATCCATCGGTATAACTGCTTTGCTGACATTTTGATACCTTAGTTTTTAAAGTTGCGTTTTCAAGATGGCGGACGCCGCCCAGATTTTCGACGCGAAGTACATTTTGCTAGATATTTCGATATTTCATGTTTGCTCTTCATTGTCATTGATTGAATTCTTATCAATTCACCTTTTCTGTGAGCTGTTATATGTGAGATTAGCCAGTATGGCAAATATTTGTTAAGACTTATCCTGACCTTTCTAAGTTTGATTGAGACATTTACGATAATTTGTTAAGCTTTAAACTGTTTGATTACTTAATTACACATTTTGGCCTGGCTTTTCACTGTTTGATGATTACTTATTTTTAAAATCACTGTTCGACTGAGACCGCTCCAGACAAGCCATTTCTGTCTTCGCCTATTTTCAGAATAAATATCTAAAAAGATAAGCCAAAAGTCAGCCAGTGTGTTCCTCTACACCTTTATTTTAAACGCGGTCACATTAACAAAAATGCAATACTTGAATTAAAATTGTACCTGTACTAAACACCCGTTACGTTTTTTCCGAACTGCCTTGTCATTTACCAGAAATTAAGAAAAGTAGGAGATTACTTACGATCAGTCAATTGACTGATTGTTTGGATTTTCATTGATATTCACTTCACAAGTTAGGCTTTGAACGTTATTCTTTCAATTTTGGGTGGCATTTTTATTATAAACGAACAAATTGCATGAAAAGCTATTGGATCCTATGCACCTTGAGCAATAGGTGGGCGCAGACATCCGAGAATCGTTTTACATTGGCTGATGTAGCTCACAGACCTATGTTCTGGAAACTTTATGGTTCTTGCGTACGCTGTTACGAAGTGCTAGCTGATTGTAACACGTAGAAACCGATGAAACCTGACTTCACTCCACCCCGATCTATACTCATGGTCTAAGATATTAGATGGGTTCTTCTTACGCATGCATGCGAATCCCCAGTCAGTGAAGCCGCCTGGTGGTATCCGGGGCGCTATCTATTATACAACATATCAGTCCCGCCAGTATGCCTTGTTTGCGCAGCTACTATAAGCCGGAGCAACACGGATGTAAGGGCCCTGTCACACTTCTGCGTATCCTAATTCCTTATGAGTTGCGCATTGACAATTTTTTCATACGCAGTCGTACGCACAATACGCACCTCATATGCATTTCTATCGTTTTGTGTAGGTTTTATGTACGCAGATATACGCATGGTACGGCCCAGTACGCAGGATAGTTTTGGGCATGCACAAAACTACACTGCGTACGCTGTTACGCCAGTCAAAAGTTATAAATACGCAGCGCATCGGTCCCGCATCGGTCGAGTGCGTTTCGAGTACGCTTTGTGTTCGTGACGCACCCCTCAGCATAATTATGAGCCGCCTGTATTGGACGTATACATAGCGTACTTGCAGCGCAGATGCAACGCACGCTGAACGGCGAGCGGCGGAAATGCGGCGGGAATACGCTCAGAAGTGTGTCAAGCATACGGTCGGCATATGTCGGGTGCGTCCGGAATACGCTCGGCATGCGCACTGCATACTGACCTATTCGCAGCCCGAAAAATAATGTTGTGCACTGCATACGCAACTCATACGCATCTCATACGCAATGGATGCGCTGAATTCGTTACTTGTACGCGAGATATGCGTCGCACATAAGTCAAAGTGATCAAAACATTTCGACGTTAATTGAGCGTACGGCTGCGTATTGAAAATTTTTGATAAGGAACTCATAAGGAATTAGGATACGCAAAGGTGTGACAGAGCTTAAAGCAAGGTCAGTCCACGTAGAGAGATAGATAACGGCCGACATTATCCTTATGCAACATGCAGGTCCTGCATGTTGTGTGGCGAAAAGGGGCAAGAGGGACGGGGCGGAAAAGGGGGATAATATAGGGTCGTCGGAAAAGGGGGGGGGGGGGATTTGGGAAACCTCTTCAATATCCTCGATAGCGCTGCCACCAGGCGAAATAGTTCAGGCCTAATCCTCCGGAGTTTCGCCTCTCCGGTTTAGCACTTCGCGTTGGCCGACGTGGGTTCGGGTCACAATATATGACGAAGTTACCGAGAAGCAGACACCTTAAAAGGGGGAGGGGCTTAAATAAATTCTGACAGGAATCCAGTTGTACAGAACAAAACTGTTTCCAACTATTTAATTCAGATCCGCAACAATATGAATAAGAACAATAACAAGTTATAAGAAACTTGTTGTATCCGCAACAATAATAAAATAAGGTCAGGTATTTACACTCTGTACATTTATTTACACTCCAGTATTAAAGCCTCATTGTACAATCCAATGAATCTCCTAATAATCCAGTAAACCTCTTTATCCAATCCTCGCTTAGTTCCAATCCAGAATTAATTAGCACTTGAATATGACCAGGGGAGTATGGGGAAAGAGTAAGCTACAGACAGTATAGTAAAACGATATGGAGCAAGGTACGTTTAAACCTGTCCACTTACTTGCAGAGCGAAGACTAGGTATCGTTTAAACCTGTCTACACAACTTGCAAAACCTAGACTAGGTATCGTTTAAATCTGTCTAGGCTACTCAACTTGCAAAGCAAGACCAGGTATCGTTTAAACCTGTCTACCTTCAAGAAGAATTTAGTAAGGTCCCAGACCTTCCTCAAAAATATTAAATAGGCCCCAGGCCTTTCTCAAACCACTCGGGAAAACAGACTCGTCAGCCTAATTCCGCTAAATCTCCTCTCAAGAACTCAGTAGTTCTGTGAGAGAACTTAATAAAAACTTACTATACCTCTACTGTCTGTCTCTAACTCGATATTCAGATACACAGCTCCCCAGTACACAGTTGATGCACCGGCAGCTCCCCAGTGCACAGTCAATGCAGGGCTGTAATAAATCTATAAATTATCCTTGCTCCCCAATACACAAATAAATGAGGCAGCAATAATTATCCTAAGTTCTCCTTATCCTGGCTCCCCAATACATAAACGAATGCAGAGCTCCCCAATGCACAAACGATGATGCAATGGGCCAGATAAATCTAAAGTATTTTAATAAATCCTGCTCCCCACTGCAAATCCAATGCAGAGCCTCCAATAAATTCTTAAGCTTGGATCCCCAATGCACAAAGTGATGCAGTGCTCCCCACTACACAATTCAGTGATGCAGTGGTCCAGTTAAATCGATTAAATAATTTATCCTGGCTCCCCACTATACAAGTGAAGAAGCAAATCAATGTGGCTTGGCTCCCCAGTATTTAGTTCACTTACATCCACTTCGTTTAGACTAACTTGCTCCCCAAAGCACAACTTATCGCATCAGAAATCAGCTGCACAATAATACACTTCGACCAACATCCACCAAATCCAAATCCAAAATTCCTTAATTAGCCAAAAATCTGTCCTATTTATACCCTATGGGCTGCGCGCCCGGCGCCCAGCGCGAAGTCAAAAATACGCGCTAGTAAATAGGCCACGCCCACATTTGTAAAAGGTCACAGTAGCGTAATTCACATAGCGATAATTTCTCCTAAATTTCTCCAAAATTATACAGCAAAATATCACACAAAATGGCTGAAATCAATCTTCAAGACATTCCTAACAGTAAATCTGCTCTAAAACTGTGAATAAATTATACAGAATCCCAAAATGCTCACTTTCACAGGGTATGAATGAATATAAACAAACCCTAAGTTCATTGAAGAAAATGCAATGATGTCACATATATGAATATTCATTAGCCAGTCACTGACTTACCAGACGATAGCTTACAGAAAAGTCATCAAAACTTTCCTAATTTCCACAGTTGCTTCAAATTAGACAACTCTATATCTAAAGAAGCTAGATAAATATTTATCTCAACTTTCTACAAACATGAATAACTTTTTAGAAGTCTCAGTCTGCCAGACATAATTTTACAACTTTCAGTCAATCACAACCGTTTTAACCACCGCTCAAATGGCAGCCATGTTGGATTTTACCATCACGCTATTTATAGCACAGCTGACATGAATAAACAAACACGTGAGTGCACACACACAATTTCGGCAGGAAAATACTCAAAACTGCTTGGAAATAATGCCTTAAAAGACAACAGGAATTTACTAGACGAAAATGCCTGGTCTCTAGAAGGATAAGGGTAAGATTTACAGTAATAAAAACTTGAGAAATGTGAGATTTGGGGGCATTTTCGTCACAGTTGCATAAGGATAAAGTCCACAAGGCAGCGCTTTTATTAACAGGCTTCCTTGCAAATTGCCTTTTGAATTGCCACCTGTGGGAGTGATATTTGGAACTCCCCGAACATTCATTAACGATATGCCAATTGGACTTTGAGTCTCACCTATTCACATGGCATTAATGGGTTTACGCCTGCTACTACATGTACAGTGCATTGCAATTCTATGATTGCACGGGTAGATATGTTCCAGCGTACGTTGCCAAGTGACTCCTGGAGTCACTTGGCAACGTACGCTGGAACATATCTACCCGTGCAAATGTGGCGGGGCCAAGTTTTAGTTAGTAATTTGTATGTGTTTATAGTGTATTAAATAGGAGTAGATCCCCTTAGTAAAAAAAAAATCATTTTAGTTTTAGTTTCTCAAAAAAAACCTCAAGAAGCAACTTGTTGAAAAAAAAACTAAATTTTTATCAAGATAAGCGAACCATCATCAAAAGAAGTAAAGCACTAAATTTGTCTTAAGCAAAAAGGATATCTAATCTTCAAAACTGGAAGTTCTCAAGATCTAAACGGACCAGACTCAACTTTTACTCTTTGAACTAATCAGACTGGATTTATTTACTGAAAACAATTATACAAAATAAATGAAAATAGGAAAATATTATACAAAAAAAACTCACCAAATGACTCTAGCAGACTGAGCTTAAACAGGACACACCACTCCAGTTAGGAGAAACATAAAATGACCTGTATACTATGAAGTTGTCTCTGTTGGTCTGCTGGCTGAACTAAAGTGGCTTGACCATGTGGGGGATCTTATATAGGGGGACTCGTGGGCTAAACAAAGAGGGGGTCACACTACCAACAAAAGGTGGGGGGAGTCATCCAAACTAAAACTAAAATGATTTTCTTTTTACAAAGGGGAGCTACTCCTATTTAATACACTATAAACACATACAAATTACTAACTAAAACCTGGCTCTGCCACACAATCACAAAATTGCAATGCACTGTACATGTAATAGCAGGACATAAACCCATGAATGCCATGTGAAATAGGTGCGACTCATAGTCCAATTGGCCATCGTGAATGAATGTTCGGGGAGTTCCAAATATCAGTCCCACAGGTGGCAATTCAAAAGGCAATTTGCAATGGAAGCCTGGTAAAGCGCTGCCTTGTGGACTTTGCACGTAAAAGGAAGGGTGATACTTCAGGAAGTTCAGGTAGACTTGACGCAGTGGATCGTAACGTGTTGCTGACAGATTCACAGTGAAGTTTTGAAGAACTTTTAGCAACGAATTGAAAGGTAACTTTATTGAGTTATTTTCTTTTATCATGGGTAGGCTTATACATTTGTATTTTGAAAAGTCATTGTATCAATTAAAACAGAAATTCTCTTAAATAACGCCGTTCTGCATGACACTACAAAATAAAATAAAAAAACATGGCAAATTACATGGTTATCACTTTTGTTCTTCCCTCCCATGAGTCACTTTGAAAGTCCCATTGCAAATTAAGAAATATGGTACAAAATTAATAAACTACCATGCATGTATATGAATAAAAAACAAACTCTCAACACCAAACAAAAATTTGATGCGATCAAGCGAAATGAGTCGTTTGTCGGGAATTTTCATTTTGAAATTCAGGCCAAAATACGGCCACTTCATCACATCACTTCATCACCTCCCTTGGTGCTCCGACTTCCATAATTGTTTGTACTAAATATGGTACCAGCATGCGGTTTTCACAGCAGTAATGCTGAGATTGTGCTCTTTTCATATCTGTAAAAAGAAATGACCTGGGTCGACAAACGACTGATTTAGCTTGATCACATCAAAATATACAAATCAAAACCAGCAAAATTAACTGAGGACGCAGAATTTAGCTAGGGGATTGAACCATTCCAAATCTTCAGGAGTGCCGGGTTCTGGCAGGTGCCCACACCTAGGTGGGACACTCAGCAGGTGTTCTATTGTCAATTCCTCCCCACAGTCGCACACACTGAATCCCTTAATCCAATGTACTTCAACCCCTCTGATTATTAATCTGTCTGCCCATCTGTTACACAATATGCTATTAAATTTTATTACCGATTATTTGGGGTAAATGGGTTAAATGGGTAACAGGTAGCTTGATGCATTGCAGGTACCTTCGAGGCTGCTCTTTATTTCAATTTTGGGTAACATTGAATACGCGAGGTACATAACCATATCGCCTCTGTCTGTACTCTCACATGAATATACTTGCAGAAATAATTGTTCCATCATGGGATGTGGAGCGTCGAAAACCACAGCTCATGAATCGACTAGTACTAGTCCTAAAGACGCTCAGCAAACAAAAGATCGGCGCCAAGAACAAACTCAACGGCGTGAACAAGAAGAGCAACAGCAGCATCCGCAGCAGCTACAGCAGAAGCAGCCATCACCACCACATCAACATCTTCAAGACAGCGGGCCTGCAAAACACAGCGAGCTGAAGTACCTACCCAAGCCGACTCCGCCTGCTACAAAGAAAAAAGAATACATTCCGGACTCGAATGTGTTCGCGGATATTGACGACCACGCATTACAGGTACATGTATAGGCGAATCCTGGTGTAGGCACAGGCGGGTTCAGCTTCCTGTGTGTTGCTAGTCCCAATTAAGGGCAATTAGTACCTATCTCACCGACTCACTGACTACAGGGCAATGCCAAGGGCGGATCCAGAAAACAATTTGGGGGACAAAACAGTTTTGGCCCACAAAAAGTGGGTCTAAAAATTACGGCGTGGGGTTCGGGCCCAACTAAAGGCCCCGATATTTTTTTGGATTGTAGATGCTCTGTGGTGCGATCTGAGGCAATTTCTGACCACTTAATCCATTTTTTTTTCAGGAAAAGATGCCATTGCGACGTCAATTAAAATGATAATATTTTGTTTTTTTTTATTTATTTATTTATTTTTTTTTATTTTTTATTTTTTTTGGGGGGGGGGGGGGAGGGCATGGCCCCGTAATTCACCCCGCCCCTGGGCAGTGCTATAGTATAGGATCACTCTGTTACGCCAAATGAAAGGGTTACATCTGACCAATTGTGTTGACCAGATGCTTTAACCCTCCGACGCAGAAACTAGCCCTTTTGGGGACCCAATTTGGTTAATTACCTTATAAAAAAAAAAAATTCAAACCAATTCTGGTGATCTTCCATCTAATCCTAGCCAGAGGCACCCACTACGGATATATGCAGTCACCTTTAGTGTGTGACCCCGGGTGAGGCATATCTGAGCCTGACAACCTGGGCTGCCCATATACACGTGCACAAAACAAAGTCACTTGCGGGTAGCCAAGTGCACGACTTGACCACAGACTATGTATACAACATCTGTTTCCTGTCAATGACCTCCTTATTTATAGTCTACAGACATGTCGAGATTGTATACATATAGATACAGTGTTGTGTAGCCTCAAACAAAGGCGTTAAATGTCTGGGTCCCCGGAGGGACCCCTTACTGTAAGTGTGTTAGTCAATGGGCCGTCTGCGTCGGAGGGTTTTAAAAGAGTTCCAGTAAAAAGAAAACATTCAGAATCGATTCAATATTATTATCACTTTAGTCAGGGATATTAAAGCATTACGCTAGTCTTGCCTTGTGTCGGTAATCCGTCAGTCCGTCAGTTCAGAGCTCTGTAGGTTGGTTGGTTGGTCAGTTTACAGTTCTATCGGCTGGTCGGTTGTCGGACGAGCGGACACTGAGTTATTGGTTTGTGGGCTGGTTGGTTGGATTAGGTTCTAGATTGGTCAGGTAGTAGGTTTGTAGTACAGTCGGATGGACGATTTGATTCACCAAATCAATAGACCGTTCATTAATATCCTTGATTCAGTCACTAATTTATTTTCTTGTATTGATTTTATTCGCAAGGCGCCAAAGTCTGCAGCCAGCTCGGTAGAAAACCTCGTGAACTATTTGACCAAGGTTTGCTCAACCAATCTGGAGAGAATCCGTGTCCTCTTCAGGTGGATTACCAACAATATCGAGTGAGTACGCAATGACCTTATCCATACGAAACTTAAAATTTCAGTTGCAAAATTCAAATTCGAATGTCACGAGAAGCCGGATAATTTGTTTTGAAACTCAGTTGGTGATGGCTCCCTACACGTCAGTAACTGGAATTGTTGGAGAATGTGTATCTGGTTAATTTGCCTTTACCTCAGAACACTTCGAACAATGGGTAACCTAGCTGCGACGATACATTAAGCCCGAGGACCTGAACCCAAGTCCCCGCAAGGTTTCTCTGTACAAACCTTGTAGGACTTGTCGGGAAAAAGTGTGTCCAAACAATGGGAACAAAAGAAGGACACCATGTCCTCAGAGTGGGAGTATATATTATTTTGCACTGCAGCGTATTCTTTAGGTGTGTGCTTTTGTTCAGCAAAATACGCACGTGTAGTCCTCTAGTGCAATCACATATTTAATTGACATGGTAAATCACACCTCTAAGATGGCCGCTGTAAAAAAAGGTCAATAGTCACAATCAGTATTCCATGACAACTCGGAATGCAGTTAAATTGTTTTTCTTAATCAAATATTTTCTGTAATTACCAATCCACGTACCGTAAAGCTTTATTAATTAAGTCGGTCTCAATTTCAAAATTTTACTTTTTTTCAAGGTATGACGTCCAGAGCCTCCGCTCTGGTAACATCCAAGGAGGGAATTGTACGCCGGATGCGGTGTTGCAGAGAGGCTGTGGGATGTGTGAAGGGTACGCGGAGCTATTCCAGGACATGTGCAGGTGAGTCACATCGACGTTTTGAGCCAATGAGAGAGCTCCTCAAAGACGCCATTTTGGGATACAAGAAGACCTGATTCCAAGATTATTGACTAACTTTACATTTTTTTGTTTCGTTTTAGTACAAACTATATTTTTAACAGTCGTTATTTTTAAGAATAACGTAAAGGTGTTTGAATAGCCGCGTATTAGTGCTCTCAATCGTTAGAAATAAAAGCATATTACATTTGCATTCTTTCTTGAGGGCGCCCTGGAGGCACTCGTTGTATTCAACGCCCTCAAGAGTGCAAATAGTAGAGCTCGCACCTCGTTTCGCTCGTACCCCCCGCCCGCAAACAGGACGCTGGGATACTCTGATGAATTCACGCTCCGATTGGTTTGATTTTGCGTGACCAGTGACCTGCGCGTCATCAAGGTCATGACTCTACATGATTTGAAACGGCCGTTAAGACTGATTCATTTCTCGTTGAAAAAGCGTAACAATGTGGGAAATTTTGTAAAACTTATCTGTGTAGTAAACTTACAATTCCCGTCACTCGCTCAGGCTCCGTTTCAAGTCACGAACGGTCGGATTGCTTTATGCGACGCTCAAAATTTTGTCCACATGGTCCGCAATGAAACAGAAATCACATCCGGTATGGAATGCGCGTATTTCTATGAAAAGTTTCGGATAGCATTTGAGCACATTGTCTTAATGCGGTCTTGAACAGCTGCAGCCAGATGCTTTATACATGGGTCATAGGCCATTTCCTTCACAAGATTCTGTGAAGCTCATCAGAGTATCCCAGCGTCCTGTTGGCAGGGCGGGGGTACGAGCGAAGCACCTCGTACGATTTCGCGATATTTGCCGAGCCGTACGCCGAGACGGATCTTATGGTCCACCTGAAGATTGCGGCTTAACAAACAACTTTCGGTTTAACACCAGTTTGCAAAAATTTCCTGATGTTGTTGAATGATTTCCTATTACAAGGTAGTTAGGTAGGCCTGCATTCACCTATTCGTACCACTTTTCAGGCGGGCGGGCATCACATGTGAGAAGATCAGTGGGTACGCCAAGGGGGCCAGGTATTCGGCTGGAGACTTGTTCGAGGGCAAGGATACAGATCATGCATGGAACGCCGTGTATGTAGATAACGCCTGGCGTCTACTCGACTGTACGTGGGCTACTGGCTTCGTAAATCCCGCTCAGCCTTTCCAGGTAAGGTCAATTCACAAACAAACAAAGGGAAGAAGGCCGTCCAGCCCCCCCCCCCCCTCCCCATGTGGATTTTCCTTTTTTCGACTCTTTTGCTAATATCTGTGTATCCAAATGAGCAATCACCTTTTCTACCTGATTTTGAACTTGCATAGGAACAGCTTCTTCTTTTTTCTTTTTGGAAATAAAAAGACGTCAAAATATATGTTTAAATGTGTGATTAGAAAAACGGGGGGAAGGAGGCCCCCCAAAAGACGGCGCGAGCGGACAAGGACTAAAACAGGTTTATCATGAGTCAGTTAGCCTGCTAGATTGAGAGTTTGACTATCCATCTAGCAGACTAATTGACTGATCGACTATGATTGATTTAAATTATTTATGATTTATTTAGTTGAATGGACACATTGACTTGTATCGGCTTCCAAAGTAGCATTTGCGTCCTGAGATGTTAGATATAATCGATCAATGCATACACCGATTGGTCAATGTATTGCACACTCAATCATCGACCTATCAGCTGACAAAATACTCGACAAACCGATGGACTAATCAACTAACTAAATGGACCAAACAAGTTAGTTAGTTGCAAACGACCGACTGACTTACTATCAACAAATGTATCGCCCTCGATTGCTTCGCTAATCAGTTGATCGATTTATCAATAGATCAATGGATTAATCAATTAATGAATAATGTCATCAATATGAGTCTATTTACGGCTGATCACTCAATCAATATCAATTGAAAGTGATGAACATTTCGAGATCAATTAATTACATTAATTGAATAATATTCATCCGCAAATTTTGAAAACAAGATTGATTTCTTCCAGAAAAGTTAAAATCAAACTGTGTTGTATCAATTAGACTTAAGTGCACGGCTTGACTCCCTCGAGGTAATACTAATTTGTGATTCTTCTTTCTGTTCCAGTTCAAGTTCAAGGAACACTACTTTCTGACCGATCCTGAGGAGTTTATTTACACACACTTTCCTTACAACAAAAGCCAGAACATGGACAAGTGGCAACTGCTTGATACACCATGGACTCTGAAGCAATATGAAGAGGCACCTTTTCTGAAAGGAAGGTTTTTCGACCTCGGTATAAGTCCCTCGAGCTTGAGTCACTGCAGATCTCTCATTGAGTTCGATGACTCCGTTAAATTCGGCTTCTCATCCGACCGGCAAATCTCGGTTACTCACGACCTAACAGACAAAGCCTCCGGACAGACGTTCAGTCAGTACTCGTATTTGTACGTTCATCAGGATGATTTTAAAGCTGTCACTCTTGTGGTGAACCCGCCCTCTGTCGGCGACTATAAGCTAACTCTTTTTGCCAAGGAAAGAACAGCCGGTGACAAAGAGAAGGAATGGATAGGTGACTTCTTGCTAAGATGTACCTCCGTGTCGTGTCCCAAGAACCCCTACCCTACCGGGTCCCAGTGGGGTCTTAATGCCAAAGCTACGGCTCTTGGTCTCGCATTCAAGGGGACGAACCCGTCAGTGGCACCCGACGACACCGGTCTCGCCAAAGTGGAGTTTAAAATTGACAAGAACAGGCCCGTTGAGACCAACTGTGTTTTGTCCAAAGCGGATGGGGTAGGATCTGGTAACAGTGTCCTGAGAACCAACACGAACGACGGTTTCACGTACCTAGTGGTCGTGCCTTCGGAAGGCTTGTTCAATTGCACACTCTTCGCCAAGCCGGCCGGAAGCGAAGGCAGCCGCCAGTACATGGGTGATTTTCTGGTTGAGTCTAAGAGTACCCCGTCCACTCCCAGAACCTTCCCACATGTATATGATCTTTTCGGTGATGGATGTGAGCTTCTGGAACCGATGCAAGGCAGACTACCTGCAAATACCGAGTTGAGATTCAAGCTCCGTGTTCCAGACGCAGGCGACGTGGCTGTATTCGCGAACGGCAGCCAGTGGCATCACCTGGAGAACCCTTCGGGCGATGATCTATGGCAAGGAAACGTCGCAACGGAAGTTGAGGGCGATCTCACAGTTTATAAAAAGAACAAAAAGGGTACATTTTCAGGATTGCTCAAGTACACTATTGCTTGATGCATTACTGTCGTGATAAAAAGCCTGAAGATGGTGGACGGATTCTCCAGTTTTCTTGTCTCGTTTGCTGATACTTTTGTAACCAAGGGAGCCATCGACCTTTCTACCAGATTCACCTACATATCTACATTTTGAGGGTAACAAATAAAAAGGCAAAAAATACATTGCAATTGTCTGATTTTTGTTATGAAAACGGGAAGCGTCCAGGAAAGAGGAGGCGTTCGGGGACGAGAAACTGGTGTTTTTTTAATTGGCCTTATCATCGGGCATAATCAGGATATATAATTTGATAGAAGCTTCAATGCTAATGTCATTTCTGAGTCGTTAAAAAATGCATTTTTTGGCAAAATGCTATTAAAATTGAATTTACATATTTTTTGGGGGGCTCAAAAATGAAATTCAAAATGTTGAGGGCGCTGTTGTGCTGCAGCCACACTATTTGTTTTGCTCTGAAAAGTTGGTGATAAATTCCACATTATTTTGGACATTCCCATCTTACTGCTGTCATCTTTTCATCAGTGGTTTATCAGGTGGCAGTTCACCTACTGAATAAGTTTGGATGTCATATATTCATCATCCTGCAAGATATTTCAGCATGATTCCTGGTCTTACTTTGGCCAGTTTTTCATTGGTACTGTTCCTGTGCTGCTGTTCAGTGATCCATCCAACTGGGACACAAAGCTTGCCAACAATGAATGGGACACCAGCTATAACTGCATGTACTCTGTATGGAAGATCTTCGGATGAACGACCTCACTCAATGCCGGGTGCTGGTGAACACAATGGCAATAGAACGTATGTACAATACACTAATGAAATGCTGTTGTATCCTGCCACGGGGCTAAGAAATATCTTCCCAGTGAGACATTTTCTCGTTTAAAAGAACTTCAAATATTTCGTTTAAGGAGTCGTCGTGCAGGTCGTCATATTCAGAATAGACTTTCTTATATCTCTGAACCCAAGTTTGCAGTGGTTGGACCACCGCCTAATAACATTCCAGTTATTACAACTTGTAACAGAGATCAACCACGACTATGTCATACCCCTACCACCATTCACCGCAATCCCAGAAACATTACAGCTATCCACAGAGACAAGAAAGATAAGCTGAATGTTCATCTATGGAATGCCAACTCAGTGAGAAACAAATCTGTTCTCCTCAGTGACTACATTTTGGATAACAATGTTGACATAATGTTCATAACTGGGACCTGGTTAAGATGCAATGATCCAGTTGTTGTTAATGAATGTACACCAGGTGGCTACACTTTCCTGAACATTGCACACGGGGGCAACGATGCACATGGTGGATATTGCCGTCATTTCTAAGAAGAACTTGAAGTTGTCCACGATGGAGACCCGCACTCAACACAACACTTTTGAACTTGCATGTTTCATAGATCCTGCAAAACGAGTCTGCTTCACTGTCATCTATCGACCGCCCCCTTCAACACGAAATGCCTTCAGAACCTCTGACTTTCTTGTCGAATTTGCTGAATCGCTGGAGGAGCTAGCACATCCGGGCTGATTCTGCTTGGGGATTTTAATATCAATGTGCCTCACAAAACCGAAGTGGCACGTTTCCTGTCGTTATTAGATGAGGCTGGACTTTGTCAGCATATTCAGAGACAAACACATCGGCATGGTCACATACTGGACCTCATCATCTCCAAGCCTGAGAGTGCCTTGTTTACCAACTGCCGAGTTCATAATAAGCTGTATTCTGATCACCACATGCTGAGCTGTGCTGTTAACATAGCCAACCCTGGTCCACAGTTTATCACAACATGCTCTCGAAGTTATCACACCCTGGATAGAGAGTCCTTTTGAAGTGCTCTTGCAGATACCCATGCTGCATTTCCATTTTGACAGCCCCGTTGATGATCAGGTCGCCTACTACAACAAGGCTTCGCGGTCTGTCCTTGATGCGCATTGTCCAGCATCAACTCGGACTCGTCACCATCGCTGCAATCCGCCATGGTATACTGATGAGATCCACTGTGCGAGACGCAGTCGAAGGAGATCTGAGAACCGGTGGAGGAAATCTGCGACCGCTGCAGATCTCCATCAGTATCTCCATCAAGTGCATCTGGTCTGCAAGCTCATTCACATTGAAAAGTGTAATCAACTAAGTAATCAACTAAGTGATGCCAACACCAAGACTGCCCTCCGAGTCCTGAACACACTGCTGAACAGGCCAACAGTTCTGCCTGTTTCCTCTTTTATGAAGGTGTTGAGTGAAAGATTTGCCAGCTTCTTCAAGGGAAAAGTGGAGAGCATCAGAAAGAGCCTGGACACAACTGGCCTTGCGGACCCTACGCCTGAACCTCTCCCATCGTTGAATTATGCATTTTTCAACTTCGACCCTGAACCTGCAGAATTCGTCCGTAAATTAATCTCTGCTGCTCCAAACAAATCATGTTCACTTGATCCATTACCAACGTGGCTCTTAAAAGAAAATATCAACATTATGCTGCCATAGGGTGTTTTTCCATCTGCCTTGAAGGAAGCCATAGTGACACCAATTATCAAGAAACCCGACCTTGACCAGACTATCTTGAAGAGTTACAGGCCAGTGTCGAATGTACCCTTCCTATCCAAGATCATCGAGAAGATTGCGTTGCAGCAAATATCTAAGCACTTGGCAGTTAATGATCTCTATTCCGAGCACCAGTCTGCATATCGGAGTGGCCATAGCACCGAGACTGCTTTGCTGAAAGTAAAGAGTGACATCTTGCAGGCCCTTGATCAAAAGCAAGCGATCATGATGGTGTTACTTGATTTATCGGCGGCGTTCGACTCGATTGACCACTCAATACTGCTCCGTCGTTTGTCATCGGAATTTGGCTTGTCTGACGCTTCGGTGACATGGCTGAGGTCGTACCTAAGGGGCAGAATATCCCAGCAAACACATAATGCTCTGATAACATTTTTGTAAAGTCGTACAGATGTTATATCTATCACATTTGAAAATAACATTGTAATGACTATATAGAAACATCATGACATATACACAAACATTTTAATAACGTGATTTAAATGCCTCATGTTTGACGTTTTATCAGGTATGTTAAAGCGATATTGTATAAACGTTTTTACCAAAAGTTTTAAAAAGAGTGATCGATGAAATATCATGATATTTTACAAAAACATTTTAATAACGTGATTTAGATGCCTCATGTTTGACGTTTTATCAGGTATGTTAAAGCGATATTGTAAAAACGTTGTTACCAAATGTTTTTATAAAGATTTATGGAGGAATTATCATGATATATACAAAAACATTTTAAAAACGTGATTTAAATGCCTCAATTTTGACCTTTTCATCAGGTATGTTAAAGCAATATTATCAAAACGTTATTACCGAATGTTTTGAAAAAAAGATTTATGGAGGAATTTTCATGACATAACAAAAACGTTTGGAAAACGTGATTTAAATGCCTCAAATTTGACGTTTTATCAGGTATGTTCAAGCGATATTATCAAAACGTTTTTACCAAATGTTTTAAAAAGATTGCTCTAAGAAATCATGATATTATACACAAACATTTTAATAACGTGATTTAAATGCATATGTTTGACGTTTTATCAGGTATGTTAAAGCGATTTTATAAAAATGTCGTTACCAAATATGTTTATGAAGATTTATGGAGGAATTATCATGATAATATACAAAAACATTTTAAAAACTTGATTTAAATGCCTCAATTTTGACATTTTATCAGGTATGTTTAAGCGATATAATCAAAACGTTATTACCGCATGTTTTGAAAAAAGATTTTTGGAGGAATTATCATGACATAACAAAAACGTTTTAAAAACGTGATTTAAATGTCTCAAATTTGACGTTTACCACGTATGTTTAAGCGATAAAATCAAAACAGTATTACCACATGTTTTGAAAAAAGACTTAGGGAGGACATGTCATGACATTACAAAAACGTTTGGTTTGGAATAGGGATGGCACTATCCCATTCAGTGACACTTCTTCTCTGCTGACTTGTATGGCTTAATATGGATTTTAAGCATGACTGAGTCTTTGCCGGTTATGTCCGATTGAAATGTAGAGTGGTCGGACATAAGAGATTGAGTGACTATGATAGGTTGAGTAATCAAATGTGATTCTACCTCACTATCACATAGCACCTCGGCCTTACGTGAGATTGCACCTTCCACCGGAATGTATCGTCACGCTTTAGAGCATCTATTGTAATAAAACAATAGGAGACCCCTATATAACCACGCACGAGGCACAGGTTCCTCAGTGCATTTTTCGTGACCGGAGTGTATCGTGTTAGTTTTTTGCTCTACAAACATGATCGAACAGGTCGATATCCTAGAGCTGTTGGCCGGGGCTACAGACGAGGAGACAACCCAAGCGACTCAAAACGAGTCCGGCCCCTCCAACTCCTACAGCGGCAATCCGCTGGATAAACCATCGGGTAAGCCTAAAGGCAAAACCTCGACCAAGGGTAAACGTAAATCAAACGATTTGGTTACTCGTAACGAGTTTGAAACCCTTCAAAACCAGCTCACTTCCATGGCTAATGCAATGGAACAGATACAGAATTTCATTCTATCTGAGCCACTCCCTAAACGGGCCAAAACTGACCCGACATCCGATGACGAGTCGGACAGCACCCTGAATGTTAGTAAGGCTGTCGACGATCTCTTGCAAAACAAAAAGCAAACTGAGCAAGGGGATTCCGACATGGCTGTGCTACAAGACTATGAACAGTTGTATGATGATGGGAGTGCAACTGGGGCCCCAATCAACGAAAAGTTGGCTGGGCTCATGACCAAAATGATGCGTCAGAAGCTGGCCGATGACAAAGTCACTGAGAAATTGAAAAGTCTAGAACGCCCTTCAAATATTGAGGCGTTGGGAGTCACCAGGGTAAACCCTGAGGTATGGAATACCCTTAAACCAAAGACCCGTTCGCTAGACATTAAAATGCAAAAGGCCCAACAATCCCTTCTAGCAGGTGTGGTGCCTATTGTGCGGGCAATTGAATCACTAATGGCCACGGCTAACGCCCCCTCTGCGTCCGATAAACTGGACAATGCCAGAGTCGAGATTAACCGACTACTTGACGCAGTCTCCATGATTGGGCATGCCAATCGTGAACTGAATCTCCGCAGACGAGATCTCATTAAACCCGATTTAAATCAACAATTCGGGGGTCTTTGCTCTGCCCAAGTACCCATAACTGGACTGTTATTTGGGAACAACCTTACTCAAAAATGTAAGGACATACAGGAAACTAATAAATTGGGGCACAAAGTCGGTCAACGTTACCGAGGCTCAACGGGCAAACCTGGCTATGGACAATTCCAACGCCGGCGGGACACACGACCGTATCAGTCGTCGAT